GTTTGGCTGCTGCCTCTCGTGCTTCCTCGTCTGCTTGTGCTCTTGCTGCTGCTGCCTTCGCTTCTTCCTCCTTGGCTTGCCTTTCCTGCTCAAGTCTCCTGTCGTTCTCCTCTGCTGCTTCTTCTAAGGCTTTCCTCAACCTTTCCTTCAGCTCCTCTTCTCGTTCCTTTGACAGCGGCTGCTGTTCTCCTGATCCTGAGCTTCTTTCCTTTTCCCTTCTCATGCTTGTAGGCGTAGTCGTAGTCGCACCAAATCTTTTCCTGCGTCACGTAGTGCTGGCAGTAAATCGAGCCATTCTCGGTGTAGAACTTCCACTCGGACGAAAAATCGCGTGGGTACTCGAAATCGCTTTCCTTGTCTTTTGACTCTTCTGCTTTCCTTTGGATCTCCTCGTTGGTTCTGCGGATCTTGTCGGTGATGCTCTCGGCTTCCTCATCTTTGTTCTTTCCTCCTTTCGAACTTGTAGTTGAGGTAGTCCACGGTGTAGCTTCTCCTGCCATTCCTTCTTTCGAACTTGTAGTCGGCGTAGTCCACGATGTAGCTTCTTCTTCCTTTCCTTCTTTCGAACTTGTAGTCGGCGTAGTCCACGATGTAGCTTCCTGAAGATGCCCTTCACGACGAAGTTCTGCTTCCAATTCTCTGTCTCTCTTTTCCTTCTCCGCGTCGTTCTCCTCGTTCTCTTCTTCGTCTTCTTCCTGGCCAGGAGGCCACCAGCACGCAACGACCAGCCTCGGAGGAGCTCTCCAGGTCGCCGAAGAAAAGGAAGTCTGCCGCCCATGCGAACTCTGCGAGCAAGGATTCGACTCATGTTCTAACCGCACGGGCCAAATGGATTGCAACAGGTGCCTGGCGGCGACTTCTTCTGACCTGCCACACGTCAGGCACTCTAGTGGGTGGGCTCAGCCCATCTGAAAGCCAAGCTAAACAGGCAGCGCACCGGCTGCTGGACCGTGGTGGTGATCTTCGGGGGCCTTCTGCAGTCCAGGGCTTCTGATGAAAAAGTTGGGTTGGGTTGTCTAAACCCAGGGTTCTTGTACATGCCTTGCGTCAGGGGGATGAGTGCCTTTGAGGTGGGCATGGGATTTGAAGGCAAAAGTCGGCTTGCCATAGTAGAGCCCGAGAAATAGTCATGGAGCATCAGTATCAAAACATCATAGTGCGGTGGGCCTTCCGTGGAAATGTCCTGCTTGCAAGTCCGCAAGAACCCGAATCACGATCGAGGTCTCTGCAGCAACTAGAAGATTTGCTGAGAGGCTTGTGATTGGTGGCTGGAGCAACACCCTGAACATGCTTTGCCCCCAGCTTGAAGTGCAAGCACCCCTCACCTCGAGCTCCTGAGGATTCTGAGCTCTGGGCAAGCTGACCTGGCTGTTGAAGCCCAGCCTCCATTTCTGATCGGGGGTCCACATCCTTGAAACCCTAAACCTCTTTTCATGGGCTTCTTTGCACACTCTCGACTATGCCCTGTACCCAAAGAACACCTTTCCAGCGCCAAGATGGCGCAGGTGCTGTTTGGGTTTAGGGGTTTGGCGCGCACTGGCACTGGAACATGAAATAACTGAAATGAGTTTGTGTGACTGAACGTGAGTTCTGAACAATCGCCATTCAGAGCTGAAGGTGTCTGAACAAAGACCCACAAAGCAGGAGGGCTCCTGTGAAAAAAAATGGTGTTGTCTTGCCTGTGGTCTGCTCTGGGTTGTTTCCGAAGGCAACATCGTTCAGAAAGATTCAGAACATTCAGGAAAGCTTGAAAGACCTTGGAAGAAACTGGAGGTTTCCAAGCCGAGGCCGAGACAAGTCCCAAAGCCAGTTTGCCATCAGACCTGGCTGCGTTTGCAATCGCATTTCCGCCCAAAGAGTGGTCACAAGTGGGCCCTGAATCATAAACCCTAAACCCTAACACCAAACCATGATATTTACCCGCAACGCCGAAAACGTCAAAGACCCATCCCCAGATCTGTGAACCCCGTTCCCAAATCCGGAACATCCGGGCGAAAAGATGGCCGCTAGTTGCTCACGCTCCCCAGGCCCAATGAGGGTTCCTAAAAATCTGGGCCAAGAGAGGGTTGCACACACCCCCCAGGCAGAAATGGAGGTTGCTAGTTGGACACGCTCCTTGCCTCAAAGCCAACGCTCCTCCGACATTCAGAGTGCAAGCTGGACACGCTGCACAGGCAGAGATGGGGGTTGCTGGTTGGACGTGCTCCCTGCCCGAACAGTTGGCCTCAACGGACCCGAAACTTCACACCCTGAGGGACAAGAGTTTGTGTCCGTTAGCCTCAAGGTTTGGGGTGGAGGGTTAGTTGCGCTGAGGGCTCAGGACTCTGGCTGCAGCACTTTAGGGTTTTGGGTTATTTGACCGGAGTAGCTGCAAGTGTTGCCAAGCTTGGGGTGAAGAGCTGCATCGAATCAGCGTCAGCAGGCTGTCGTACAACATGAGGAACGTGCATTCATCCAAACCTATCGTTTCTGACTGCATTGCCGATCTGGGGTTCAGCAGTCAAGTTTCAACTGCTGGCAGAAGACTGAGGCAACGTGAACTTAAACGACCATATCTCATCCAGTTCTCCCATCGACAGATCGCCCAAGCACGAGGAAGGACTTAACATTCTTGAGCCGACCCGAATACACCCTAAACCCTCAACTCCTAAACCCTAAACCCTAAACCTTAACCTAGATCCTAGGCTAGGGCGTCCGGCCTGCGATGTCCTTCTGGAGGAGGGCGCGGGTAAGCGCAAAGGTTGAAGGGTTTAGGGTTTAGGGTTTAGGGTTTAGGGTTTCGGGTTTAGGGTTTAGGGTTTCGGGTTTAGGGTTTAGGGTTTAAACCCGACATAATGTCTTGAATATTACATATATAGAAATATGTATAAAAAAACAATATATATATATATATATATATATATATATGCTACCCCCCCCCCTAAAACCTACCTTTCTAGAGTTTTTCAATACTTATAAACTGCCCTTACACTATACATGTTCCTGTTCCTATACAAAATTCAGCAGACAAGCTCTCCACTCTAAAGCCCAGACCCGAGGCACCCAACCCTATGGAGTCAAAACTGAGCCAGACGCTAACCCCACATCTACTACTCCTCCGAGCTTTCACGAGACAACCTTTCTGGATTCGAAGTAGAGGGCCTCACAGATAGTGATGTGAATCACTGCGTTGCCGGAGGAGTCCAATGCGAAGGTGCCCATGATGTTGACGGCCGCCATGAGGAGTACGCGTATGCTATGGCTGGAAACTGCGCGTTTATAGCCCAAGCTGCGCGTCGAAATTGAGTCGATTCAACGCATACATACTGGAACCACTTTCAGTGGCGTAATATACAATACCATGGCCTAGAGTTGCGTAATATACTTTTTACCATAAGAAAAAATCTTCAGGACCGGGAGTTTTAAAACTCCTTGCTTAGCCACGAGAGGAGTTTTAAAACTCCTGCCACCGAAGATTGAAGATTGTCGGGGCCAAGAGTTTTAAAAACTCCTTGCGTGGCCACGAGAGGAGTTTTAAAACTCCTGCCACTGAAGATTGAAGATTGAAGGTTCCCCGGAACTCTTTCCAGGAATCTTCAGTCTTCAATCTTCGGGGCCAGGAGTTTTAAAACTCCTTACTTAGCCACAAGAGGAGCTTTAAAACTCCCGGCCCCTAAGATTGAAGATTGAAGATTCCTGGAAAGAGTTCTGGGGAATCTTCAATCTTCAATCTTCGGGGCCAGGAGTTTTAAAACTCCTTGCTTAGCCACAAGAGGAGTTTTAAAACTCCTGGCCCTGCAGATTTTGTTTTGGCGTCTTTAAGTATTTGCTATTTCGTATTTTATGTATATCTATAGATATATGTCCATATATATATATCCGGCTTCGAATATAGTAAACACGTCTCGACATAGAAAAGGGTATGAAACGGTAGGTTTTGGGGGGGGGGGTACCATATATATAGATATAGATATATGGATGCAAACAGGACATATAAAACAAATGGTGTAGAATACACGAATAAACCTTGGTAAAATACTAAGATCTATATGGATTATATTTGGTTTCTTGTAAAGGATCTATTAAACGTGTCACCAACTAGAGGAATATGAGTATCAGATTCTCAGATGCACCGTTTCGAGCTCAAGATGGCAATGGAAAGGATCCCGGGCAATGCATCAGGATGCGGAACACACCAGGACGTTGACAGAGTCTGCATGCCCCCGTGCAACAACGCAGTCATGCGATGAGGCCAGAGCATTTTCATCAGCAAGTGCGATCGGAGGTTCCAAAACGTGCTCTCAAGACCTGGAAACAAGCTTGCAATCTCCACTGCGCAAACGCAACCGCACAAACATCAGCAAGAATAGGTAATAAGGTTCAGCCCGAAACACTAAACCCCTAAAACCTCTAGACATTTTGTTGGGACGGTTTGGGTCGAAGATGGTCGGAGAGCTCATCTACACCGCCTCACAAGCGCCAATGTCGTATTGAAGCCACCGGGGGTCTCACGGGCTCAGCCTGCCAAAAGACTCAGGGTTTAGGGTTCAGGGACAGGGTTTAGGGTTTGCTGGGGAGACATGTGGGTTACATACTGATTAGTGGCAAAGCTTATGGGCTTTTCTTACGCCCAGCTAAGCCCAGCTATTGTTTCTTTGAAGGTGGCTTGACTGCCGTCCGCGACTTCAGTTTAGGGTTTACGTAGGGTTTAGGGTCTGACAGCCCTTAATGGCTGCAACAGCCTGCGGGTCCGTTGAACTTGAACCCTTCGTCGGAATTGGGCACTTCAAGCTCCGTTCGTACTCCATGACAGTCTTGGCTGTGGACACGCAGCCAGTGCAACCACACTTTTGTGCAAAGCGTTGGTAAGGAAGTTCCTGAGCTGCATGCATTCTTCCGAGGGCCTCCAAGAATCTTAGCTCCCAGCATCACGCACACCCAAACCGCCCAAGCACAGAAAGAGACACAACGTACGCACATGCATGGATGGAAGACTCCCAGGCCTGCCTGCTGCACATGCTTCACTTCTTTGCCAGGTTCTCCAAGGCCTGAACCGCAGCCTGCGAGGCCCCCACACACCCTGCCCTGGTCTCAAGAACCACATGTCCACGAGCCGAGCTTCCTTGAGCAGGCGAAAGGTAGCTTGAAGTCTAGGAACGTTGAAATAATACCTCCCATCGACCCTCCAGAGCCCTGTGGAGGTCCTCAGGACGTGCCATGGTCAACTCAGACAGCTTCTGCCTCAGCACAAAAAATGTCAAATGCAAACTAGCTGGCACAGCGCGCGCACGAAAACAGAGCTGCCACAGCAGGAGAAGGAAGGGGAAAGAGAAGCCGATATAGACCCAAGTTGGCTGTGCTATGTGGCAGCGAACAGGCTTCTGCAATTTGTCGAAACTCAAATCAAGTAGAACCACAAATCAGGAGCAGCAGGGTCGGCTAAGTGCTGCCAAGTGTGCATGAACATGCCGCCATCGTGGAGACGCCCATCCATCTTGGTTTGGGTGGCCTCGCGAAAAGAAGATTCTTGAGTGAAATTCGCGAGCTAGCTTGCAAGAGCGCTCTCGCATATTGATCGGGCCTGCAGGTGCTTGTCAGCTGCATCAAGGCGAGAATGATACGTCTTCATGGTCTCCAGGGTCTCCTTGAGAACCTGCAAGTAGCTTCTCTCGGGAAAGCAGATTCAAGAGGGCCCGGAAGCCCCCCCACTCCCAAACCATTGAAGATTCAGAGTCGCCACGCCGTCACCAAAAACACGCTAGAATTGTACTAGAACTGTAGCAAGTGTTGCAAATTGGCAGGTACCGTGGCAAGCTACCTCAAAACGTTGGCCAGACTGCCGGCAAAATTGCCTACGGTCCAGCGTGAGAACGCAGCATGCTAACTTCCACCACCGCCTTCTGCTGGTCGAGGAGAGCCTTGTATCTTCGGACCTCGACAAGCTTCATCAAAACTTTCTCAAGCATGACTGGTGAATCTGTGGATTACGTTTGGCTTTTAGCTCATCTTGTGCGAGACACCGACAGTCTCTGCAAGCATCTGCAGGATCACAGGTATCTTCTTAAAACAAGATGAAACACAGAACCTCAGGAGCAGGTGTAGATCACGCATGGTTTGCAAAATTCTAGCTAGTCGAAACTCTGTGGGCATGTGCTCAAAACTGTTCAAGCATGCTCAGCATGTTCATAGTATGAATAAGATGCCTGTCCTCAAGGATGTCACCTGCCACCCACAAGCTTGCAAGGATAGAGCCTTGTGATGAAGGACCAAAGCTGCCAAAACAAGAACCAAGAAACTCCTAAACGCAGATTCGTTGTGTTTCGCGTGCGGCCAAAACTTCGAAATTGAACGACAATTGTCATCAGCGTATCACCTTGTTGTTAAGAGGATTCGCAGAGCAGCCACTTCAAATGCAGCGCAACGAGCTGTGCAACGGATAGCTCATGTCAGTTTATATAACTTGGCACACCACCTCAGCACCTCTCCCGAGAGACCATGGATCATGGCAGCTACAACAAACTCTCTACTAAATTCAGTTCAGTTTTGATGGCCTCTGACCAGGCTGACCCACCCTGAGCGCACGACACCGGCTTGAAAGTCGGCGAGGAAGATTGACTTCAGCTTGGCTTCACTTTCCTGCGCAAGCACCCGCAAACTTGAGGTGGCACAAAGTTGGCACAGCTTTGCTGCATCTATGACTGCCTCGTAAAGAACTCTTCAGTCAGGGTAGACAGAAGCAAGCAAGGCTCGCAAATGAACACAGTGCTCGCACCTGCCCTTGCTTCTTCAACGCCTGAGGTTCACTGAGCACGAAAAGATACAAACATGCTAGGTTCAGGCATGCTACGACACTTTCGTAAGCATGATGACTGGCTGCTGAATTCAGTTGCTGCGGCCCGAATGCAAGACATCAAAACGGTAGGCACCCAATCCATGCGATCGCCTGTGACTGCTTATATGCCGAATCGGGGTGTCTGATACGACTACGTCGTAGAGAGACTTCATCTCCGCTCCGGCCACGTGGTGCAACTTTGAGACGAGCATAGTCGAAATGCAATGATATCACACAATTTTGACGAAACTGACATCAAACACTGCCAACGTGCTGCGGCACAATGCGGCACATGCCCGGAGCGGCCAGAATAGACTACAAAGATGCAGATGTGGACCGAGCATATCATGTGGCGTAGAAAGACAAGCACCAGAAGTATACAGCAAACATAGTGCGGTGAAAGAGCAATTACAGCGGCCGCAAGGAAACAAGGGAGGGTTATTCGGAGGCGCCAGATGCCATTCATGCTTGAGTTGCAGGGATTGGGGTGTCGGGTTCTTTTCGGACCCGCCTTGATGCCGGAGGCCAGCATGGAGATCAATCCCTCGGGCTCGCTGTTCTCGCTGTTCTGACTGGCCTGCTAGCTTGGCCAACATGCGTTTCATGCGTTCTCATACCACTCCACACCCGCATGGACGGCAGAAAACACGACATGAGATACTCAGGACCAGAAAGAGAGCAGAGAATCGGGAAGCCTTGGCCTCGGCCGCTGGCTCCTTTCCAAGGATCATAGTCCACCCCTTCAATCATTAAATCCGTTTCGAGCTCGTCTAATATATCCAGCCTAAAGCGCTCTCACCATGCCAAATAACTACACCCGATGTCCACAAGACACTGACTCCGGAATATTATGATATTGCTGTCCGTGTGGGAGGTCGAAGAAAGCGCCAGCAAGGAAAGCCCCTTGGGCGAAGTATCTTCCTGCAGAGTCGCTGCAATCTGGCAGAACATTTTCAATGCAGGCAGGTTTCAGAAAACGATAGTCTGTTCTGGGACATGCGTCAAATGCATAGAGCCAAGCTCGAGTCAAACTTTCTCACATCAGAAGACAACAATACGCTTCATTCGATTTAATGTGGGAATCCTCGCCCAGCACTGCCAGCTCCTTGGCCTGACAGACGGTGAATGTCTTATATCAGCCCGGCAAACCCTGATGCAACCTTGCTGTCATCCGTCTGCTCAACTGATTCCGTAAGGAACTTCTGTGCAGCTGCCAGCTGGTCCTGACAAACCATGGCATCACAGCATCTGATTGCTTCTAGATCCTTTTCACAATGCCAACACCAGGAAAAACACCAACATGCCCTCTTTGCCGCTTACACAAGCCCAGACAGCCGCATTGCCAACACTGTGTCCTGAAGCATCTTCAACTCGTTGTGGCGAAGTGCATTTCCCTGATCAGAGCATAGGATTGCGAGAACACTGCTTAAATTAGGTTCTGGGCCGCCACAAACATTCTTACCACCCAATCGGCTGCCATCCCTCAAACAACGGCATGACGCAGCCTTCTGCAAGGATTCTGAGTGATGCAGCAAGTCTTCGTCGGCCTGAACCAAAAAACGAAAACAACACAGGAACCCGGAAACAACCGAACAAACCACCAAAGCTACATTGATACATGATACCCGAGTCGGCCTCGCGACCCACCCCACCCCCTGGCGCCAAACCCCCATCACGCGACCGAAACGCCCTTGGTCGCGCGCCCCCCCCCCCCCCCCCCCCCTCAAAACCCACATGCTTCTGGGGTGTACACTTCATCATGTGCCATCCATCACACCTTTGACAGCGGGGTCACGCCCTGATCACGCCCCTGTCACGCCCTGTCACGGTCCTGCCCCCCCCCCTCATGCGCCGACCTCCCCGCTCCACTCCGCCCCCCCCCCCTTTCGCGAAGATGAGATCCCAAAAGCTGACATGCTTTGGGAATAAACAAATCAGAACAAATACAGCTTTGCCGCTCCAGCAACTCCAAGCTCTTGGCGTCACAGGGTCTTGCAGGTATTCACGCCTTCTTTGTTTCCATGATGTTCTTGGCAATCAAAGCATTCTCCTCGTCATCAACGACACCGAAACAAGAACTGCGTCAAACTACCTTAACGGTAGCGCTGTGCGCTGATAGATTCCGTTCCGGTCTCTGATTCAACACATACGATTTTGCACACTATGTATCCACGTGCAAACTTCATGTTGCACATATCGCTACTTTTCAAGACACAGACCTTAACCACCTCCAGATTCTTCTGCTCCTGTTCCTGACAGTTTCCAGCGACATTCTCAAGTGGTGTCCACTGGCTATTGTGCGCTTCTACATAAACAGTGGCGCCTTCAACTTCCTGTCAAATACGGCCTTTTGACGCTCCATCCGTGCCGCGTTCTCTTGCTGTACCTCTGAAATCTCATAGTTCAAATGTCTGTATTTTGGTCAATCCAAGAATGGACGGCGAAAACTCCAAAATCATGGCCTGCAGCATCTGCGTCTGCAAGCGCTGCGCTTGCGTTGATATGCCTTCAATGACAGCCGCGAGCACATGAAACTGCTCATCTGTCGGAATGCGAATGTGCGGATAAGTGCGTGCATTCGACATGACCTGCAGCTCATCTTCTTCACAGAGGGTGAATCGGCATTCTCAGGTCCAAACCATTCAAAGTTTGTGACGAATCCGACAGCATAGACGACACGGTTGGAAGCTCGGGGAAGCCATTTCTACCAGCCTCGAAACAAAGCAATTGAATACTGTCTCATACCGTCGCCGCACGCTATACAATTCAGCTTCGCACATCCACGACACCAGGAACCTGATCAGGTCAAATGACAATATTAAAAACAAACAACTCAACCATGACATACACACTGGTTCACACCAAGGCGCAAACTGAAGGCAATGAAACCTCTCAGCACGCTTCTGCCAAAGCGAAAAATCTGAAGTGTCAAGGAGAGCACGAGCCTGATCGGGATCTGGAAGACTTTGCTTGTTCTCACCCTGCCAGAAAGATAGCTGCATAAGTTTATCCAACAACATGTGTCCTGGCAAATCGCGGGAACTGAGGCATTCCTGGCCTTCAGAGCAACAGCGTCCAGCTCAAACACCAGCGACACAGCGATTGGCACAAAGACACGTGTCAACTTCATTGCCTTGGCACGCACAACACTGCTGTTCGTAGCATGCCACAAGTGTTTCCATGATGTCGAGCATACACAAACTCGCAGATATACACATTCCGAAACTTCTAAATGCGGCGGCCGCACATTTGCAGCGATGGGGCGCTTACACAGCCAACCCCGAGCAAAGCTGCACTGACATCACGGGCACAAACCCCATGCACACGTCATTCACAACCCCGAGCATGAAAATTGACAGTGACATGATGCTTCCGTAAATCGCAGCGACCTTCCCTGGAAAGGCGGCCCTGCACTGTTGTTCGGAGGATTCTCCTCGCGAATATGTGCGGAAGTGGTACGTCAAGATGGCCAGGTGAAACCGGCTACCCCGGAACCAAGGAGAACCCACTGAGGTAGGCTGAGTCGGCAGCGCCTGAGCCTGACGACATCAATCGGGGACACGCCTTGGGACGGCTGGTGCAATGCGCAGGCTATCCTGAACAATGCTTGCGGAGGTCACAAGAAGCAACTTGGGTTTGGCTGACCGTTCGGTTGGAAGTTGACTCGAAAACGGCGTGGCGAGGTCAGACAAGGAGCAGACATCACAGATGCAAAAATCAGAAAAAAAGGAGTGAACCAAGTCAAATAACGTACCAAGATGTGAGCATGAACATCGTCGTGAATTGTTCTGTTTAGATATGCGGACTCTCAGACCTTTTTGTCGGGGCGGTTTTGGACATGTAAAGAAGGGGTGCGCGGAAGAGTGCTTCGCACCATGGAGACGATGCGGCGTTTGTTTGTTCTTCTGCTTTTCTTACGCACTTGCTACCGCCGTTTTGCTTCTCACACCCAACGCGCAAGGACCGCCTGCTGATTGGCTGACGTCAAAGAGGCTCACCAAAAACAAACGACGACAACGCGGCGATAACGGCGACAAGGTGATGACGCGATCCCAATTACAAACACTGCAACCCCGTGTGCGGGACCCGTGGTGGTGGCAGTGGATATGACTCGGAAGAACGGCTCTGATCAACGCAAAGATTTTGCTAGCCCGATGGAAGTCGTCCAAGGTGGCGGAGGTTAGTCGACATTGTTCTCTCCGCCTTCAGTTGTCCTGCTGCGATACGAGAGGATAGCCCCCAACAGTCATTTGCGAACGCTTGTTGGTGACTCTATATGGAGCACACCGACAAACACAAAACGTCGAAATGTCGAAAAAGTCTAAAGGTGGAGAATGACAAGACTTTCGCGTGAAAGTCGAATGCCCACAAAGTGTTAACATGTCAGAACTTAAAATCAAGAGTTGGAATCGCCCCGAAAAGTCAAAAAGCTTCGAAAGCCGAAACGTGCGACAAGTTTCATTCTACGAACATGGGCTAGCATGCAAGGTCGGGCTCGACGAATCTGCCCGAAGGCAGGTGCAAACACACGCAATCTTTTTTGTGCCGTTTCAACTCCACAGTTCAAGGCGATGGGGGATCCGCGGGCATATGTTGCACGAGCGCTGATGTTTTCCACACAGAAACTGTGCTATGCTGTGCTTCACGATGCAAGGCCTTCCGGCACTGTACCTTTACATGTTTCGTGAAAAGTCGAAGGTCCCTCTGGTACCTTTTCCCTTGAAAGCACGAACCCAAACCTATCTCAACCAAGTGCGGACACGCTCTTTTTCACTCGCAGGCCTTGAGCCAAAAGTCACGAAGTGCGCAAACTAAACGAATTCACATGTGAGCATAAACTCAGCTTCAGAACAAAGTTCCTACACACTGCACACTCACTCAAAGTAGCGTGTTGGGCAAAAACATACTCGTATGATTTCCTAGGGAAATCATCGAGGCAAAAACATCGAGGATGGGATCATACAGATTCCCTATCACTCCGAAGCAAAACAACTCTATACAAGCTGATCCAAAATATGACAAAACCATCAATGATCAGCCACGATCTTCCACCCCCCGCATTTTGCTGAGGGTTCATGCCAAAGATCCAAAGTCCAAGCACAGCTCGGCACTTCAACACTAAGGGGATGCCCTGGCCACATTCCCTTGGTGCGTACTCGCCACCAAAGCGAAACAACCGACACACCAGTCGATCTTTGACATAAAAAACTTAAACTCATGCAAGATCCCACCATAAGGCAGGTTGTCCTGGGTCCAACTGGCACCCAAGAGTTCGTTGTCCAAACTCGTGACAAACGAATTCATCTTGCATCCTCCTGTACTAGACAGGGCTGTCTTGGAAGGTCTCCAAGAGTTCGTGGTGACAAACACGTTAAAACGAATTAATGCAAGGCTTCAGAGCGTCACCCCACTCTCAGTACACAACCTCGACGTGGTCATACTCCTCAACCTCGCTTCCAGGAAAAACAAGCTCACCAGCTAGCATCCGCTGGCAGAACTCCAACGAAAACACGGCCCTCTTTCAGCATCGCCTCGATTCGCATCCAGGGTGCTTCCGGCCAAAACTCGTTCGTCACGTAGAAAGCATCATGCGGGCTTTCCACTATCTGAAAAACCAAACTCACATGCACTGACTCAAGGCTTCTCGGAAACCAATGGAAAAACGCGGGCGGGCCATGGCGGCCCTCAAACGGCTGCGGGTCGTCATCTTCACCCCTTGAGGTCAGCAAGTACCTCAATCCATGCCCTCGCCGTCCACATCATCTTTCTTCTCTTCCTCAACTTTCTCCTTCGCGGCATCTTCCTTTTCCACATCAGCATTGAATACCTTCGATCGGCGCTCCTTCGCCGCATCTCTCATCTCCTTCAACTCACTCATCCGCTCACCCATCACCACATCCTGCGATGATCGGCTAGGCTCGGATGTTTTCTTTTCTTGCAACATCCTTTCCAGGTCCGCGTTCTCAGATTCGCACGCACTTGCTCGGCGATTTGCGCGATCATGGCAGCGTCCATGACTGGCGAGGCCACTGACACGGGAGAGTTTCTCGAGTCTTCCCGCTCCATTCGGGCCTTCTTCCTTTTCGCCGCTTCAGCCTCCGCTGCCTCGAGCTCAGCAATTCCTTCTTTTCGCTTTCTCTCAGCTTCTTCTCGATCCTGCTGATCCACAGCTTTCTTTACCATCTCTCTCAGCGCTTTCTCCTCAGTCTCAAAGTCGCTGATTCCTTCGCACATGATCTGCCAAACGTGCTGCCACATATCCGATGGCATCATCAGATTGAATTTCTCCACGTAATCCGTTGGGAGATGCCATTTGCAGTCGCATTCCCAATTGAGCATGCTCCTGGTCTCGTGTTCGGTGACTCTATTCCAACCGTTGGCCTTGTTTGTCTCTTCATCCTCAACGATCGGAACTAACGACCCCAACACTACCTTGTAGTTGCCATAGACATGAAATGCCCAACGCGGCACTGGTCGGTTCTCTTTGGCCAATTTCGGGTCGTGAATCCTCATCGTGAGGCACGAAAGCATCGAGATCGCCGCACCCCATTCACCATCTCTTCGAAGACCAACATGCCTTTCTTTGCATGGTCCTTCCAGCGGGTGATCCAATCCAAGGTGGATGCGCAGTGCACTCCATCTCGTCCTTCAAGCACCGTTCCCCACAGAGGATTGGCAGCGCGAACAACACATCTACCAACCTCAAGATTCCAAGGTCTTGGGTCTCACCCAGAAGGAGCATAGGTGTGATCCCCTTTCTCTTGAGGTATCGCACGAAACTGATCACACTCAGAGAAAACGTGGATTGTGGCACCTCGAGGTACAGCACACCCTCGGTCATCGCCGTCTCGCAGATCAAGGCTTTGCCACCCGTCTGTCCACGGAGATCGATGATTCCCAACAGCTTCGAAGGTTTCAGCTCCACCTCGGCAATCTCCTGCACAGGCTTCACCAGCTTCTCATAGCTGCTTTGGTACTTCACCATATCCCTGTCTGACAGCTCGGTGACATACCTCCACACATCCAGATCTTCGATTGCCGTTCCACGACGACAGATCGCCCACCAGGCATCGTTGTACCATGTCGGCGGTTCCAGCGCAGCAAGGTCTGGGACCAGCTCAACCATGCGCTCTAGGGACTCCGGCATACGTTTGGGTTTCGGAGGCTGCTGCCCGGAGCCTTGGGCAACTCGTCTCCCTACACCCTTTTCACCCTCTCTTCCTGCAGCTCTTTTCTCTTTTTCGCCCTCTCGGAGATGGAACGCATGCGACGCGTCCGATCCCCAAACAGTCACGACCGTTTGGCACCTCAAGCACTGGGGCTTTCCTTCATCTGACCAGCCAAGCCCGGAAGCCCGGTCACTTCTGAAGAGCCATTTGCAGGGCTTACACCAAAACAGGGCTTCCATTTCGTTGCCCTTCACCGTTTTCTCGGCGCTTCATTCCTTCAGGCACGACTTCCAGGCTAGGGCTAGCTTCGGTTGTGCTTGAACCAGAGATCCTGCAGGTTGACCACAAATCCATACTTCTGGTACAACATGGGGGGCTTTCACTTAGATCACTGGGGCTATCAGAAATTTCACTTTCTTTGACGAATTTTTCAAAAACCTCATCGCACCGTTGTCCAGCCGCCTCGGACTCCACAACTCGACATCCAGTTGCTCCAGCATACCGGTACGTCCCGGTCGGCCATCCAATGTGGCATCGCAGACCACAGATCTTCCATACTTGTTGCACATTCTCGTCAGGATATATTCCTAAGGCTCGCTGGTGTTGACAGAATGTCAAATGATTCAAACATTTGGTAAGAACATCCGCAATCATCCCCGCCGTAGGGCACCACGTGACCTTAAGGGTCTGAGCATCTTGGATTCTCTCCTGGAGATAGCAGACAGCTATGTCTATGTGACGAACTCGTCTACTCAGACCTCTGTTCAACAACACCGCTCGTGCTGAGGAGCTGTCGGTATGCAACCGCATGGTGATTTCTTACTCGGCCAATTGACCGATCAGTGTCGCCAGTCCCTCGCTCTCCTGCACCGCAGTCAGGATTGCTCTCAACTCAGCCTCACAGGAACTCAACGACACACACCCTTGAACTCGGGAGATTCCCTTTATCAGGCATCCTCTGTAAAAGATGGCTATGCCCGACACTGATCTTCGTCCTAGCGAAGCCTGCGGTGCCCAACTGGCATCCGCGTACACTTCCAGCTGCGCCGGCCCACTATCTGGCACATCACCATCAGGACCGTAGTACTGCCAAGCATGGTATTGTCCCTTGAGAACCTAATCACTTGTCGCAATGCTTGTTCAAAGCATGCTGTTGGCTTGGACTGTCCCTGCGAAAGAATGGACATCCAGCGACTCAGGTCAGGCCTTGACTGACCCCACCATGCAATCCGGTCCAGTACTGCTCGGTATCTAGCAGCTGCAGCGTCACTCAGCTCTGGATCCGAACCACTTGCTCTCCCTTTTTCCACCGTTTTCACGATGTCCGGAGGGGCAGTAACCACCTTCAAGTCCTTACAGAACTCGGTCTCAAACAACGCATCCATGTACGCCGGGGCACTCTCATCCTGAGATGACTTCCTTGTCTCTCAATCTCTCGCCCCAAAAAGGTGATTCTTCCACCATTGGCAGTGATTCGACCCGTTTCCTTGATCTTCAACTCTCCATTCAGGGTGTCAGTGACCAGCCGAATGGCCTCTCTGGTTCCACATAGAATCAAAGCGTCCACATAACATGAGAAACCTTTTTCCTCTCACCGTGCCTTCGAAGACGGAAGGCTCTGTTGGGCATTGCCTCAACCCAACTTTCTTCACCACAGTTGCCAGCTTTAGGTTCCACGCCTTGGCTGCAACCCTCAAACCATTCATGGCTTGATCCAGGATCATGTACGCCGGGACATAATAGTCCTTGCAGGCAGACACATCCTTTGGCAATTGGATAATCGCCTTCGATCCTTTCGGAAGAGGTGAATGCAAAAAGGCAGTGGATACATCCAAAGTTGCAATATCCATGCCATCCACAGCGGCAATGGCCAACAGCGTCCTCAACGCTTCAAGCGAGGGAGTCGTAGCACTCAGTCCCAATGACGATGCAGTGCTCCCCTTTGCGATATCCTGTACGACACACCTTGCTCGCACAGCTTCCTTCCCATTCACCATCTTCGGACCGATGACCCATCGAGTTGGGATGATCTTGACTCCGTGCTCACGAGCAAACTTATGAGCCTCATCTGCTCCAACCACCTTCCCCGCTTTGTGAGCAGTCATGCTCTGCAGTTCAGTTCGCCGGCCTTCCACAGTCTTATCCACATCCAATGGACATCCGTCTATCTCAGACAGAACGCTCGTGGGTCTTGCCAGCCAAACTTGGGATCCACACAACCTTCATGGACTCCTGGAAGGTACTATTCTTGTTGAGCAGAATCGAATTGGTCACATGTACCAACTTCGGACTCTCATCACGACTCACCATTTTAGTAGGACCTTGAGGCACATCGAGTCTTGAGTCTAAAAAAATACGATTGATCAGCCGGGGAACTCGATTGGACTCATCTGGAACTGAGTTCACATCTGATGTCAAACTCTCTAAGCGCCGGGGAACTCGATTGGACTCATTTGGAACTGAATCCACATCCATCTGAGGTCTGTCCTCTTGCGTGGGTACAGCCTCATCCCCACCAGGAGTTTCTTCTCCTTCAAAGTATCCAGGTTCCATTGCCTCATCCGGAATCCCACCGTATGGCAAACTCGGATCTTCAAACTCATCCATATCAACGTCCACAACCTCTGTCGGAGGTTTCGGGGCACTTTGCCTCTCTTCACCCTGGAGATCTCGTTGACTCTCATGGGTGATCTTAGGACGTTTCAGGAGTGAAGGCTCGCTTCCAGATTCCATCACCCCCGCATCCTTGGAGCTTCTCGGACTCGTATCCAGAATCCAGAACTTCAGTGGTCGGCTCTGCCCTTTCCAACCTTTGTCGCTGATTCTTCAACCAGTCGTCATACCGCTTTCGGCATTCAGCATTGTGATTCGCCTTACCTCTTTTCGGTCCACACGCTGGACAATTCACCGTACCTCCATGCTCTTTCACCCATGCAGCTGGTGGTCCCACTTTGCTCATGTCTGTGGTCGGACCCTCTGAAAAAACAAGCGGTCTTTTCCACTTAAGTTTGGGCCTGAATGTCGCATCATCCGAATCATGCAACGCACTCCTGGCAAAACATGAAAGACGTGTCAAAGCACTAGAAAATCTGTACACAAGATATGCTAGGGGGTAAATGGTAAAGTTCATCACCCCGCCTGAGATTGCAGTGTTCGAACTGCATATCTCACATGACCTTTCGTCTGCTACTCTGTGCGCGTCAGCATGTCTTTACAATGACTGCACGTGCTCAACCTCCTTGGGGGATTGAGGGAACTCTTCAAGGTTCCACAGCTTCTGTGATGAAAACACTCACCACTTCGTGTAACGAAAAGCTCTTGGGGTACCACGATTCTCACATTGGCATCAGAACGGACTCGCATCAGCTCACCATCAGTTGGCTCAGTACTCGTCGGTTGCAATTTGTGCTCCAGCTGAAGAATGTAGCGATGCATGGTCCACACCACCCCAAGAAGAAAGAAACACATGTACTGCTCCATGGTACACTCCGGCATCAGTCCACACAGGAAGATGAAACTCATGACTCATGATCATCTTGGTCGCAAAGTCTTGCGAGCTCATTTCCAGAAGACTGTTCATGTCGAAACCATGGAAGTCTCTAGCCCAGCTCAAGGCCCGGTAAATGCACAAACCACAGCACAACAGGACGGTAGCCCAAGTCACGTTCGCCATGCCATGACGCTGGTACGGATTCGCCGCCTCTGCTGCATCTCCAGTTGTAGGCAAACAAAGAAGAGTAAGAAGTGCTACCTGTTTCGTCAGCCTGCTTGCTTCGCCCTTCAAGGAACCGGTCACTCCATGCTGCCGAGCATATTCAGTACGAACTCTCTTCACCTGCATCTTTGCTTGATCTTGCAGAGCCATTTGTGCAAACTCTTCCTCGCCAATAGCCTTTCCTGTGAAAGCATCAACGAAACCATGCAAGAACAGTAAGGCTCGCAAACGATTGGCACTGTGCATCTTTGTAGATAAATCGCCAAGATTGAAAATGCTTGCAATTGCTCCAACATCGATGATCTTCTCACGCACTGATTGCTGCAACCACAAGAGACGACCAGCTACATGGCGAGTCTTGTTCCCAACGCCTTGGCGTAAGGCGAGCTGTCTCGCTGCTGAATTGTCTATCTTAAGATCCAAGGAGCATTCTGTAATCGCCGCCATGAAGACGAAAATCGCCCTCAGGAAAATTCCTTCGCAAGCAGCACTTATCGCAGCATACCATTCGGCTTCTGCTGATGAAAGACTCACAGTGCGATGTGACCTGCAAATGTGATGGAACACACAACCATTCACTGCATACGACGCGGATCCAAAAGACTTTCTTGTAACCCGATGTCCACTCCAATCAGAATCGCTGTAGATCTCAATTCGGTTGGGCATATCATCGTGATTCGCCTCGCGGAAGACTGTGGACCCAGGAAGCTTGGGTGAAAGCAACGTGGCATACTCAGCAGTGTTAAGCAGATACTTCGCTAGTCTGATCAATCCTTTCCATGCCTGTTCGGTGCGATTTGACATGAATCCTGCCAAAAGTCGGACAGAGTAGCAGATGTCAATGCGATCACTTGACAAATACAATGCAATACCCAGTGCACTCCTGAACTTCCCTGCTCGAACAGGGTCAAGAGGACCAGATACATCTTCGCGAATTAGCTCTGGAAGATATGGTGTGTTATGCTTCGATCCGTGCTTGACATCAAGTACTTCGGCCATGTGTCGTATGTAGCTGCTCGAAGCTTCCACTAAAATCCCAGATTCCAAAATAGTGTGCTTTCTCTTCAAGAAAGAAAAGACATCTCCATTCTTGTACGCAATCTCTACCGAGATCTCGAAACGCGATTGCAATGTAGGGATGTACTTCTGCTTGAGCCATGTCAAGGGAGCAAGCGTAAGACCATCGTCGACATGCATGATCATCGGGCCCTCGGGCACACGCATGATTGCCGGGTTCTCAACACAAGACTCAAGGGCATCGAACTTGTCGGTCAAAAACTGTACGAAATATCCAAACCATCTTTGTGCACCATCTCTCTGTCCAGGCACACACTTCTCAATGACGTATTGTCCTTGAAGCATGCAATCTTTGGGTAGATCAGCGACAACGGGCTCCTGTTACCTCTAAATAGGCGTCTTTGACATCTACCGCACATATCGCATATTGCTCTGGCCTCGTCGCTCTCCACAAAAGAAAAAGGATCGGAATGAGTTTCACCATATTTGTCGTGGTACTTGGGGAAAATAGCCCTTGTTTCTCCTCAAGCCACTTGTACTCCCTTGCCACGAGTCTGGATCTTCGGAGATACTGTGACATCCCATTCCTCTTCTTCTGCCGCCAAGTCCTGACCATTTTGGTCGAGAGACTCTTCATCAATGAAACGTTGTCCTGGACGACGGGCACAACACACCCTTCTTTGAAAGCTCAGGTCCGGGTGTTGGAACACTTTCGGGCACCCTGAAAGACACATTCAGCTTCGGGGGGGTCCACACCACCTCCCACGGGCGTTGGAGGCGGGTTCCAAGGTTAGGACCTCCATGGTAGGAGTCAACCCCATCGGAACTGGCGTCTCAGATGGATCTGAAGCTGCAACGTCTTGTAGGCTGCTTGGTGCAGGTCAGGTCTTCCTTGTCTTGGCCGAGGAAACCAAGAAAATCGCCTTCAGCCATTTTGGGTCTCCTTTCTTCTTTGCATTGCACTTGTGCAAACACTGCTCTCCATGCGTCAACAAGCTTCCCGGTGTTCGCAGCGTTGCAAGTGCGTTCATACGTTATAAGTCCTTCTGCCACAGCAAACCTGTTCCGGATCCATACAGCACGCACAGGACCATGCGAGGAGAGGATGCACAACATCGATCTTGCATCCAGTCTTATGCCTTACCAATGTCCAAGAAGTGCACCAACCTTTGGTCTACCGCTTTCTCCCATTGGCTTGGTGGTAGCCAACAGAAGGATTCCTTTCAACCGTCTTTAATCCCAGCCTCTGTGGTGTGAAGCACTCTCCGTGGCAATTTTTCCAAAATGCAAGTTTCAGCACTTTTCAAGGTTTTTGGATTCATTGTTTGCAGGCGTCGCTGGGTGTTGTTCAGCTCTGCAGTGGTCTTAGCCGGAATTGACCCAAAACGGAATTATCTGAAAGCTGCATATTTTCAGAAATTTTGATTTTTGTTTTTGAAAACTATGAAAAAATTTTTTTTCCTTTATTAAAAACAATGTTTTTTGAAAATTTTCAAAATTTAAATTTTGATTTTTTGTTTTGCTCCCATTTTACCTGGGAAGATAGCATGTAGGAATTCCAAAATGATTTGTTTTTAAACCAACCATCCACAGAATGCACTCTGGATTTTGGACGCCGCGTTTCTCACAATGTTTTTTTTTTAAACTTGCAGCTTTTCTGTTTTGGCAGCCTGCCACAACCGAGAGACCGTCTGAATGTTGCGTTCCACCACAAAATCCGTGAACTCAGACCGCGACGACGCGTGGGTGGTGGTGGCGGGACTCATGACTCATGACGATGACATGACTCATGACTCATAACTCATGACTCCCATGTCTTTGCACTTTCGTTTGATGTTGGTTGATGGTAGGTGCGCCGTCTCATCCCTCTTTGAATCTTGCTCTGGCTCCGAGTCACGAAAGATGCCTCGTACCCACAACTGCCCATCAAAAGCCAGGTGATCGAGGTCCTGCCATGGCATCAAGGAAGTGAACTGGTGGTCTGCCTGGCCTGATTCTTGATATTGGCGGTGTTGCAGTGTTTGCAAGCCTTTGAAGTGCAACGCATTAACGCCAGGTTGCTGTGCTAACGGCAGTTTCCATGTGTTAGGCGGACCAGTCGCATGAAGAAAGCTTGCTTTTTTAAAGATACATGTGTCAATTTTGCGATGTTTCCTCCATGTTAAACGCGTTGCTCGATCACTGCGGATGTTAGACGCTCAACAGAACGATAGCAACATTCTGGCCATACCAGAGTTGACCAGTTTTGCACTGAAGCAGAACTTCCAACCACACCAAACGAGCTGGTCTCCAAAGGCAGCTTTCTTCCAGCTGATCGGGACACCGATGATTGTGAGGAAAGCCACCGTGAGGGCGAGCTGCTTCGGGGCCTTATGTCTGAGGAGGCACAGCAGTCAGTCGTTGACGTAGAGCCAGGCTTTGTGAGGCTTGTGGGCGAGTACGTGGTGCAGCAAGCGCAGAAGCAGGGCTCCAACCCTCTGCGTAGGCTGAGAAGCGAGCGCCAAAATGGCACACCACGCAGGCGAAGAGGCGATTGGCGTGTCGGAAAAGCAATAGTCCTTGGTCTGAGGGCTTGACCTTGACCCGTTTGTGGCGGCTTTAAAGTCTAGGGCGGCTCCTTGGGAGGCGTTTAGGGTCTTTGGGCTTGAAGGAGACCCTAACGTCTGCAGATGTGGGCAAGCAGACGCGTTCAGGCAATGTGCACAGTGGGTTTACGTTGCAAATTGAGCTGTCTAGGACCATTCTGGGATCCTTGCCCTCGGCCTGCACAACGTTGAGCTTGCCGATGGCTATGCCCTTGGGGCACGTAGTCGTGCGGCGGCTTCGCCTCCGTGGACTTCGGCTACCCACCCCTGGGCTATCTCCTCATCAATGAGCTGCTGGAGTAGGCCGGGTTGGGCTTCGGCGTTCTTCCAGTTGGAGTCACACTCCTTTAGGCACCTAGTCTAGTGGATGCCCCCCATCCACGGAGGGCCACTGATGGCTGCTGGGAATGGGCTCGAAGATGCCCGTGGGCACTCCCTCCTGGAGGATTGAGGGAAGGTGTCGGTCTATGTCGGCCGTGAGCTGTGCCAGATGGGCAAGCAACGAGAGGCGGAAGGGCTGTCCCTCTTCTGTCTGGCATGCCACGGAGGGGTGCATGTGCAGGGCCAAGGCTACTTCTTCCATGAGGGCCTCTTGCTCTGTCTCTGAGATGGGGTGTTCGGGTTTCCCCTGTGCGAGGTGTGCAATGATGCGCTTGTATCTGTCCCCATCCAGACACCACTTCTGGAGCACCGACGACAGAGGCTTCAGCGGGCTGGCTTTGTGACTGGGCATTGAGCAGTCTGCGGAACTGCGTAGGCCAGCTCCGTCGCAGATCGGGGCTCTCGAGCCGCTCGATGCCATGTGCGTCTGGGGCGGCGGGGAGTCCGGTATTGCCTCTGCCGGCCCGCCTGGTTGGGGCCGAAGCTAAAGCAGCCCAGAAGGGCTTGTGCCAGAGATGCTGGATACTCGGCTGTTTGCGAGCTAATGAAATTGCCTGCTTGGTCCCTCTTGCCTCTGATTGACGCGTGCTGGAAGGTGTGCCTGCATGAGGACTGTATGGGCTGTATGTGCGGGCTGTTGGAGCCCAGGCTTTGGACCACATGCATCCGTGTGTGCAGGCATCGACGTGCACGACATGGGTCGATGCTGACTGAAGCAGTTGTTGGCAGGAGGGCTCTAGCCAGGCCATGCTTGTGGGCGGGTTTTCCAAAACCCAGATGCCCCCCGATGCCGCAACAGCGCGGCAAAGCTCATGACACCTCAGGTGTATGGTTTTGCTTTCAAGGGCTCGATGCTGGAGTTTAGGCGAGTTCGACGGTAGGCCGTCCATGTGCTCTGGAGATCGGCAAGGGGGTGGGCCCCCGGGCGCCAGTTTAAGAATGGAGTAGTCGCGACACGGAGGTGCGGCCACCAGGAGGCCGATAGAACCCGACCAGGCAAGTTGCAGTAGGCGGTGAAAGAAAGCATCCTGCAGGATGTCATGTTGGGCATTGACAGCAATGTCGATGGGCTCCCAGCGCGGTATGGATTGTAGGCTGGCGGCGGCTGAGATGGGCGCAGACTTTCCTGCGAATAGGTCCAGTAACTTGCGTGCCTGTGTGGGCGGATTGTCGTGAGGTCTGCTGCCCGCAGTTTGCGAGGTATCTGCAGGGCGTTTCCAGGTAATGTTCGGAAAGAAGGCTGTGCGAGGTCTGGCCTCTGTCGTGCGGAGGCTGTCGGGCACTGCGAGAGATGTGTGCTGGGTAGGCGGTATGCCGTGTGGCTTCCGGGACATGTCGGCTGCAGGCTTGGCAGGCGATTGGTCCTTGGCCTGAGGCGGCTGGGGGCTGGGAGCCCGAAAGGCCGAGGCTTCCGACGTGGGCGGGAGCTGCGGGTCCGGCATGGGGAGTGGTGGTCCCAGTTGTCGGGGACGGTCCGGGCCCGCCACTGGGGGTGCGAGGCCCGGACTGTTTCAGGTCCTGGGCTTGCCGTGCTCATTGGCGGGGTGCTTTTGGGCACACCCTCGAACTGCACACACGTGGGCGAACTTGCACTCCTTGAGTTGGCATTGGCCGTTTTGATAGCGGCGGCAAATGGGCTGTCCCTGTGCACTGCAACCCAATTAGACGGAAGATTTGTAATCTTCCCTTTCCCCTTCCCCTTCTTAGGCGGTCTCTCTGCTCCCTTGTCTACCTTGGGAGGTGGGGGGGGCGTGTTGGGCGATTTGCGCTTGTTGGGACTGTCGGCGTTCTTGCCTTGGCCCTTGGGCTGACCTTTGTCGGGCTGCATCTTTGGGCGTAGCTGCAGTAGGCTGGAGAGATCATTCCTGATGGAGGTGATCTCATGCAGGGCGTCATCAAGGCTCCATGATTGTGCGACCAGTTCCGACAGCGAGGCCCATATTTTTCTGTCGGCAGAGATGAGCTCGGCGGTTGTGGGCGTTCTTAGGCCTAGCTGTGCATCTGGTTGGTGTAGGCAGAGCTCCTTGACCTTTTTGTCAAAGCCGGTGTCGTCGAAAACGGACATCTGGCCCATCCCAGCTGCAGACAAGACTGTATGGGTGCGCATCGCTGACCCAAACGCACAGGCAATCACATTGCGCAACGACAGCAAAGCCGCCTTACACTGGCTCGCTCAGTGCTTTACGCACGAATTCCGCATGCCCCTAGCCCAGCCGCCCTTACTCCCTTGCCTCTCTGCAGCAGACGCCATGGCAGATGGCTCGCAAGTTGGGATCGGGGGCTGGTTGTGCACGTCCAGCCAAACTTTCTGGTTCGCGCAACAGTGGTCCATAGCAGAACTACGTGCCCACTGGCCTTTCCTCACGAAGGATGCCCAGCAATATATTGCCTGCTTCGAGACCATCGCGCAGTGGGTCCTATTGCAGATGGACTACTCGGCCACCGGTTGCTCCAGCCTTCGCTTCTGCTTGAGCGACAACAGCCCAACACAAGCCTCAGTCAACAAGCTGTTTACCACCGCCTTTCCCCTCAGCCTCTTCCTGCAGCCTCCTGGGCCCACGCTAAAGGACTGAGCCTAGAAGTGGGCCACATACCGGGAGTAAAGAACACGGACGCTGACGACCCCAGCCGAAACCGCCTGCAGAAGTTCACCGGCGCGACCAAATCCAAGAGATTCCACATCAAGCTGCAAGACCTAGCTCGGTCGGAGCACGAGGTCAGCCTATGGCCCCCAAACGCCAACTGGAGCACTGGCCTAGTGAGGTTTCAGCACATCCAGCCTAGTGCCCCGGGCACCAGCCAGACCGCCCGCGGTGGGGGTAGATAGGCCTAATGCATTCACCGGTCTGCCCTGGGCCCCTGAAGTGGGGGTGTGATGGCCTTTCATGCTCGTGGGACATTGCCCAGCCTTTCCCACGAAGCATTCTACTCTTTCGCCCAGAGCAGCACCGCTGAAAACAGGAGAGCGAGTCGGTTGTACCCTAAGCCCCTCCCTTTTGGGACTTAGGATTAGGGTTTGACTCCTCTCCCCAACTAGGGTTAGGTCATGCAGTGCTTGTTGGGAGAACGCTTCGGGTTTTTGGTTCCCGTGTGTTTTCCCACAAGTGAATCATGCACCGCCGTTTGCATTTTGCCCAGGCATGCCTTTGCACAGCTGGAGCATCTCCGGCTCACAGCTGGCCTTGACCTAACCCCTAGGTGGGGCCTTCTGCTTTTCTTCGCCCGCCCACCACTGCCCTTTCTCATTCAAAGCCTAGCATTCCAAAAGCCTGGATCCGTCCGGATCCCGCCTCCCAAAGTGGAGTAGCCCCTCAGAACTGCCTACTTGCCTCCCAAAGTGGAGTAGCCCCGGTCCCGCCTCGGGACCTCATCTCACCTCAACAGGGGGTGTGGGTGTGATGGCCTTTCATGCTCGTGGGACATTGCCCAGCCTTTCCCACGAAGCATTCTACTCTTTCGCCCAGAGCAGCACCGCTGAAAACAGGAGAGCGAGTCGGTTGTACCCTAAGCCCCTCCCTTTTGGGACTTAGGATTAGGGTTTGACTCCTCTCCCCAACTAGGGTTAGGTCATGCAGTGCTTGTTGGGAGAACTCTCAGTTTCCAGTTCGATCTCCCTTTGATTCTTCATTTTCCAAAAAAGCCCTGAACCCTACATAATGCAATAGCCACATTCTTTTCCAGTCCTTTATATATCAGATGCATGCACGAATGGCTTGCGAGATGGAAGAAAAGGGAGGAGGAACCATGGAGGGTTCAGTGCTTCAGGGTACAATAATGGAGATTCAAACGGAACAGACAATGGATATTGAAAGTGAAATTGAGCTCAAGTCTTGAATGTTGGCTGCTGTTAAGCTGTCTTGGTTTAACAAGGCTTGAAGGCTTGAGATGGGAGCTGCCGGTGCCAGCTGTGGTGCGGGAACCTCGCGCAGAAAGCATTCCCCCTCTCTTGTTGACTTACTTGCTAAATCCCTTGTCCCTAAACCCTGAACCTTTTGGAAACCCTCTTGGTAGCCGAACTTCTTGCAATACGACCGGCGGGGTCAAGCCTTGCTGTCAGCATATGGGTAGTTCCCAAATTGGGTCCTTTGGTACCCCTAAATATTTGGTGCCGTAAAGAACCTATCACCAATAGGGGCGGTAGGTTGTCACAAGTCTGGTCCCCTTATAATACAGACCTCGTCTTCAGGGCAGTGCCAACTTTAAAGTCTCTCGCTTAAAACCACTCACCCCTAAAGCCCAAACCCAAAACAGTCAAAACTAGTATCCTCCTTCATAACCCCAATCTTCGTATTCCCTTCTACAACCCCCCTTAAGGAGTAAAGATTATGGCTCAATGAACCAAAACCGATAATATTGATAGCCCCGCCGCCGCCTGTAGAACTTGGGCTTGGAGCCGAACCCATGCTTCGGGGACGACTCGTCCGACGAGGATGCTACCGGTGTTACAGGGCGATGAGGGGATAAGGTACTACAGTAGGGGGGATGTATTGCTGGAAGTAGCTGCCAATGGTTAAGCAATCCATAGCCCCTGGTTATGAATATTCATGCCCCACTGCCATAACCCGATAAATCCGGGACCCGAATCCCGTCTCTAAACCCGCGAACATTCAACCCGACCATCGAAGCCATGGGCACACTACATGTGCTGCAGCAGCTGTTGGGCGAGAATCTTGCCTGGCTCCCAGCGCTTGTTGGCACCCATGTCGAGGGTTAGTTTACCTCGACCTGAGCATGATGCCCCAAACCCAAAAATGGCTTAATGGTGGTTAGCATAGGTAATGAGGGAATATATTAGCTAGGTTTAGAGTTTAGGGTTAGAAGGAACAAGGGAATACATTACAGCCGCCAACCCTCCGCCCCACAAGCGTTATTCAGCATACTATTTGAGTCCAGGTAGGGCAAGTAGGGTCCAGGGAACAGATCGCGACCAGGGCCTTACGATGGCTAATGGGGTCATCGGAAACTACTTCAATTTCTTTGCGGGTTTCGGGGGTGTCCTGAATACTTGCCACCCCTATACTTTTCCACACCCGCTCATACGGAAAGAGTTGCGAGGGAACGACAGACCCTAAACCCTAGACCCCCAACACCTGAAGCTTGGCCTAGGGGTTGCCTTAAGATTGCGGCTCTATTGACTCTATTGCTATGCTCACTCCACCCGACGTTGGGGGAGAGGTCAAGTATAGGAATATGAGCTAGCCGTAGGAAGGAACCGTGGGCATAGGGGTCCCTCTTGTATTTCGTGTAGTCCCGGATATGGAACTGTCCATGGTTTAGAGCGGGACAACTTCCCTAAACCCAAGCGTCATGAGATAGTAGTATCCGTTTCGTTTTGCGCTTGATTTTGCCATTATTGGTGATGTCCCTAAAGCCTAAAGCCTTTTCCCTTAGGCTCTTGCAACCGAACCGTAAACCCTAAACCATAAGCCTTAAACCTCAAAGCCTATAGGAATATGAGTCAGGGGAAGGGCAGAACTATGGCGGTGTGGGCATTCTTCATCTGTAGAGCTGGAAGGATTCAACAGATGAAGGTTTCTAGGGCTTCAGGGCTTTGCGGCGTCAGGCTTGTAGGGTTTAGGGTTTAGGGCTGCTGGGGCTTGGTTGCTATGAGTTCTTGAATGTTGGGAATGAAAGTGTAGGTGGATGTGGCCCAATGAAGCTTCATGCATCGTCGCCTTACTTTCTACATGGAAGCCAAATTACAGGCACAACAACATTTTCTTCAAATAGGATGCAGTCGCTAGCTTTTAGAAAAGGCGCCTGATGCAGAAACTTGCAACCAGTCCGAGCAACATGTCTTGAAATACAGCAAAAAAGGACACAAGCGTTGGACTCTTGTGAAGCACAAACGACCCACTGCGGGCACGAACTCCAGCCACAATCGAGGAATGCTGTGATCTTACATGGTCTTACCATCAAGACAGACTTGGATTCAAGTCGTGAAAAATATTCAGTAGAGCCCCTCGTACAACCAGCAAGAAACATGAAGCCTGTAGAGTAACTTTTTGCTCCGGCTCCGTTCGTGGGCAGGGGGTGGTGCTGCTGGCTGGGGCCTTGGCAGATTTCAGGGTTTAAGGTGTGGTCTTTCGGCCACAGGTACTGCTTATCGTAGGGTGGTCCCTGCAGAAATCAGTCCTTGATTGCTCTTTGGCCGTGAGCGTCTAACAGAGCCTACCGCCTGATTCCAAGCTGCGTGTGGCAAGGAAGAAGCAAAGATGCGCATCGCGTCCAGAAAGGTTCACGACTCAGCATGTGCTCGTGCACACTACTCCTGTTCATAAGCCTGAGCCGGCCTGGATGTGGCTGGAGATGCTCCCAGAATTGACACAGCATGTGAAAACTTCGCACAACACTTATTCATTATTCAAAAAAATCAAAGCTTGGAAATGATGACCCAGCATTGACTCGCACGTGCAACAGAGAGACCCAAAAAGTTTCGATACAAGCAACCATTGAGGTCCTTCCTCTTCCAACGGAAGCCCTCTCAAACCTGATGCCTTGGAAGTATAGTGAGATCTCCTACTGCCAAGTAAGACATGTAAACCCTCGCGGGCCAGTGACTATGCTGTGACCGCAAGCAGTCTGATTCGCACGACACCAAGCTCAAACCCCAGCCTTCAATCTTGAGCAACGTGTCTAACATGCGAATGTCCTTGTAGGCTCCCATAATAATTCCCACTGGAGGGATCCCCAAAATGGAACCCAGTTCGTCAAGCCGCCCACACTAAGACCCCAGAAAGCCTGAGAATTGCAGCTCGCAGAGCGCAGGCGGGGAGCTTGGATGTGAGTTATATTCTGATCTCCTTAGAGGGGGTTATATACGGGATATTCAGGGGGATCCCAGGAGTTTAGACTACGGGCTGTCGAGCTGTAAGCCGGTTTACATAGTCCCCCTCGCCTAATATTAAATACTCCTGCCACATCATGGGTGCAGTTAATGTTAGGGGCTGAGAGGGTTGAATATCAAAGGGGAAGGGACTAGTTGGATGCGTCCTTCTGTGCGCGACGCCGGGGAAAGCAAGGATTCTGCTCATTTCACTGGCACCTGCCCTTTGACATGGGGTATAAGATGTGATTGCAATCCAACCATCCAACCATCCAACCATCCAACCATCCAACCATCCAACCATCCAACCATCCAACCATCCAACCATCCGTCCATCCGTCGAGCCATCCAGCCATCCAGCTATCCAACCAACACATCCATCCCTCAGAGCCTCATCACCCTTAGCTTCCTCGGTGCAACGGAGAAAGGGGGGCATTGTTGCACAGTGTTGACCATCACAATGTGTGCGTCCAGTCTGCGTCGCAGCTGCTGCTTTGCATCGGCATGCGGATCAGGGCAAGAAGCAAGCGGGAGCAGCCACCACGATTCAAGCGCCTTCGACGTACCAGTGGCGGTAGGCTCTGCAGTGCAAAGGCTGCTACCTCCCCAAGCCGCAAACTATGCCTGCCGAAGAACGCATCCGAGACTCGCGGATCCTAGACCCTGCACGTGGATCAGGGCGGTCGGCCTTCACAGCCGCTGCACACAACTACTCAAGCCTTTGTGCACTGTACCAACGAGCCTTCCGTTAAAGAGCCCCTTAAAAGCATTAGAAAATAGGGGCTCGCTTGTGAATATAAGATTGTGCTCACGCATTCGTTTCACTCCCGGGCACGTAATGAATACACTAAATCACAAGCGCGGGGTAAGAATGTAGTCGTAAAGTTGTTTACGGGCCCATCTTATTCTCATTTAACTGGCCGGTGTAAAAGCCCCTACAAAAGAAGAACACATGGGCTCACGGAAGGGCGTGCGGTGCCGCCTGCTACGGCTGCTGGTCTGGCTTGGCGGGGGTTGTTACGCTTTGTTGTTCCGTTTTTTCGGCGTTTGTGTTGCAAGAGATCTGATGGACTCTGCAGGAAGGACGGTGGCTTCTGTTTTTCCCAGCGAATGCGAGAGCGAATTCATTAGAGATGTGGGAGCGCTCCACAGATCTGTTCGTTGCTGATAGTTGGGCTATGCCGCTACTTTGGCAACACAGCTATCACAGCACTTGCTATTGTTGCTGTGCCGCTGCGAAGCTGGGCTTGTTTTGCCTGCTGGGTTTTAGAAGTTGTCCGGCCGAACGTTCTTTCTTCAGAGAGCTGGAAATGCATGTCATGTTTCGAAGCCAACTTGCGTTGTTGTGGTGGCCATGTCGCTCTTAGAAAAATCACAGGCTAGGCCATCTAGACGGACGACATATAAAGACCGCAGCAAAGCATGCAAAACAACTTCCCTCAGCAAGGGCAAATGAAATCTCGGATGGGCATTATGTGTGGAAACATCCCGAACCTGAACCCTAGAAGGACTGGACTTGATCAAAAGAGGTTGGAGTTTCTTGGAGAGGCTGGCTAAATTGCGGTAGCACTGTCTCGCTTTGATTTGAATTGTGACGCTGAACAAGACTTCTCACAGTGGCGGGGAAAGCCTGCCATGTGTGGGGCAGAGCAGCGGAGCATCGGGGATGGGGGAGCATCTCGTCATAGCGACCTGGGAGCCGAAGAGGGTGGGTTAGACAGTTTCGAGCACAGTTGAGGGACTGAGCCACAAGGGTGCTTCAATCTGTTGCATTCGGTAAGAGCGCTTGCCATCGCTGTCATTATATTTGTGTGTGACCCTGGCACACACGGCAACTCCCATTGCTGCGAGTTCGTGGACAAGCCTGTCCCCTCAGTCGACATCCAAGTGGAAGAGCGGCAGGTGCAGGCTGGGAAAGAGTCGTATTCTTGTGCACTTCGTTTCAAAATATCACAAGCTTCCATCTTGGCGGCGATATGGGAATATGTTTCCGAGCAGAGTTCAGGCCAAGCCGACTGTCTTGATGGAGGAAGAGATCTTAGAGATCCCGCAGCAGCAAGTGGTGGAGGTTACACGCCAGGAGACGTTTCCTGTGCTTCTTGTATGGGTGCGAAGTGGCACGATGATCAATCTGAAGACCCCACAGCAAAGTTGCAGAACAGGTTGTCTGAGAGCACATGTCCGGAGACTTCCATTCCACAGCTTCGAAAAACCATTGCAGAGTGGATATCCCTAGTCTCTATATGAACGGAAGATGGACGGAATTATTTACCTTATTCTTGACCCCCCAACCTGGCTTCGGCGTTCATGTTAAGAACAGCTGCTGTCGCCCGCACGAGGGTCTGCGGCATTGGGTATGTGTGTGGCCGTGTCAGGAGCTGCAGCCAGACCTCGAAGAGGTGGTCAAAAAGGCGTAGAGTGTCAGGAGAGCGAAAGAGAGATGTACACAATGCATACATATATATATATATATTTATATGACCGAAGCAGCACGGACCTTTCTTTGGTGTGACCTTGCACAGGCAGCCCGCCGTGGCCACAAGGCTCGCAAGGTGTGGAGCCCTAGGGTGAGGCCAAGATGTGAAGCTCATACTCGTCGGTTCATGTTGGTTCATCACGGATTTTAGGGTTCTGCGTCGTTTATTTTGTGGCGAAGGTCCACGATTGATTGGGTTGGTCCAGGGCAAGTGTTCAGCATGCAGAGTTGTGGGAGCTATGCAGCTATGCCAATTTTCATCTACTGAGGATTCCACCTAAATAGTCACGCTGGTAGTTTGCAGCTGGCGGTAGAACTGGAGACGATGATGGTTTTGGTGGCGTGGTAGTGGTCCGCGGAATGACGGTTGTCGTGGTACAGACACAACACTCGACAGACTGCAGTCGATCGTGCCCCTAACGAGGAATAAATCTGTACACGGTAGTAGTATTCTTCGCTTTGTTCGTCGCGTTGTTCAGTCGTGGTCCATCTATATTTCAGGATTTGGGGCGCTAAGACCTGCAGGTTGGGTGATTAGGCATTGATTGAAACCCACAGGGCGCCCTGCGGGCAGGGTAACAGCTCCATAAAGCACGGGGCCAGGAACCCCCTTTTGGTCGAGGGGGATGCCTTCAGCGTCAGGCATCTCCCCACACGCCAAGGTGCCAAGGGGACACTGTTCGAGTATTTGCAGCCACAAGGGCATCAGCTGAATGTGCTTTTGCCCTTAGATTCGCTGCCGGTGCTGTGCGTGTGTGCGTGTTTGTTCGACCACCTTTCCCAACCATGCCCCGTCTCTGAGCCAGTGTCCCCAGCTTAGTACTTCGGTGAGGGATCATCGTGGGAAGAGCTTTGTTCCTGCGATGTGGGCTGTCTTGCCAAGTGTCCAATTCCAACTCAAGCCGCCCGGCTTGGGGGGGCGGGCCCATGGAGGTTCGGGTGGCACACCCCTCCCAAATCCCAGGCTCGGATTGCGGGGCCCGGAGCGTTGAACTCTGCACCGGAGCCCCGATGACGCATGCGGAGGGGCAAAGAAGGCGAGAGGGACCGTTTCCGTAGGCCGGAGAGCACCCCAGGTCGACACTCACTCACTCACTCACACGGCCAGGAAGTCTTTATCCGCTCAACGTTGTAGGTCATGCCAACTACCCCCATACCAATGCTTCACCCTTACCCGGAACCCTGAACCATAAACTCGAAACCTGAAACGCTAAACCCAATGTAGTTTCTTTCGGCTTAGGGTTGTTTTCGAATAAATATGTAGAGCAGGTTTGTTCCAGGTATGTAATATCGCAGCCGGGCTTCTCTCCATTTCCTTCCGGTGAAATAAACTAGGAACTCGGGGGTATATTATACTATATGGTATTGTATTACATAACATTGTTTATAGTACATTATCTTAGGGGCGGCGTTGACGACATGAAGTCGCAATGTTTGTATTTGAGTTAGGCTCCGAGCCCCGAGGTGTGCGCTGGCAAGATGCTTCTATCCCTGGCGAAGGTGCCATGGGACCGTTCTGGTGCTTCAAGCGTCAGGCATGTTCTGTCGAAGTGCTGAGCCCGCAGTCTCTAGCCAAGTGCTGAATCTTGTTCCCAGCCCGAGGCCCAACTTGTGTACATACGTGTGTGGGCACAGCTGGTAGTCTGCATTCATTATGTGTGTTGTCTATATTTTTGCCTGTACGTACATCTGAACAGGTGCAGCCAGGCATACGTAAGAGTACGTATGTGAATGTGTCCACATGAACTGCAGGGCAAAGACTGGCAGCCGGAGAGTGCGCCGAAAGGCCAGGTGGCAGAAAGTGAAGTCTTCAAGCTGGGAAAAGTTTATTGGGATGTCACAGCATTGAACCACAGCCTGCCCAGATTGCCAGGAAAGTCCTGGGCCTGGGATGCAACAGATTGGCGTTACGAAGCAGGTGCGCTGTTGGGTTTTGGCTCTGTTCCTCGTGGTTGGGTGTCGCGGTTCAGAGGATGTCTGCCGACTTTGCTGCATGCAAGTCGCAAGACTGTATATAGTATTGTTTGAGAAGGTCAAGAAATGGTTGAAGCATTGCAGTACCTCGTGGCTGCGTAGTTTGCACAGTTTTAGCTGATCTTACGGACAGTACAACACAATTTGCAGAGTGGTGGCATGATTCTCTTTTTCACATAACTTCTTGAAGTTTCCGCATGCCCACACACACACATGCTGGTCGACACTCCCTACTGCCACAGCCTCTGTATACTAACAACAGCATTAAGCACGGCCACGGCGCAACAGCAGCCCAGGTATGTACAAGTGTACAAGTAGCAGGACAAGTGTTAACATTGAAATGCGAAGGGACAAAAGTATGTATGGCAATGCCACTAGCTGTTAAAGATGGCATTAAGATCGCCATGCCACTGGCTAGAAGGAGCCTTATCGTTTCTCGTTGTCAAACAAACACTTCAAGTCAAGCCGTGGTTCTTCTTCGCAGTCTGGTTGCAACGCGAGGCAGCTCCTGGAACGATTGGCAAGGCACGGACACATGGAAGCCAGCAGGTGAAGCATTGACTGTTTCCGGATTTGTGGCTTAGGGTTGGAGGGTTGCGAATTCACTAGTACTTCGGATGAGGATTGTGGGTTCAGGGCGGAGGGTTTCGGGTTGAGGGCGGAGTTTGGAAGCTTCCTTTGCGGCTGTCTTTGAGGTTCGGTTTGGGATGCGGCCCTCGTGGTTCAGGAGGTTCAAACTTCGCGTGTGTTCTGAGGTGTCAGGGTTTCAGTTTCCGCATCCATTTGGTCAAGGATGCCCTGGCCGGACTACGCAAAGCAGCAGCTGCTCATGCCGGGCACTCGGCCCCAAATGGCCGTCCGCCAAGCCCCATCGCGATTTTTTGAAATCAGTGGCTTCATAGAGGGGCCTTGATTGGTGGTGATATTGTACTTTAGCAAGACAGGGCTTACAAGGGGACAGAATACTGACCCATGTTTCAGATCGGAGGCACAGCTTCCGAATGAAAGTACGCAGCGCAGATGCAGGGAAACACCACTTGTCGGAGAAAAGCCTTGCATCCCGAAACAAGGCGTTTCAGATCTCTACAATTCCAAGGGTTTCGGGTTTGCGGCCTTCTCTTCGGGCATGGCTGCGGCATTGCCTATTTCACTGGGCGTGGGGGTTGCCGGGGGTTTTACTTTTAGGAGCCGGACGCCAGCTTCAGAGCAGGGGACTGGCCAGGCAAAACGAAAAATTATGACAGAGTGAACTCTTTTGAGGCCTTAATGTCATGCTTATACCCTGAACTTCGAAATCCTAAATCCCAGCTCCAGACCCCGAAAAACCGAAAGTGTAAGCAGTTCAGGTGGTGGCGGTACCACGTGGAAGGAGGCCGCGACTTGGAAGGAGCCGGACACTGCAGAAATAGTGAAAGCTATCCCCACACAGTGAGAGCACCGCGTAGACGAAGCTCTACATACCGTATCCAAGAACAATACCAGAAGCACCCCGCAGCTGCGGAAGACTGGCCAGGCAGATGGCTGGAAAGCCCATTGGAACAGTGAAAGCCAGGGCAGGGCACCCGGAGAGGGTTTTGGCAACAGGTGATTTTATGGGTTGAATATGGCGGCTGGATTAGAAACTTTATCCTTCCTATACTGCACGCCGAATGCTTAGATTAACAAAGAAGGCACCACGGGTAGGGGACTTACGGAGAAGTCGTTTCAAGCCTGGGTTCATGTTGGACAACGGCTTATGCAGCCTGCAGTTCTAACCTTGTGCTATATTGCCTTGCTCTTGTTGTGTTGCTCTCACTTTTTTCTCACAAGATCACGCATACAGTTGTGATGGCGGCCCCCAGTGCACCTAAACACTGAACAAAGTCTTGCCCGCAGGTCCGATGCTTTCAAAAGCCCGAAGCCTAAACCGTCCTTAAATCGGGAGTTCCAGAAAAGGTTTGCGGAGCGTGCAGTGCAGTAGAAACTCTGCTTGGGGCATTTGGGGTTAGAAGTTGTTTTCGTTAAGTCTATGGTAATCTTATTTGTAAGGTCATATTACTGTCTACCATGTTCTTATTGAAAACCCTGTCCCAATAGTACCCTAGACCCTGGCTTGAAAAGCTGGAACCTGAAGCCAAGACAGGGAAAAGCCCCTGAACTTGGAACTCGAAGTCGTCACCCAAAGCCTAGAACCCTAGAGACCCTTTGGCCCCAACTTCCGCTACCCGTCGCAAGCGGATTCGCTGAGATTCAGGCAATTGGGATGACCACTGGCAAGCAGCAGAGTCCAGCCAAGAGCTCAGGGTTGTGGAGTGTGGTATGTCACAGGGTTGATAGAGGGCCTCTTTGGAGGGGATCCCTGTGGGTTGCATTTGCCGACCAGGCGTGTTGCGGCCCAATGGGGCCCTGTAGGGCCCCTTTGGGCCGCAACACGCCCGGAAGGCAAATGCAACACACGGGGGGGTACTGCCTTGCACGTGTATCGTTGCTCTCACTCCTCTGCCACAAGATCACGCATACAGTTGTCGTGACTGTCGTAATCATGGGTTTACGCTGCTACCAAAATCATTATGCTCATAACCGTCGATTTTTCCTGTCAACTCTGTGACTCTTACGCTTCGTGATGCCGTTTCTATTTGCCAGTGACTGTTGTCAGCTGCGTGTTGTGCCAGTTGCGAACAAATCGACGTCTGTGAATCAATTGACCCCAATGTCCTAAAAAATAGTCGTTATTCTCAAAGCCGGAGCCTTCGGAGAGATAATTTGGAGGATAACAGTATCGACTGTGATCGCAGATGTGTCGCAGCACTTGGTGGGGCCAGTGTTCTGGCCATAAGGAACTTTGGGGTTCTCCGATGAAAGGTCGTGAGGCAGTCTGCATTCATCTTCTTCCAAAAGGATCCGAACCACTTTTAGATCTTGATGAGGAATCTGAGGCCTCTGTTAAAACGCAGCATCGTAGTAGGAGACGGGACGAGACGTGCTCTTGCATGGCCACTTCTGATGCAAGCGAGATTGGTCAGGCGCGGGCGCGCATCTGGGCCTGATGCACGAGAGCTCTGCAGCCTTGAGGGCACCTAAACCCTTGACAAATTCTTGCCCACAGTTCCGTTCTCGGACCTCATCGTCACCATGATCTTCAGCAAGCTGTTTATGACTACTGTGGCGATCGTGTTGGTGGCAATGGTGTTGGTGGTGTTGATATCGTGCTGGACTTTCTCGGAAGGCTTGAGCGTGGACTGCATGAGAAGGGGGGCATCTCAGAAGGCGTAGCCGCCCACGGATCAAGGAACACACCTACGTCATCCCGGACGCAAGCCCCACCCAAGCGAACCCAAATAGAGGATCCGAACTTTTAACGTGCTCCTTCTCAATTCTTTAAGAACTCGAGGGAGACCCCTATATAAACCCCAAACTCTGGACAGCCCTCTCTCCTTGCGGTGCGACTTAGTCAGTTGGGCCGGTGGAAGAAAAACCCTCAGCCGAGTCAGGATGGAGCTGGTGGACGGAGGGCGAGCACGAGGTTCGAGCTCCGCGTTCTAGTTTTAGGGTTTAGGGTCTTGGGTTAAGGGTTATGGATCTAGGGTTTTGGGTTAAGGGCTCTGGGGTTTGAGTTCAGGGTTCTGGGTTTAGGGTTCTGGGTGAAGGGTTCCGGGCCGTGCTGTGCTTCGTCAAACAGGCTTGGAGGTCCTTCACCCGGGCTCAGTAGAGCTTGAACAGCCTCAAATCCTGCTGGATGCTTAGATAACTCGATAGCTCTTAATGCCGACCGACCCTCCTTGATTCATAAGCCCCTTTCAAAAGGAGCCTTAATTTAAGGATCCCTCGCATCTTTCCGCTTGCATCGCGAGGAGTGGTGGAGCTCGGCTCCTTGCAGCTACAACGGACGGCTCCGTTCCGAGAGCTGGTTCTAAGCACTACTGTATACCATTTCGGAGTATATATATATATGTAGTTATAGCGTAAAGTCCATTACGAGTTCGAACGGCCAGTGGATCAATCTGCAACCATCCCCGAGTCCGAGGGCTCTCACAGTTGCACCCTAGGGTGTCGACGCAGCTCACGCTATGGAGGATATTTGCAGAACTGCGGGACTCCCTGAACCCTTCCGCCCAAATAAGAGCTCCTACGTTCGCAGCCTCCAACATGAATCGGCCCAGGTTCGCCACATCGTGGGCCTCGTGGGATGATCGCAGGGAACATAGCTACCGAGCCTCTGCGGCACTTTCTTGGGGCTGTTCGAATTCTGGGTACCTGCTAGTTCTGTTCGGCAAGGGCTGCTGGCCGCTAGAAGGTGCAGTTCGAGCTATGGGGCTGTTATCTACCGCACGAATGCATTGCTAGTCAATGAACCTTTGATAAGTTATTGTGGCCTTGGTTTGCTGCAGTAACTTTGATCGTGTTTCATATGATGTTTGCAGCTTATGGCGCATACTCCAAGGCACAAAACCATATTTTAACCTTTGCTACTAATGCTAAGGCACGCCGTAGGGCGTTCACAAAGCCCCACATTGTTCAGGTTCGTTGTGGCTGTCTTCATGAACTCCGACCAACAAGTTCAAGCTGTTTCAAGCCCGGGTTCATGTTGGACAACGGCTTATGCAGCCTGCAGTTCTTCGTCGTCTTCTTCTTTTTGTACAACCTTGTGCTATATTGTCTTGCTCTTGTTGTGTTGCTCTCACTCCTTTCTCACAAGATCACGCATACAGTTGTGATGGCGGCCCCCAGTGCACCTAAACACTGAACAAAGTCTTGCCCGCAGGTCCGATGCTTTCAAAAGCCCGAAGCCTAAACCGTCCTTAAATCGGGAGTTCCAGAAAAGGTTTGCGGAGCGTGCAGTGCAGTAGAAACTCTGCTTGGGGCATTTGGGGTTAGAAGTTGTTTTCGTTAAGTCTATGGTAATCTTATTTGTAAGGTCATATTACTGTCTACCATGTTCTTATTGAAAACCCTGTCCCAATAGTACCCTAGACCCTGGCTTGAAAAGCTGGAACCTGAAGCCAAGACAGGGAAAAGCCCCTGAACTTGGAACTCGAAGTCGTCACCCAAAGCCTAGAACCCTAGAGACCCTTTGGCCCCAACTTCCGCTACCCGTCGCAATCGGATTCGCTGAGATTCAGGCAATTGGGATGACCACTGGCAAGCAGCAGAGTCCAGCCAAGAGCTCAGGGTTGTGGAGTGTGGTATGTCACAGGGTTGATAGAGGGCCTCTTTGGAGGGGATCCCTGTGGGTTGCATTTGCCGACCAGGCGTGTTGCGGCCCAATGGGGCCTTATAGGGCCTAATGGGGCCCAATGGCTTTCCCATTTGCCCCCATTAGGCCCTATGGGCCCCATTGGGCCGCAACACGCCCGGTCGGTAAATGCAACCCACAGGGGTCCCCTCCACAGGGGCCTCTTATCAACCCTGTGAGTATGCACGGTCTGTTCCCTTCTGCTTGGTACTCCTAGGTCTCTTTGTATGTTTGCCCTTCCTCCTTTATCATGGCTCACCGCGGTTGCTCATGTGGTGTACCGACTCTCTTTCAACCCACGCCGAGAAGTCTGTTTTTTCCCGATGCTTGCGAAATGTTGAACTGAAGTGACTTTGGATGATTACAGGAGCATTCTGACTCTCGACATGAGTTGTGCGAAATCCTGACCAAAACGTCTCGCATGAGCCGTTTTCAGTCTCTCTCTCTCTCTCTCTCTGACTTTCCCAGTCCGATATCAATTTAATTGCCAGCAAACAACCAAAACAGTACCTTCTCGAAGCTTTCAATATATAATATAGTTATTCCAAGTTTTGACAGCCTTAATTCAACCTTCCTTAAGCTTTGAAGGCTATGCAAGTCCGTCCAGAACCCGCATCCTCGAAAGCGAGAGGTCGGGATGTCCGACGCTTTAGACTCGTGGAGTTCTCAATGATTTATGCGGATTTGGTGAGTTTTACGGTGTCGAAGGAGTGTTTTAAGGGGCTTATGTGGTTTATGGCGGCACTTCATCCAGGACATCCAGTAGGAGTTTCAGGGCTTTGGCTAGGTTTCTAGAAGTCGAGCCTTTCCCCGTTGACTGCAGATGATCCTAAACCCCCAAACTTCCGAAGCAACGGATCTGATGCCTGGAAACTTCAAGGTTTGTTGGGGTTGGGGGTTTAGGGCCGAAAGTTCGTTACACGACTGACCATAAGTCCTCAACCGAAGGCCTTAACCCTAAACTGAGCTAACGGCTAACGCATGGAGTTTAGGGTTTAGGGGCTCTGGACAGGCGGACACAAGATGGATGCTTTTGAGCTCTTAACCTCTCAGCCAGATCCTGACCAGGATCGCCTCTGGTCAACCGGCCGAGACCTTACGGTTTAACTTCGTTGGACATTGCAGGCGTGTGCTCAAGTTGGCACGTCACTGAGAGGTTTGCTATGAACTGCTGTTGCTCTTTCTTTCTCTCCCGGTTTATGGGCGTCTCTTGTTGTTTTTGTGAAAGAGGTTTAGAGCTCAGGGAAGCAGACTTCGACCAGAATCATCTTGCAATTTGACTACTGTGTTAAATATGTTAATACAAAATCCAATGAACATGTTGTTGCGAGGTTAGAGAGCGAGCATCACGTGAAAAAACACCTGCCGGAAGTGAGCAGCACAAGTACAGTTCTCAATCGCTTTTCGTGGAAAGGGCGCCACTTGTAGCAGCAGGGGTGGAACAGCCTGGAGCAGCTCGTTACGCAAAGCCAGCCTCGAGGTGACACCAGGCGAGTACCTTCTCTCGCTCTTGAAGGTGGGGCTGCAGCTGTTGCAGTAGTAGTGGTGGTGGTGGTGGTCGTCGTCGGCGGCAGCACTGTCAAGCAGTGCTGCGGACCTCTCCACGTTTCTGATGCACGGAATGAGACTCAGGTATGTGCGGTGTCACGATTGTCACCACCGAAGCAGCTGTTGTGGTACCACCAAGTAAACCAAGAAGCAACCCCAAACCCTCCAACATATGTCGGTATCCTTTCGCAGAAGCGGGGGACAGTAAGCAGCAGCCACAACCAACTTAGCAGTTGCAACCTACACATGCTCAGAAGCCTGAACATGATAATAGTGGTCTTCGATATTTGGGGGGGACATTTAATGTTTAGGTGCTTGGACCCTTGCGGCTGCGCAGAGGGATCCCTTCGTTGGTGTGGGGTAAGAGGGAACCGGGAGCTGCAGCAGATAGCTAGCAGAAAGAGCAGCATTCACCGTTCACCAGTGAAGCAAATTTTGCAGGAGTCTTCTGCTCGCCGGTGAGAGCCCTGTTCATGCCTTCGCTTTCCTTGGATTCGTGTGCTCGAGAGCATCGAGCACCCGAGGTTCGACAACATGCTGGCCCCTTCAAACTACGATGTCAGATGAAGATGCCCGGCTTTAGAGTTTGCCGGAGAAACGGGCATAAACTGGCGAAGACGCAGACTTGAACATCAGGCTCACATGACAGACTGGGAATAGCTAGGCATCTGACATCTGCAGAGGCGAAGTGTGGCAGCACTGGACTGATGGCTTTTCAACCAGATTCCTACGGAGTAGCTGCGCCGCTGTGCGTGGGCTCTGGCACCAAAACGGCACCGCACCGCAGCTACTCAGAACGTTGTTGAAAGACATGCCAAACTGCAAGAGGCTTCATGTGAGGGCCGTATTTATTAGAGTCAGTCCTGAGGGTAAAATAGAATGTGAAGCTGTATTCCGACCCGTATAGTACTGCAGTTCTTCTAGCATGAATCAGCACTTCCGAGCACCATTAGAGCCCCCACGGCTCTATCCGATTAGATGGCCATGGTGAGTTTTCCAGAGGCAGTGCTTCGCCTCTTCGATGTTGTTTTTTCGCGGTGCCATGTCCGTTTGAAGGGGTTGCTGCTGGGACCCTCAAACCAAAGGGAAACATTTCTACGAGAAGTCAAGACTCTAGAAACCGACCGATCTGCTTCGATGCGTAGCAGCTTAAGCCCCAAGACTGCATCGCAACGAGCTCGCAAGCTTCATCGAGAAACAACCACAGTGCGTTCTTCGGCAGTGTGCTTAAACCATAACCACGGCCCCTGGCACCTTGAGGGTTCAGGTTCAGGTTCAGGTTTCAGGTTTAGGGTTTCGTAAGGCCGATACTTCTTCCTGGCGGCCGATGGGAGGGCTTGCAGTCCCAAGTATCAACTTGCTTCAGAAGCTGCCTTTGCTCGACCGGCTCCACTGCCCTGCACGTCTCAGACTGAGGTGTGTCTCTCTGTGTGTCTATGTGAGTGAGTGAGTGAATGAGTGCATCAAAGACAACATTTCCTCCAGCAGCTTCCAGCACATCAAGCCGTGCCTGCTTATGCTGTCGTCTATACTATGGGGTTTGAAACAGCGGCCAAAGGAAAACTCTTGTCGTCTGTGCATATCCTAACCCTCACACGAAGCCTCTTGCGGCTTGAATCGCTGAGATGATCATCAGCTCTCAAGGCTCCAATTCACAGCCTTCTTTTTGTGATCTTTTGTGGCCTCGGTGTGCACGCTTCCAGTCGTTGCGGTGTACTAGCGATGCGGATTGAGTATCGTTTTGTTGTTGTTACGTCTTGTTTCGACGGATCCGTTCTCATGTACTCCTGACGACGTCCTGTGTGGCTCCTTTCGGCTCCAAAGCCTCCTGCAAAGAGTGGTGCAGAAGGAAAGCTTTTAGTTCCGGCTGGGTCTGAAGCTCATGGCCACTACTAAGGCCTGGCAGTGACATGGGAGGGAGAGCAAGAGAGAGTGATTGTGCTCTCACCCCTGCATGCTCAGACGATGCTTCACGTTCTCCAGTGGCAAGTTTCACGAGAGAGGGAGAGAGAGAGAGAGAGAGAGAGAGAGAGAAAACGCGTAAGAGGCGGGCGGGGGGTTAACTCGCCCCTTAAGCCTGGGAGAAGAATAGAGAGAAGAGAGATAGAGAGAGCGAGAGAGAGAGAGAGAGAGAGAGAGAGCGAGCGAGAGGGAGAGATAGAATCGGTCCGTTGCCAATGGCAAGGGCGAGAAGGGTACTTCCGCTGCTGCTGCTGCTGGGATACGAGTGCAGAATACAGTTGTACATACCATAGTGCGTTTTATAGTAGAGTTGTAGAGCATTCTTGTCGCATACAATAGACATTACATTACAATCTACTTTCAGGTGCATTATAGAGACCCTATAGTATGCGGCAGGATCTCGGATGCAGGATGCATGCCCGTCAACCTTGAACGGGTTGAACAGGTGGCTTCCCTCTACTGTGCAATAAGAAAGAAATAGGGGAACTTGGGACTTACACGTTCTCTTGGGATGCGTCTGAGGCCGGGTTGAGGATTTACCCTTGAGGGTTCGGAGATTACAGCGTGTTTCGGACGCTTGGTATCTTGTATTTTCGATCCCAAAACACAGAATTTTGGTGGGAACCGGGAATCACGCCAGAAAGATTCTTTCTTCGACAATCGACCTGGTATGACCTAGTTATGGAAGGCTCAAATCTGTACTTGACAAGAGCACGATGGATCTGGTCCTTTACAAATGCTTTTAGGTTGTTGTTTTTGTTATCATGAAACTCCACGGAGTTAAACAAATGTATTAGACTATCTTGCAAGAGCTGGACCCGCAGCCTGTTGCCTGCCTGGCCTAGATGTTCCTTGAGGCTTGTGGTTGAGGTATGTAGCCTTTGGCCGCACGCGACGGCTACAGAACGCCACGACGACCCCTCATCAGATTGGAGCTTTAGGAATCAGCAGTCTTACGTGTGAGCAATGTAAGAAAGCCTTGCCCCACAGAGCCAGGAGGGCCCATGACTTGCAGGTTTGGTCTGACAGGAATGGCCAGGTTTCTTGGGATCTGTCTCTCCGATGCCTGAACTTCAGATCTGTACCGGCCGGGAATCACCTTTACATACGTGTATGCATGTGCACATACCCGCATTTCCCGTGCCGCCAGGCGGACTATCTTGTTATCGGTGCTGGCCCGGCCGGTCTCGCAGCTGCCGGATTCATTGCAAAGGCCTGGCAGAACCCAGCGCAGGGCTTCAGGGAACTAGAAAACGGATGTCTAGATACATTTCTGAACATGGACACTCATGTCCGCATTTATGTACACATCTGAAGAGTGAACCTTTGCAGTGTACAGTATACATCAGTGCACACTAATGTGTTCATGGGCAGTGTGCACGCAGACTCATGTGCGTGCGCGCGCATGTGTGTATCTGATTGTATGTGCGTAAATGTAAAGATGCAAACGTATGAATATATGAAGACACGTACTGTATGTGTGTATGTGAAGATGAATGTAGGTCTGCATGTTTGTAAGTACACATGTACGTATGCCTGTATGCATGCCTTATGCATGCATGTAGGTATTGTATCTATCTGTATGTATTTACATATACGCCTTTGTATTTACTTATTTTGCTTGTTCATTCTATTTATTTGTACGTACCTGTACTTGTGCACATGCATGCATACATACATGCACACACACACACACACACACCCACACCCACCCACCCACACCCACACATACCCACACCCACACCCACACCCGCACCCACACCCACACCCACACCCACACCCATATAATAATTCTCCTTGACCCGGCTGGTGTTACAGTCGTGCAGTCGTCTAGCATACGTGTGAACTAACACGATGTCGAGGGTCGTCCAGTGCACATGTGAGTCATATCTCAATCAGTTTCGGCGACAAATTGCGGAAACAGCAAGGGTTAGTTTGTCGGGTCGTCCAGTACAGCTGGGAATAAGCCTATTTAGGTCCGATCCTCTACCGCAGGTGTTACGCTCGCGGGTCGTCCGATGCACATGTGCGTTGTAACAATAGCGGGACGCAGCCTGCTGCAAGTCTTGCAATCTGGCCCAGGCGTCGTCCCCAACAGCGCCGTCGACGCCCAGCTCCAGCAGTGTGTCGTTGCACAAGGCCGGTTCAGAACTCACATACTACGCCAGGCATTGGCAGAGTCCCGAGTCCCCTCACTGCCTGAAAACTGTCGAGCCTCGGCCTGCTTTTGGTCTCTGCACGGACCGCGACGCAGTCCCAAACCGGCCTGAAAGCCCGCTTCTCCTCGATTCCACATTGACGCAGGCTGAGACGTCTCAGCACTCCCCCTCTAGGTCGGCATCATGTTTTGTTGGCACTGATGCTCCTCTCGTAGGCCGCGACTAATTCAAGCCACTTGAGGCAGTGGCAAACGGAGTGTTGGACATGCCCTCCCGACCCGTCACCTTCATCTAAGCATGGCACTCACCGGGAACGAGACTTGCAGACCCCCGGGTTTCAACGGCCACAAGGAGTTTGTCGGGCAAAAGTTCAAGCGGTGACAGCTCACGGGCATCCGAATTCAACGGGATGTCTGCACGCCGACTGTATGTCCATCTTCCTGGGTGTGTTGATAACAGTTCAAGGGAAGACGGCCAAGCCTACAACATTGCGGCTTGCAGGACTCCGAACCTGCGTGCCATCTTGATATGCAAACTTCGGCTTACTCGGGTCTTTTCTTGCAGAGGCATAGTGCTTTGAACATGAGCTTTAGCTTCAGCGCTGTCTAAGCACCTGCAGGCATTAGGTGTTGCCTTAACCTCGAAGCCTCACTGTACAGACACCTTAAACCCTAAACCTGCGCAAGTTCCGCATGATGCATTGCTGGACGACGTCAGGTCCTGCGCTGCCCGTCTCCGCAGCGGCGCCGCCAGGCGGAGGCAGGGAGCCCGCAGATTGGGGTACGATTCTTTTAAAGCTAGCTGCTGCACAAGTAGCTTCGGTAATCGGTACACACAGACGCAATTTGTGCAGATGCTCTCTCCTTACCACAGTCGTTCTGAGTCTCAAACGGCGGGATAGGAGTGCGAAATGCCATTGCACGTACTGTAGTGCGCCTTATAGTCAAGAGTAGAGTTATAGAAATACTTCGGTTTACAGCATGCATTAGATATAGTCGTGTACGTAGTATGGCATATCCTCTCGTATGCAATAGGATCCCGGCTGCGGGATGTATGCTCTTTAACCTTATTCGGCTTGAAGAGGCTTCCCTCTATTGTGCAACAAAAAAGATTTTGGGGAATGTCGGACCTACATCTTCTATCAGGATGTGTCTATTTCTATTTCGGGTCGTTTTTAGGATGTTTGGTGTCTGATGTTGCAACTGCATAACATAGAAACCTTTGGCCCTAAACCCAGGTTCACTCAAAGTTCAGTGGTGCAAACCAGGCCCCACAAAAGATCACAATGGGCCAGTAGGGGCAGGCGGTAGCGTTGCAGGATCAACATTATGCTACTATACTCTACTATACGACACTATACGGTGCGATTCGATACCTCATGTTGCGATACTCTACGATAACATATGATACAATACGATGCTGTACGACACCATACGACACTATACCATACTGTGCGATGCTACATTAAACTAACCCATACCAAACTGCACTATCCTATGCATTCGACAACGCATTTTACTGTACACTATGCTATACATTGACACTATACCACACTGTAACATACGAAGCCATATTGACAATACACCTTTAACTACACACTATACTACACACCACACTTGACACTTCATGGGCACTACTGGACAGCATGCTCGCACTGTACCTGACACCATACTAGACTCTATTCTAGACGCCATACTAGACACTTTACTAGACACTATACTATACACTATGTATGCAGTATACTATGCTCTATACTAGATGCTATGACAGACACTAAATTGTACCATACTGTACCATAGTATGCAATGCTCTTTCTTACCATATGCCACACGACCCTATACTGTACGATACGCTATACTACACATTACACTATACATTACACTGCGCACTATACACTATACACTACTCTACGCGACATGTTACTCGACTAGGAGAGCATTCAACTTATAAGCAATTCGTATCCCATAGTTCGACATAATTACGGCTTGTGCAGGTTCTGCAGGAGAGACTGTCCGTTTTCTACTGCAGAGCCGTCAACTCGGACCCTGCAAGGCACGCTCTGGGCAGATCCTCGACACATTTTACTGCCGGGCATTGCACAGCGACCCGAGCAGGCGCGGTTGCGGGGGTATATGAGTTTAGGGTTTCCGGGTTTGGGGGTGCGGGGGCAGCAAGGGTTGGGCGAGGTTCCCGTACCCTTCTGATCGTTGCCGGGCTGATCGTCTACAAAAACAGTGCTTCCAAGTGTTGGGATTTATCGAAGGCCCTCGAGGCGCTTCGAAGTGCTGGATGCCTGCGGTTGTTAGCATGAATGTGACATCTTCTCGACACATTATCAAAAGAATGCACAGTTGGGATCGTAAAAGCCACAGGTCCCACAAGGCTCTGGCACAAGTCAATCGAACCAAAGAGAAGCCAGCTGGGCGTCCCACACGAACCTCAAACCCTAGACCGTGCACCCAACACCCCCAACCCTAAGACGAATTGACCCTAAACTCCTCCAAACTCAGAGCCTCCAACAATTGAACTCGCACACCCTTAACCCCGAATCCAAATTGTACCACCAGAGACCTGAAGGAGAATAGACAACCTAAACTCCTGAGTTAGATCCGAAACATGGGGTAACGCCTGTGCTTCCTTTCGGAGAATGCGGGGATTTTTCAGAGCTTACATATGGCTGTATGATGCGCCGCGGACTGCATAATGGTTCTGAAATCCATCACACTCTAGCTTTATGCGAAGCCTGTAGTTTAAACCTCCAGATAAGCAGCCTTCCCGAACAAACTATAACCTGCTGGAAAGACTATTGAAAATTCCGGGGGTCCCGATCATGGCATACACGTCAAACAGGCAGGTAGCAATTATCAGCAGATTTCTACATCTTACTACACTGGCGGCGGCCATTCCCTCTTTTACGCCTTGCGAAGACTTAGGACGTGCACTTGGAATTGCTACATGCATGTCGTACTGTGAGACAGGGGCCAAGGACAGTAAGAGCCTCACAAGGACAAGGTTCCATTGTCAACACAACACTGCATCTTCGAAGGGACATTTTTTCGTAAGAAAGCTTACCAGCAAAAGTAAGGTTCAAATTCTTAGAAGCGAGATCCTGATGAAGCATACATAACGGCTCCTTTGATAACCCCCCCCCAACCCTGAGCCTTGACCGACGCGTGTTTGCCAGCTGTTCGCCGTTATGGCCAGACACCGTCGGACGGCACTCGTTCCGGCAGGCACGGCGTCCGGTTAACTTTCCTGCAGAGCATAGGGTGTAGGGTTTAGGGAAAGTTTACGGTCTGAGTAGATAATACGTATCAGTTCACTATATAATCTAAACGCAAGATACGCAAAGGCCCCATTCTGATGATTGGGGTCGCCATACTAGGGCTGAGGGCTAGCTGGTAGTGTCCAAAAAGTCGGGGGGGGGGGGGGGGGGGGGCTGTTGAGGGCTGCGTGATTTATCACATCAAAGAAATGGGGTTTGGGAACCCCAACCACAAAACCAGGAGCTTATGTTGGCCTTATTTAGAGTCCCCAACCACAAAACCAGGAGCCTATGTTGGCCTTATTTAGAGTTGTTGCCACCCCTCAACCCTTTACCCGAAATCTAATCCTTGAACGGGTCTCCAACAACATCTCTTTAAGCCAGCTTTGGGCATGCAAGCCGTCCGGCTCGTACGTTACTGTTTTAGGCTCCCTGTCTCGGACTCCCGCTCTCGGCCTCTGGGTCTACCGTTCCGGAGTGCAGTGTGAGCGACAGGGTTCAGTTCTTTAGGTTCGGTGGGTCAGGTGGATTGTGTCAGACTTTGTGGTACCTTTTCGGTCTGATGTGTTTTGAGTCGTTTGATCGCAGCTTTGGAATGAAAACAACCGGGCCCAAACCTCAACCCCGAACCCGAACCTTAAACTTGAACTCTGTACCCCTTGTGATCTAGCTCCATGCAGTTGCTGGCATAGCTTAAGGTTTGGAGTTAGGGTCTCGAACTGTTGGGGTTCAAGTAGCGTACCCCTTCTGAAAATTCCGGCCTCTCAATAGGCACATATGCAAGCTATCTGAGAGATAGATCCACATGAAGTGTCCTCTGGGTAATGAATCGCATATGAAGCAGACGATGTAGATAGATCCGGTGAGTGTTAGAGGTTTTCGCAGACATCAGTCCTACCAGTCGTGGTGTTTGAAAGTTACGGGTTTTGTAGCGCAAAGACGGCAATCTTGCCTCAAAGGAGGCTTTTGCTTCCGGAGATACCCTGCAAGTCTGAATACGTGCGCTGAGATCATGTTAGGTCTCCTAACTAGCCTATCTATTTTGGAGAATCCTTTTTACAGGGATGTTCTGATGACTTTTCTACCATATGCTGGCAGGATTGGGAGGCCGTGCGACAGTTTACGCACACATTCCTGCGATAATGGTTTTAGGGGATTAGTTGCGAAGATCGCTAAGCTCATAATACATAAGTACATGTCGACGAGCCCTTTTCCATTCGATGGCCCCATTCTAAAACTTGAAACAACCACTGCCTACCACCCGTTTCCATGTTTGTCCCCGTGATATGTACCGTCTTCGAGTATTCCTAAAGCCTAACGAAGGATGTCCCATGCGCGGAAGGAGTTGGGATGCCTGCTTGAGAGTTCCTTACAATAATTCCCTGTATAGTCCCTATAGATCCTGAGGAATCCTTAAGGGCCCTCCTTTCGAAAAACTTCCACGTAGCCGATTCTTTTTGCAGCAAAACCCTGTACAACCGAACCTCGAACGTCCACCTTAAGCCGTAACATAGAAGCCTAAAAAGACCAACGTCGTGGCTTTGTCGCCCGTCCTACTCCAAACGATCCGAAAGTCCTCTGAATTTTAAATAGCCCTCTACAAATGCCGTATGACCATCCCAAACAAATCTTACATAGTACCTGCTGCCATCTGCTTCTTTCGTACTTTCCACTTGGTTCTCCGTTGCTGACATGTTTTAAGTTTCTGACCTTACGTGCGAGCCAGGTGTTGGGAGAACCCGAGATCAGTGCCCGGCTTGGCGTGGCTCTCAAGGGTTTAGCAATTCAGGGTTTGGGTGAAGGTCTAGCTTGAAGGCTCAGGCTTTGGAGGGGTTTAGTGTTTTCAAGGCTTATGCCGAATTCAAGGATATTCCACAGAATGTCCTTCGGGGATCAAAGCTTGCGTAAGGAATGAGTAGCCCCATTTGAGTCGTGTTGAAATTCTACGTGCTACCCGTAATTCGTCCCCCCTTCCCCTCTAAGCACAAGTTTGGGGATGAGGAAATATTGACGTAGATAGCCGTAGTGTTTCAAAATTTCTCTACATTGTATGAACCTCCTAGTTCGTCCCCCATTCCCCTCCAAGCACCAGTTTGGGGATGTGTAGGCTGGCTAGGAAATGCTCTGGATGTTCTAACCTACAGTCCCGTGTGGAGGCTGTTGCATTACTACAGATATAGTGTTTCGAAACCTGTTTAAAATGTAGGAGGCATCAGCTCCTGCTCGACAACAGGAAGGTTGCTCTTTCTCAAATTGCTTGCGCAGCTTGCAAACCGCGAGTTTGAGGCTTGGTTTGTGGAATGCGTGCGTTCCAAACTTACGAACGTTTTTCCCATTGCCCAACCCTATGTGGAATGTCTACTGTGGGAGCTTAAATGGTTACCAGCATTCATTGAACTTACCTGATGGAAAATAAGTAGATTCCCATCTTGCTTAGGTGCAGAGTTTCTGGCCCGCACACTCCTCAGAGTCCGGAACCCAATCTTATCATGCTTGGTTGACCAGCGACTTTGGTTCACGAGTAGTCTTTGGCTTGAAGCTTACTAGGAGGGCTCAATCGAGCGGATGCCCTTCTCGCCAAATCCTAACTGCGTGCCCTTGGTCATGACATTTTCCTTGCTCACCTAGGGAGGTGGGTGAGACACAGTGGATCACAGTGGCAGAACATGTGTGAGAAAAGCAGCCACCCACATATTTTCGGCATCAGCGAAGCTATGCAGCGATCGCGCGTTGCGCAGCTATACGGCATCGATGCTGGCATGCCAAGCTCTGTGTGATGTGCAAGAAATGCTGCACATGACGTTCTGCCATAGGGGGTGAAGGCGGGCGGCTGTTGAACAGGAAGCTTAGAGACTTCGTCATGCAAATTGCAGTAGCCCAAAAACTACCAATAGTATTCCGCGATAACTCCCTGTCATGATATTCGCCACCCAAAATCCCTCCACGGCCCGAAGCCGACGAGCAGCCAAAAGAATCCTAAGGATCCTCATGTTGGTGTCCCACCTAGGAGAACTTCATTTTAACAGTGCAAATCCGGCCGGTGTGTTTCCACGTCCTCGGCCTAGGACGTGACGGACCAAGACCTGGAGCAGTTGCTGCAAGTCGGACACCCAGGGTGGCTTCCATGTCCATTTCGTGCTCAGCCGGGCATGGCCTTCAAACTGCGAGCTTTAGAAGGTTGGTTAAGGCTGGATCCTAGGAAAGTTAAATCAGGGGGCGTACTAGGTTGCAGTGCACCCTACACCATCCCTGCCCATTGCACAGGTCTTGTAGATGCAGCCGATTTGTTTGGAAGTTGCATCCGTTTTCGCAGGAGTATAACACAACATGGTAGAAAGCGAGTCCATGCCGTGATCGGCAGAATCAGTCGGGATATGTTTCCGATCACATCTTCGATTGCATCGGCAGCCACAGCAGCCATGACCTTCACTAGAAAGGCTCATCGACGAAGGAATGTTGAGCGTTTGGGCATTGAGGGGTTGAGATTTAAAGTCGAGATCCTAACGAGAGTTTGCAACATCAAAAATGTCCTCTATATCTGTGTACATATCTATGTATATAGGCTACTAATACTAAGACTGCTATGAGGAGTAACTTTGTTTGTTTCAGAGGAAACATGCATGCATGCTGTATTTTCTTTACAAGTACCTTGTGGAATTTCAGCAAATCTGCTTTTCAGCATCGCCGTATTTGCGTGTTGGAGGTAGTGTTGGGCGCGAGGGCTAAGATTCCTATTCCACAGTCATACTAATGATGTTGCATTCCAAGCTGCCCCTGTCAGGAAGCGACTGCTGCGTTCCTGATTCATAGGGAAATTTATACGGGTGGTTGCGGAGTTTCGGATTTTCTTCATTTTCATTGGTCTTTTGTAAGTTGAAGGGGTTTCTCAAGCCAGGGTAGGGGGTTCAGGGTGTTGGTGCAGTGCATCCGGATTGGGAAACAAGGTTGTAATGTGTGTGTCCCAAGTGTTTCACATCCCACTCCAGATTCCCATGTCGGTGCCTCAATCAGGATCCATTATGGGGATCGCAGCTTCATAGGAGCGTCGGGTTCTATCTGAGATCCGAGCTGCCACGACCCTCCACAGGGGTCGCACCGCCTAGTCGCGTGGGTGAGGCCGGGACAAATCCCTGCAAGCTCGGCTGAACTTTGCCAATTCGGTGCTCGCTGCAGCAAGAAAGGTATCCGAAAAACAAGAAGCGCCAAAGCTTCAAGCAACAACGTTGGCCTGGTCTTGATGAAAGCAACGCCAGCAATCAATACCAGTCTCGGAAGGCCCCTCGCTGTGAGCCTAGAAAGTTGGATGCTTATTATTGGAACGAGAGCGCAGAGCAGCGACCCAGAGTGCAAGAAATTCGTAACCAACCCCTGATAACCCTCCATATGAAGCCTTGCAAGACACTTGCAAAATCCAATGAAATCCGAATCGATCCTTATCAAACTCTTCTAAAACTGGAGACCCCCCCTCCATCTTGAAGCTTTCAACAAAGGCCGACCGAAGCGGCCGCTGAGCTCCGTCGGCATTGCAGCCCGGCTCGCCAGCCTCATCGGCAATGCGTCTTGGACAGATGCAAGACAGCAGGAAAGAATGATCATGCTCATAATGGTGAGATTCACGTTGATATGTTGTGTTTGGGAGGCGCAACAGAGAACCAGCCTGGGAGGGGATTGTGCTTGACAGTCCTTACGATCGAGGCTCGTTTGACTTATAAAGTCCATTTAGTACCCCTGCAGTCTCATGAGCACGGATCTCTACGCTCCCCTCTGGCGGCTTCGCCGCCTGTAAGAAGGGTCCGAGTGTTCTTACTGCAAGTCGCCTTCGATCCACCTGATCACGTGCCTGTGTCCACCCAAGGATCTGCCATCCTCCTTGCGGCACACTCTCGCAGTGCGCAATCGTCCCGCTGATCGGGAGCGAGACGTCAATTCTTGAAGGTAGAATTCGACCGCGGCATTCCCTGAATGGGGTGCTCTGCGAAGGTTCCAAGTATGGGTCTTTAGAAAAGGCCCTCAGGCCGTTCAGGGCGATTCTAGGGGCACTTCAGGGTACATATAGGGTATATAGTACCTATAGAAGGATTCCAGGTCTAAGGACCCATACTAAGAAGCAATAGAAATTGCACATTCTCAGCAGCGTGCACTACATGGCTGAAAAGGTCGGGCAGTGAGTTTGCCAGTGCACAGAGACGAGTTCGAGTCTTGTACAGTTGCATGGCCTGCGTGGCCAGCACGCACTCACGGAACTCAATGGCTTTCAAAGTTGAAAACCGCTTGTCCAATGGCATTCCAAATGCCATGACATGCGAGGGGTGCTTGGCAGATGCTGGATGCAGCGTTGATGCGATGATACATAACTAGGCATTCTTCTGGTTGGCTCTTTGGACTTTAACTTTTTGGGTTTCTATATGAGCTCTAACAAGGAGCGCATCCTTCGTAGACGGAACCCCAGATAAACGAGACAAGATAATGTTGAGCTTGCCTGGCCTTCATTTCCAAGCTGAACGTTTCACGATGACGAAGCAGGGGATGCGTGGGGGCAAAAGCTACGGGGTGCAAAGCAGTGAAAACTTGGTTTCCTTGCAGAGCACGGTTCCTTGGCAGGCGTCTGCCAGCAATCCTACTGTGAGTCGTCACTCAAGCCGTCCCAGCTCTTCCCATGTTTGCATTCAACAAGTCCTGCATGCAGATATTGTGCAAAGGCAAGTGCGATGGCCATGCAGACTTCAGCACTTCGTCCAAAGCTTCAACATCTACAGTACTAACACATACACCTTGTCGTGGCATTCCAACTTCTACGGCTATGCAGACCACTGCCGCTCGAGCACGCTCCGGCCATGGCTTCAGAGTCCCAGCAGAAGCCTGCGCGTAATGTTGCTACCTCCATGAGAGACCAGCACTAGGATCCAATTGGTATCTGCATATCACCAGATGCCGTTCGGGCAAGACTCGCACCCGTGTAATCGGCATGCCGTCCAAGCTAGTGTCCAGTCTGCGCAAAGGAACTCTCCATCAGTGTCTGTTCTCTCTCGCTAGCGTCAGGGCTGTGACGGTTGAAAGATCCTGGTATTTGGGGCTAGCAGCTGTTGTGGCCAAGGCGATTCTCTCCATGGCACATGACGGGGCTCTGCGTTTCTCTGCACCATCGAGTCGAAAAGGAGGGCGCGTGCGTGCACTGCTTTTCATGTCATCTAAGGTACATTCGTAACGGACTAGTGCAGGGCAGTGAACGCCCAGAGTTATATTGTCCGGTGTGTTATGTCGTTCGCAGCACATTCTCTTCAACATTCGGCAAGGGTCCCACGCTGGCGGCATAGATGCAGATCTTTGCAGCCGTACAGTCAATTGCCTTGCTCGCCTGTGCAGGAACGATTGCGCTTCTAAACTTCGTATGTTGCCTCGCAAGCTAATTCATTGCGATGCAATGAGCCCGTTTGCATGCCGCCATGCCAACAAAATGTTTGCTGCCTAGCTCTATAGGTTTCCTGCGACGAAGCCCGTTCCGAAAGCGTTGCTAGCCTCTGCACAATCTTTTGTCCAAACCTCCAGGCGTGCAGACAAGAAGTTTTGCGTTGCGTCGCTGGGTTGCGTTGCGTCCCATGTATCGCGAGAAAAATTGCAGTGCACACTAAGTATATAGGCGTGAACATTCATTAACCACGAAAAATGATGGTAGTGATCATTCGGGAAGGTCAGAACAACCGTTGCATGGAAGCACAAGCCCAGCAGACACATGCAGAAATGAAGGCAGCAAACACAAAGGTGCCTTAAGCTCCAAGTCGCAAGTCGCTTACTGGGGCCGGCGTGGGACAGGCAGGCGAGCTTGAAATGGCTCGGCCAATTTTGCATCTGGTTCGCTGTTTTTGCTGCGACGGTAGGAACCTTTGCATTCGACATTGTTGATTTGCGCTTTCATTCGGAACGCAGTGAACATTTTAACGATCTTTTGCTTCGGCACTAAGATCCTTCGAAGTTTCTGAGTGTTGTTCAGTGTAAAATCCACGTGGCTATGACTAGGCACGTAGGTGATCTAGTTGGAGTGCCGAGCTGCCGTCAGACTTGCATAGAAATCACGCCCTCTTGATGTTTTCGTTCGAAAGTTTGAGCCTGATGCATTTGCCGCGGCTGTGAGCTTTTGGCGCAAAAGACTTCACGCCTCACACCCAAACGTGAAGGGCCAACAGCATGGTCCCTTGGCAAACCAGGTGTGGATTGTGAGTCTGTGAGCGGATCAAGCATTGAACAAAAGCGGAGATGAGGAGAGATCTTGCTGAGGCAAAGGCAGCAACCATCGGTGCCGCAGCATTGCTCGGCGGCTGCGCATTCTTGGCCCCCAGTGCTCCAAGTGCGGCCCCTTCAGCCCCTGCGCAGCTGCGAGGTTCACGGGTCGAAATGGGCAGCTGAAGACAGCACAGCTCGCTGTTAACATGGTTTCAAAGTAACGGTTGCACAGCGGTCAAGAGGTACTGATACATCGAAGGAGTTTTGCATGTTTTGTGCGTGTTTGGTTTGGCTTTGATGTGAGGTGCGCCGCCTCAATCAAATCGGGCGGGTTCTGCGGCTGCACCCCTGGCTGGGGCTTTCGCTTGCGTGGCTGCAGCAGCGGCTGTGAGCAGGATGATGGACACATGAGCGCAAGATGCAGTCAGGATGCTCTTATGTTCTTGTTCTAATCTGCATTTGGCTTGAGAATTGGCAGGAGGTCGGAAGCCAGCACGGCCTGCCGAGCGGCGGCCGTGAAGAAGAAGGGCGTTAAGGCAGAGAAGCAGACTCTTGCGAGCCATGTTCTGCATTTATGGTTGTCCGTTGCATCGTCTTGCTACTGTCTGTTCATCACGGCTTTTGTGCTTCGCAGGTGGTCCATGGCAAGGAAATCCCATGGAACCTTTTCACCCCAAAAGCTCCTTACCCGGGCAAGGCCGGGCTCGGGGTGTCGGCAAAGTAGGAACATGCGCATGTCCATGCACGAACATGCATGAACATGCATGAACATGCATGAACATGCATGCATGAACGTGTATGAACAAGAAAGAACATGCAGGAACATGCATGTACATGCATGAGCTTGTATGATGTATGATGTATGATGTATGATGTATGATGTATGATGTATGATGTATGATGTATGATGTATGATGTATGATGTGGAAAGTTGGAACCGCAGACAAGCGGCAGGTAGTACACCATTTGGTGCAGCAAGGGGGGTCGGGCGAGTTTCCTGGAATGTGGTTTCCATAAGCATTCCAGGGACGCTCACAGGGATCGCAGAAGGCTGGGGGTATTGGACTGAAGGTGGCCGTAAATCACAAGCAGAGACTCAGGCGGGGTGATTGTACCAGGCCAGTGAGGCCACGTCACAAGCAGGTTTGTCAGGCCCAGGCTGGCGACCGTACCAAAATGTGACCTTCATAAGCAAGCAGGGGTTCCGGCTTGGAGCGGCTCTGAACAGCGAACAGTGGCACCCGAATATTTAAGGCTCTTTGAAGCGTGTCGGCATGGCATGGCATGTCATGGCATGTCATGGCATGGCATGGCAGAGGCATGGCAGAGGCATGTGAGGCTTCATGTGGAGTTCGGAGGTCATTGAGAACGATGTGCACCCGCAGACCCTCACCTCAGATACCGGGGATGCGAATTGGGAGACTTGCCACGTGACCTTTGACCACGGAGGCAAAGTACCATACATTGAAGGACTGCATTGTGTGCATTGCGAGACACAGACTTTGCCACCGATTCGCTTTGTTGATTTTTGTTGGTCATGTTAGCCTTCCTAATCCTTCCTGCGCTAGGGGGGAGTCGCCTAGTAGCGGCATGCTGCTGATCATGCGCATGCACTCTTGATCACTCTTGCGAGCCATTAATGAGCAATCACCAGGACAGTCGATCGGCATCATTGCCCCAGGCGGACTTGCACAAATTGATGATGAAAAGTAATAGACCTTCCTGGGACTCATTTGACAACTTGAGTGATAGAGGACCCGACAAGAAGGGCGAGACACCAGCAAGGATTCGACTGTATTCCATCGCCTCATCGGCTGTTGGTGACAACCAGAACTCCAAGACAGTCTCCCTGCGACTCGGCTTGCATGATCTTGCACGTGCTCATACGCTCTTTCGCGATCCCCTTGCAGCCTTGCAGTTGCTTCGTTGGACGTACGCGCGAGAGAGAGAGAGAGAGAGAGAGAGCGAGAGCGAGCGAGAGAGAGGGAGAGAGAGAGCTATGGATGGAAGGGAGGGAAGGAAGGAAGACAGAAAGACAGAGAGAGAGAGAGAGAGAGAGAGGGAGAGGGAGGGAGAGAGGGAGAGAGGGAGAGAGGGAGAGAGAGGGAGAGAGGGAGAGAGGCCTGCCTTGATTGTTGCTACAGGTGCGTGAAGCGTGTGGTGGAGGTTGATGGCGAATATGCCAACCGTGAGAAGGGAGAGGACCTTGCTGACAGTCACAGGATGTCGCAGGTTGTACACGATGGGTAGGAAGTGTACGCTCTCGCATAAGACTTGCGAGGTGATTGTTTTGGCTGGTTGGGATGGAATGACTTTGGACGTGTACCTTTCCTGTTGGCGGCTGCACAGGACAAGCCAGACAAGGCTGGCACAGGCTTCCCCGACAACAAGGCACAAAAACGGCCACCTTCGGCCTTGCTTGCGAAGTCAGCAGAGGGAAACAGCAGGTGTACCGCGGCGTCTGCTCAAACCACATTTGCGACATGAGCCCAGGAGTATTCTGATTTGCGCCTCTGTGTGTGGCATTGCGTTGAAGCTGTCATTGCTGTGGGGTAAGATCCAGTTGGAGAGTAGTTGGAGTTGTGTTTGGCTGCAAAAGGAGATGACGTGATGATCACCGGTCCTACCGGCGCTGAGATGCTCCTGCTGCTTGGCTTGCAAAAACATTTATGAACTTTAGCTTGGCGTCGGGGGATCAGCTTCCCACTCTGCTGCTGCGGGTGCCGCAAATCTGTATCCCGCGCCAGCCAATCGCAAGCCCCTGAGCCAACAATGAAAGCGAATCCGAAATTCTCACTTGCCATAGACCACCGCAACAGCTTGAATTCCTCATGCTTTTCAAAGAACTTTCCTTGACTCCCGGCACCTGCAGGCCAGAAGACCCGGAAGCCAACATCATCATGCTGGCCACAGGAATCCTGATGTCAATTTGCTGTGCCAAGATTGTGATGAGCTGGAAGGTTGCATGCAGCTCGCATGGAAGGTACCGGTATTGCGCCCATGCGCTCCTACTGCCGCCTCCTGTTCCATGACGATGCTGGTGCCAGTTCAGTCTCACAGAAGCACTTAAGCAAGAGTCTTTGAGCGATTTTGTGCGCGTGGTGTTTCGGCATCTTGTGGCTCACGAGTCCAAAGTGAGTCTATTGTGGGCTCGGGGTCGCTGCTGTTCTGCTGCGTCTGCGGGCACGAGTTTCTGGCCGCTTTGTGAGTTTTGGATCGCAATTTCAACAGACGGCATTCCAAGTCCCGGCCGCGGCTCAGCCCTTCAAATGCCTAGGGACAGAGTGTCTGAAGCTGCCTCGGGAGGTTCAGTCTCGGAAAATCTGACGTCACAAAATGCTCACTGCCCGTATCGGAGCGTTGGGCAGGAAACGTGATATGATGTTGTTAGTTGCAGGATCGAACCAACATCTCAGTTGACTGCGCCATATTGTGCCAACTGTCTTTTCCGGGAAGATCGGGAAGCAATATCGTGCGGTGTTTTTGTAGCAGAGTCCCAGTGCTCGAGGATGGTGACCGCAAGTTCAAGGGCCTCGCCTGGCTCTTCATGGGTGTCCCCTACTCCAAGTCTTTGTTGTACGACGATGCGTTTCGGCCGCAATCGAGCGATGGATAGAAGTGTGATGAAGTGTGTAAACTAGTGTAAGCAGTGTTCTTTACTTCTTGCAGGCATGATATGTGACGTCTTGGTTTTCCTGACACGCGAGGAACACGAGGCTTACAAGAAGGCGTACCCTTCCCAGTTCAAGTACGACTACGCTGTCAGCCGAGAGCAGAAGAACGCGGCAGGCCAGAAGATGCCTTTCGGCTCCGACATGCTCCGAAGAAGCTCTTCCGCTTCTTCCTTTTCTTCGCTTTCTTTCTCTCTTGCAGGTTGCATTGAGTTGAATCTTTTGTTGGGATATTTGACAGTATCCCAATCCGAGATTGTGCTCCAAGGTACATTCAGACCAAGATGGCCGAGTACGCAGCCTCTGAGCACAATCACTCATGTCATGGAAAGCGTCTGTGGTGGAGACAGCGGTAATCTGGTAGGGCTGTAGGGTCGTAGCGTGTTGATCATTGAAAACATAAAGCTGGCACAGCACCGTGTAGCAACTAAGGATGAGCTCTGGGAGCTCATGCAGGATGAGAAGACGCATGTCTACATGTGTGGCTTGAAAGGCCCGTGTGTGTTAGGTCCAGCCATGTCCGACGCAGAAATTCGGATTGTGGTTGCTTGGTTCTGGTACTCCTGGAGGGGTAGAAAAGGGGATGCACCGGGCCGAGCAAAAGCAAAGAGGTATGGAGTCCGGCATGGCCGAGTGCTTCGGACCCATCGCGGAAAAGGCTGGAAAGGACCGCGCTTGCTGTTTCGGACGCAGATCGTTGTCTAAGATCGCAGCCCCAAGTCACGTGCAGGACTGGGCCGAGTTCGCCAAAGCCATGAAGAAGGACCGGCTTGGCCCAAACTCCAGAAGCATGACGCGGGGTAATGTCCTGGATTGCAAGCTTGCCCTACCTCATTTTACATGCCCTGTTTCGCTGTAGACCAGCTTGCCTGTCGAGCTAGACAGGGGTGCCATGTGGTATCTATCGTCAATCAATCAACAGGCTGATCGCTACCACGTGGAGGTCTACTGAGTGCCGTTTCCCGGGCAATTTTCAGCGCCATGCTTGCAGCATCGGGTGACTCGTGGCGCATGGCAATTGCGAACAGGAGACAGGAGATTGCTTTGTTATCGGTGCCGATATCAGTGTTCGTATTGCTTCTTGGAGCAGCTGCTGTGCGCCGTGATGCGACCCGTCCTTGTCATTGCGAGTGTAGGCTCGATTGTCCGATTTTCCCTTCGTTGCAGAACGCTGATTTTGTGATGTGTGTGTGTCAGCACTCAGCATGTTTCATGGGCTTCCCCAAAGCGTTTGCGCCTGCGCAGCCGTTCCTCAGGACATTTCCACACCTGTAAGGTATGCAGGGCAAGGGAGTGTTTATTCTTTTGGGTCCTTCTCTTTGTGTTTCCGAAGAGAACCCTGCATCTCCTTCATGAATTTAGAGGAATTATGTTTTTCGACCTATGTATAGCTTGCGAATGATTTAGAAGGATACAATACGGTGTATATACATGTGCATGTCATATGTATTTTAGTACATGTCTTGCATAGCGTATGTACATATAAACAACACATATGGATAGTCTTCAGTGTGTACATATATATATATATAGCTCGAAAGTTGGTTATACATATATATGGTACCCCCCCCCAGTGACCTACCCTTTTTCGCCTTGTCTCAAGTCACAGCTGCACTGCAAGCAAACTCGGTGTGCAATATAGCGTATTTCCTAGGGCGTAGACTAAAATACAACTAAAATCGCATACACGGGACAGTAGAAAAACCAAAAATACCAAAACCAAAAAAACCAAAAAAACCAAAACCAAAAAAACCAAAAAACCAAAACCAAAAAAACCAAAAGAACCAAAACCAAAAAAACCAAAAATACCAAAAAAACCAATTTTCCGGGACTCTCAGGAAATCCCTATGAGGCTTCTCCAAGAGTCCCAGAAAATTGTTTTTTTTGGTATTTTTGGTTTTTTTGGTTTTTTTGGTTTTGTTGGTTTTGGTATTTTTGGTTTTTTGGTTTTGGTATTTTGGCTTTTTGGTTCGCCTTCACGGTCACGAGGCAACAACTACGCATGTTTAAGTGTGCTTATGCTAGTTGTGCTTTTCAAAAATAGTATATAAGTGGTCTTTCTAGTGCTTCAGAACTTTTTGTTTCGTTATTATGTAAGTAGAGCCGCTAGTGTTTAGTGCATCTTTTGGTTGTACTCAAGTGTAGTAGACCTTATTCAGCCATTACTTGGTGCTCTGATAGCTAAATTCGCATGGATAATATTTGCCTGGTAAATGCGATTAATTATCTAGAAGCAGCATTTGCAATACTTGTCTTGAGAAAAAGCATTTATTGCTTAGAATTGTTTGCTTAAAAAGTGACTCCTACTCGTCCAGGGATACCCCAAAACCCTATAATCCAAACTTCACCAGAGATTCTCCTGAAAAGCTTGCGCTTTTGGATGTTTTTACGTATTTGTGAATTTGCTTGTGGTATGGCCTTCACTTTAGAAGTACTTTTCTAGGATTCTTGTGCATTTTTTAAGCCTGATTGTGCAAGTTGCGTTTTTCAAGCATAGTATATATGTGGTCTTTATTGAATACTTCAGACATCTTTGTTTCATCGTTATGTAAGTAGAACCGATTTCCATTATTGTGCATTTTTAAGCTTGCTTATGCAAATTGTGCTTTTCAGACATAGTATACAAGTGGTCTTTAGTGAATACTTCAGCAATCTTTGTCTCATTGTTATGTAGGTAGAACCGTTTCCATTTCCGCAAGTGTTTATTTCGTATTTGGTTGAGTATGGTCCTTTAAATAGTATTCACTTGAGTCAAATTGGGCTATTTGCTTAAGAATTCCTCTAGTAGTTAAATTCGCATAGAATACTTCAAAAAAAATTGTTTCATGAATATGTAAACATAAGGTGTTTCATTTGACTTTGCAGATAGTATTTCAATAAGACTTTGCCTGGTATAAACACAACTGTTTCAATGCATTAGTTGCTCAACAAAGCACTATTTGCCCTTTAAACCACACTTTGCCATATGTTGGTTGAATATGGTGCTTCTTTCGTATTTTGGTTGAGTATGGTCCTTTAAATGGTATTCACTTGAGTCAAATTGGGCTATTTGCTTAATAATTACTCTAGTAGTTAAATTCGCATAAAATGATTATTTCAAAAATAAAAACGATTCATGAATATGTAAACATAAGGTATTTCAGTGGACTTTTCAGAGAGCATACTTTGCCTAGTACAAGCACAATTGTATAAATACAGTATTTGCACTTTAAACCCACACTTTGCCATATTTTGGTTGAGAATGGTGTCTATTTCGTATCTTGGTTGAGTATGCTCCCTTAAATGGTATTCACTCGAGTCAAATTGGGCTCTTTGCTTAATAATTACTCTAGTAGCTAAATTCGCATAGAACCAAGAAAAATGTTTCACTATTTGATTAATACTTTGCCTCGTACAAACACAATTGTATAAATAAATTAGTTGCTCAACAAAACATTAATTGCCCTTTAAAACGCACAATTTGCATAGAAAAACACTGATCTAAACATCTAACAACAGCATTGTCCGCTTCAGATTCAAAATGTAGATTCTTCCAAATGCTGGCTTATCGGGGTCTGTGAGGTGGGTGTCCCAGTAACTGTCCTTCATTACCCGGTGATTAACTACGCGACTTTTGGGCCTTGTTTGTTATTTTTTGTTAAAAAGGCCTAAAAAGGCCTAAAAAGGGTAGGTCGCTGGGGGGGGGGTAGCATATATATATGGGTCACCGCCTATAGCGGTTCCCCTGTGTTTTTTGCACATTCCCTTAAACCATCTAACCAAGAATCCCTCAAACCATTAAACCAATGGTCTCCCCCCTAAACCATTAAACCATTAAACCATACCATGAAACCATTAAACCAATGGTTTCCCCCTTCTGAAAATCCCCTAAACCATTAAACCATTAAACCATTAAACCATTAAACCATTAAACCATTAAACCATTAAACCAATGGTTTCCCCCTTATGAAAATCCCCTAAACCATTAAACCATTAAACCATTAAACCAATGGTTTCCCCCATATGAGAATCCCCTAAACCATTAAACCATTTTCATGGCGGGCAACCATTGGTTTAATGGTTTAATGGTTTAATGGTTTAATGGTTTAATGGTTTAATGATTTAATGGCTTAATGGCTTAATGGCTTAATGGTTTAAGGGATTTTCATAAGGGGGAAACCATTGGTTTAATGGTTTAATGGTTTAATGGTTTAATAGAATAGGGGATTCTCATAAGGGGGAAACCATTGGTTCAATGGTTTAATGGTTTATTGGTTTAATGGTTTGATGGTTTAATGGTGCTCCTGCCGAGGTACCTCGACTGCATCTTTTCTGCTCCTAAACTTCTGATTCGCAAGCCGTGTCCCCTGTATCCTTTCTGCTCCGAATATTCTGAATCGCAAGCAGTGTCTCCCGTATCTTTTCTGCTCAGAAGTATACGTGTACTATATGGGATTGCGTCTTAAACCCTAATTCTTAAACTTTAACTCTATAGGGCTTAAAGCTTCGGGTTTAGGCTGAATTGCCGGCTTAGGTTTAAGTGCCTCAATCTTAAACCCTAAACCTGTCAACCTTGACCCTCTAGGGTTGGGGCGCCTACATCATGATCGGATTTGACGAGCTCTGCGGAAATTTCTTTATGACAAGGTTATAACTTATTGCTGTGGTTATAACTATGGGTTAGGGTTTGATTTTTACACACTTATGTAAACCCATAAGAATAAGGGGAGCCCCATCACGCCCCCAACAAGCGAAACATCCCAAATACTTTACCTTAGCTAAAATATCTCAAGCAACCATCCCCCGATACGCAATTCCTGAATTCCATCATTTAACGAAATAGTTTGTGTATATGTTGAATCCCAGCAAGTAGTGAAAGTGACGAGCTCTGCGGATATATGTACATGACAAGGTTATAACTTTTTGCTGCGGTTATAACTATGGTTCAGGATTTGATTGATATACATGTAAATTAGCCTATAAGAAAATGAGGGTAACGGTAACCCCATCACGCCCCAAAAAGCAAAACAAAACCTCTATCCTAAAATCTTTACCTTACCTAAGATAGCTCAAGCAAAACAAAAACTCTATCCTAAAATCTTTACCTTACCTAAGATAGCTCAAGCAACCATCCCCCGATAAGCAAAACCTGAATTCTATCATATAACGATATGGTTTGTTTATATTTTGAATCCCAGGAAGTCGTGAAAAGGACATTTGCTCACAGTATTCTCGCGTCACCGGGAAGAAAGCCCTACAAACGTAGGCATAGCCCTATGGGATTCAAGGTTTAGGGATCTAAGCCCCAAGCCCTATAGGGCTTTAAGGTTCTATTGTATAGGTAATTAATGCCCAAACCTTAAACCTAAACCGTTAAACCCTGTAGGGTTCAATGGTTCGACAACCTAAGGTCTGGGCATGTATACCTTCAGTACCCTTTAGGGTTAAAATCTTTGAACCTTTGGGAGCCCTATAGGGTTTTAGGGTTCTGACCCTAAACGAATCAGGGTTAAGGTCTGAATGCCCGAACTTCAAACACTTAAGATTGAAACTTTTCGAATTTTCGTTTTAGATGCCTAAATCCTAAACCCCAACCCCTTAAACCTTAACTCTATAGGGTTTAAAGCTTCGGGTTTAGGTTGAATTGCCGGCTTAGGTTTAAGTGCCTCAATCTTAAACCCTAAACCTGTCAACCTTAACCCTCTAGGGTTGGGGCGCCTACATCATGATCGGATTTGACGAGCTCTGCGGAAATTTCTTTATGACAAGGTTATAACTTCTTGCTGCGGTTATAACTATGGTTCAGGGTTTGATTTATATACATGTAAATTAGCCTATAAGAAAATGAGGGTAACCCCATCACGCCCCAATAAGCAAAACAAAACCTCTATCCTAAAATCTTTACCTTACCTAAGATAGCTCAAGCAACCATCCCCCGATAAGCAAAACCTGAATTCTATCATATAACGATATGGTTTGTTTATATTTTGAATCCCAGGAAGTAGTGAAAAGGACATTTGCTCACAGTATTCTCGCGTCACCGGGAAGAAAGCCCTACAAACGTAGGCATAGCCCTATGGGGTTCAAGGTTTAGGGATCTAAGCCCCAAGCCCTATAGGGCTTTAAGGTTCTATCGTACAGGTAATGCCTAAACCTTAAACCCTAAGCCTTTAAACCCTGTAGGGTTGAATGGTTCAAGAAAACCTAAGGTCTGGGCATGTATACCTTCAGCACCCTTTAGGGTCAAAACCTTTGTTCCTTGTAGAGCCCTGTCGGGTTTTAGGGTTCTGACCCTAAACGGTTCAGGGTTGAGGTTTAACTGCCCGAACTTTCAACCCTCAAGGTTAAATCTCTATGGGTTTAGGTTTAAAGTTTAAAAATACCTAAATCTTAAACCCTAACCGCTTAACCTTAACTCTATCGGGTTGAACGGTTAGGGTTTAGGTTTCATTGCGGGCTGACGTTTAAATGCCTGAATCTTAAGCCCTAAACCTGTCAAACTTAACCCTATAGGTTTGGGGTACCTACATCATCATCGACTTGTTGCTGTGGTTATAACGATGGTTTAGGGTTAAAATATATACATTTATGTAAACCTAAAAAATAAGGGGAACCGCAATAGGCGGACGCCCATATATATATATGTATGCAGATATATATATATATATATACACACACATATGGATATGCTTCCCGACACCCAAAAGTAGTTTGAAGTTAAGCACTGCGTTTCCAGAGCTTTCTTCTAACACTAAGCCACCACCATGATAGAACTGTAAACCATATGAAAGTCACATGTCAAAGCATGCAAATGGCACCGCATGGCCTGTGCTCCACGTAGTTTCGGCAATGTCTTGTGTCCGTGTCTCGCCATGCCAGCCGTTGTGTTGGTTCCACGTGTGCCTGGGCCCGTAAACGCGCTGGGCTTTCATGTGCCTCGTGCAGCAGCTTACTTGCCCGGCAGTTTCACTCAGTAAAGCGCTGAGAGGTTTGGTTTTAGAGTACTGTTGGCGTCGAGAGTACTGTCGGTGGCCAGCTTTGGCTCAGGCGCTCCGCCCGCGGCTCCGCTCACGCTCGCCCGACACGAGGGAGTGCGATCATGACTCAAGACAGGCACGACCGTGTCACGACCATGACATGACTGTGGCATAAACTGTCCATCCGTGTTTTTCAGCTTGAACCTGACAAATGCAAGGAGCTCCGGCAGCATCGAAGGCACGTGTCAACACGACGCAAGGACAGTGTGTGGATGCGTTAAAAAGCCATCATGCTATGCCTGCGCATCACTCACTGCAGGACCGTCACCGTGCGTTGCACCGAAACTCCCCACTTGTGCGCCCGCATGCCGGGAGACCAGGATGTCCTGAGTAGACCGTGCACTTGTGACCATTCCATTCAGTTGCAGACTAGCGGCTGCTAAACACCACAGAGCTCCATTCGCCTCTCGAACGTAGCTTCTTTCTGGGAGTTGGATGATTCACATTCGTATTGAACTCACGTGTTAACTTGTATGTTACATTCGCTTTGTTTGTTTGTTTGTTTGTTTGCTTATGTGTGTGTGTGAGCTGCATCTGCACCCAGGCCGGCCCTCGGCTCCGCTCTTGCAGCCGACGGACCGAGGCCACAGCTGATTCGGCCCCCCTCCCCCGTCTCTCTGTCTCCTGAATCTTCCTCGGACTCCAGGCTTGAAGGCTGTCATCACGAATCTTTGACATGTCGAGACATGGGTTCATTGGACATGAAGAAGGTATATAAACAGTACCAAAAAGTGCCCCGATAGAGGCTTCTCCTCCGCTGCGTTCGCATGGCGCGGGGGTCGCGGGAGTCACCAGCACAACGGAGGAGGACAGCCACGACAGCCACGAGAGCCACGAGGCCGTGAGAATCCTGGGATCCTGTGTGAGCTCTGTCCGTGTCTCTGTCTGTGTCTCTGTGTGTGTCTGTCCGTCTGTCGGTCTGTCCGTCTGTCGGTCTGTCTGTCTGTCCGTCTGTCCGTCTGTCCGTCTGTCGGTCTGTCTGTCTGTCTGCCTGTCTGTCTCTGTGTCTCTCTGTCTGTCTGTCTCTGTGTCTGTCTGTCCGTCTCTGTGTGTGTCTGTCTGTCCGTCTCTGTGTGTGTCTGTCCGTCTCTGTGTGTGACTGTGTGGTTTGAAGACCTTGAAAAGGAAGTGCGCCGGCCGCGAAGGCCTGCACGGCAAGCACGTGCACCAAAGAGAGTGAAGGACTGTTCGGTGAGTGAGTTCTTTTCCAAAAAGCAAAACTGCTAAGCTGATAGCTGCTAAGCTGCTAAATTGTTATAAGGTTATCTTCTCGCAAGACGAAGGAACGTCGGCGCGGTCTGCGACACAGCACCCTACGCCCACGCCCTCGTGCAGGGAAACCCAGCGCAGCGATGGCTGTGCAGGAGCAGCCCAAAGCTCTTCAAGTAGGCAAACCAAACATTGTCAACGATTGGTCATATCTAAACAGCCTTGTGCACGGGTAGGAACTGTTTGTGGATTTCGGGTGGCGGCATATGAAGCTTTGAACAAGTGTGGGGTGCGAGAAGGGATGTGCCACAATGAGGGCAGGCTCTGCGATATCTTGACGGTTTACGATGCACATACTGTGGCAGTGATGATGATCATGGCTCATGATAGCTGTGTTGATCCTGATGGCGATGGTCGTGTCGATGCTGGGGAATGGTTATGATTGTGTTGTTGTGACGGTCCACTGCCCGACGCTGCGACCACAGAATGCCAAGTCAATGGGCTCCCCAGCATATAGAGCGAGCTGAGGTCTCTGCAAGGGTACGTGGATTGCAGCAGGATCATGACTTGGAGCTGTTGTGGCTTCCTCAGCCAGCATTCGGATATGCCGGTGATGCACATGGAGGGTCCGTGATCACATGGCGGCACTGATCAGGACGAAGAACCTTTTGCCAACAAGACGGACCAGAGACGAACGGCTTGAAGCACAGGACGGAGCCTGAAGTCTGGAATATGAATTCAGTCTGAATTCATTTTGCTCGATGTGTTCGAGTGATGGATGTTATGTGCGCAGAGCATTCCACGACCAAAGGGCGATGCCGACGAGCAGCCAAGGCCCCGTGCTTCCATGCTCTGCACATGCTTCATCTACCTGCTGCTTGCTCCGACTGGTGCTTCTCGGGGTTTGGAGAGGCACGTCGATGCTGGTGATGTGGAGCATCCCATCCGAGATGGCCTCGGAATAAATGGGGCCGAGCAGGCAGAGCTGCCGGCCTCGATGGAAACTCAGACACCAGCAGGCAGCTTGTCTGCCTTATGCATGTCTGCCTGTGCCCTCCTATCTAGATTGTGGGGTGGCAGCTCTGTTTCGATTGCAAGGACACGGGGTCGAGGGTGTCGAGTCGGCGCCAGCTGAGCATGCTACGAGCGTGGACGCAGCAGCGCCGACGGGGCCCTTTGAGGTGATTTCGGAGTTTGCTTTCGCTTCGTTTTTCGTGGAATGTTTTGGCCTCAGGAGCTGCCGCCGAAGGCGACATCGACGGTGGTGGCCTCGTTTTTGGAAGCAGCAAGACCACCTTATCAGGAAGATCGTGGTTATCAGGACTGCGCTTCTATTCCATACGAGTCTTTTCCCAACCCATCATACGCGTGCAAGGCGTTTGCAAAGGCACACGCGTGCATTGTGGTTGCAGAAGGGTGTGCCTGCGCCCCCCATGCAAACTGCAAGCTTACCTTATAAGGACGATCTCTGTAAACCTACGAATCCTTTCCAAACCCGTCATGCCTATCATGAGTTTGCAAATGTGGGCCCGCTCATATTTTGAAAATGCGAATCCTTTTCAAACCTGTCATGCCTGATGCTTGTCATGCATTTGCAATGTTTCGGGGAGGGAGTGTGCCCACCCACGCTGTTTTCTTTTGAGGCGTGCACGCTGCAAAGCCTCACTTATAAGAAAGATCATGACATGAATAAAGGACCTTGTTTGAAATTGCGTACGAAAAAACGCGCAATCCGTTTGCAAATTGCGGGTGCGGGGGGGGGGGGGGGGGGGGGCTGAATCGCCTCATCTTATTCCGTTTAAGCCACGCAAACTGCAAGCTTGCCGTATGGGGAAGATCTTTGAACATATGTATTTTTGCGCGGTCCCAGCTTTGTTTTTCAAAGCCATGCAAACTGCAAGCTTATCTTGAGAAGGAAGATCATGCCATGAAAAAGGACTTGCATTCAAAACATGCGAGTCTTTCGCCGACCTGTTGAGCACATTGCAACTGCTAAGATTTTTTGTGCACTTTCGATTTAGAAAAAACACTACAAGTTTCAGCCTTTGAAGTACTGGAAACGCTGCACTCTCCAGCGTCTGCAGCCTGTAGGCTGCTCATCCTCACATCCTGTACTGTATAACACGCGCAACCCGTGGACAGCCAGGTCAAGTACCGCCAAGAACACAGTATTTTGCCAGGGTTTGGAGCAAACCTAAAGCCGGCTATGTAAAAGTGTGATTTGGAGGTTCTCTGTTTTTTTAAACTTCCTGGGAGCTGGAGATGTGGAAAGCACTACAATTTCTGGCTTTACAAGCCAGTGAGCGGCCAAGCGAGACCTACAAAGAAGACATCGCACCTCCGCCTCGAATCCCGGAGCACCTCAGAGCATCTCAGAGCCTCAGAGCATGAGCCCACAGAGCATCAGGTCATATCAGGTCATATCAGGTCGTGTGAGGTTCCTCGGAAGCCCTCCGAGTTTCTTCTGAAGTCTGCCGAGGCGGTCGAGCCGGTCGCGCAGGAAAAGGGTGCGCCACCAGCCGAGGTAAAGGACCCAGAAGGCCCAGGTCTCCTTAAGATGTTCATCCGCTTGGAGTCGGAATGCGTCAGAATACGTCAGAATACGCCAGAATATGTCAGAATCTCCAGTTCCCCTTCACATCCCAAAAGGCCTGCCTGGAAGTCCCGGCGGCTGCTAAGAGACTTCGGCGGAGTTGCCCTCAGTAGCAAGCTGCTCGCAGATCTCGGGTCCTGGTAGTTGTGGAGTACCACGGTACCATAGCGCAATCCACTGCGGAGTTACTGAAGCTCTTCAAGTAAGGGAAGGGAAGAATCACAGATGGGTCGGATAGGTTGATTGATTTCGGTTCATGAGGGGGCCGCAGCCGACAGGAAAGCTTTCTACTTGGGCAGGCAGAAATGTGCAACAAAGCCGGCTGGAAGAGCGACTCGGGTATGTGCTTCAGAACGACACATACGAAGTGTCGAGGCCTCGGTGGTGGCGCCCTCGACGTCCAGTGGTGCCAGCCGCTGTACTCCAGCTTCAGGCGATGGGTAAGAAAACGCTTGAAATCTTCAGAAGACACTTGGGGCGTAATGCGCAAGCCTCATTCTTGTGTCGAAGCCTTGTCAGGAGCTTTGCCGCGAAATGAAGGCGCCACCGAATGGTCATGATGGTCCCTGAGGGCATTCTGTCTTGGGGTGTGTCAACAGACATGGGCCCTAGAGCAGGTTGCTTGAAGCCTCTGTTTGACGGTTGAAGTTTGAGCATTCCATTTGCGGTTTTGACCCCAGAAACCGTTTAGTTGTGGAAACTGAGGCTGCAAAAAAGAGGCCGCGAGACTCGGGCCGCTTCCCGACCTACACCGTTGTTTTTGGCTCCGGTTTGTCCAAAGAACAGGCAGTATCCTCCATTTTGCTTAGGCAGGCAGTCAAGCAACTCTTTTCTCTCACCAAGTATACCAAGAACATAACTCATTGCACACCATAAGACCCAAAGCAATCATTTACATGATGTTTTCAGTAAAGCCTAGGATGTAAACTGTTGCTGTTCCAATATGCCCCGCCTTGTATACCTATGTCGTATCTTATCCAGAAGTTTGCGCTGGCAACTTCAGAACTTTCAGAGTCTTTATGCAGACACATCTCCTGTTTTTGCGTCATGTTGTGACCGATCCTACATGTTCTAGATATCATAGAATTGACAGAAAACTGTCGCTTACATACTATACATGCTACCTTATATCATCTTGTTTCAACAGAACCTGTGTATAATGTCATTTGTACATATTTATCGCCGTCTTTCGCAAACTTACACGATTCTCATGTCGCCTGCTTTGGTTCTTTTCTTCGTTGAATTTCTGTGGTTCTTTCTGTTTTAACTGCCATAATCAATAATCACGACGTTGAAAGCGTGTACATAAGATGTGCAAAGGCGTTCATTCTTGATGTTGAAGAACTTACTTCAGGACAAAATGTTAGGATGTATGGGGTATGCCCAAATATCAGAGTAGGAAGGTGTGCTGATGTTGGTTTTTAAAGATGTTATATCGGAGGCACTGCTGAAAGTTTGAATCAACGACTGGCGAGTCATAGAAGCTCTTACAACAGGTTCATAAACGGCAACAGAAGCGTCACGAATTGTTATCTTTTGTTCGATGAGTACGGAGTGGGTAACTGTAAGAGTGATCTTGTTGAATATCGTGAACGCAAAACAGAAGGTGAACTTCGAAGCAACGAAGGTGAGTACGTGAGAACATTGGGTTGTGTCAACATAACAGTGTGGGGAGAAGTAGAAATGAATGGAAGACTGACAACCGTGAAGAAATGAGAGAGCAAGATAAGGTCTATCGTGGAAACAACTCAGACAAGAAACTTCAAGGACAAGTATCCCCCACCAGCATTTGCATTTGCAGCTGCATGTGGTCTACGGTGCTTATTTCTTCTTGTGTCAGGTCCAAGTTTTGCTTGTATTGTTCCCAGAAGTAAATTGATTGCTCTGTCAGTGTCTCCATGTCTATCATCTAAATCATGATCAACTCCGTTCAATCTCTCTTTTGTTGATCACGAGTGTTGAAGATACAACTCGCCCCCATATCTACATCCGTTTTATCTGCTGAATTAACGTTTTGATTATTTGCTACTGCTCTGTTTAATGCAATTCTGTTCATGCCATTTACTTTTGGCGTTATGGTTGAAGTTGAAGGCTCGGTTGTTGTATTGGTCGGGAATGAAAATGTTGATAAAGCATTGAATGACTTGTTGCATCGGCTCGTTGAAATATTCTGCCTGAATTTGTTGAAAGTAGATGTGTTTTGAAATGATTGGTTCACCACCAGAAGTAGAATTAGTTTCCGCTTGTCACTTTCAGTTTATTAGCACTTGCGCACCTCCTATATCCTTTCGCAACATACGCGGACAGTCACTAGAAGTAGTAAGCGCACAATAGTAAGTGGGGTTTCCAGTAACTACATCACTGGCATCAGTAGTATTTGGTACGAAGTATATCCTGAAGTAGAAATCTTAGCGTCAAAGTTTTGAAAATCTAGAGTGTCCTTACAATAAGTTGGTGCAAATCATTTCGTTCCTCCTGTCACACTATTACGTTCAATATTGGTATTCGTATCAGTATCGCCGTTAGTTCCATTGATTGGTGGTTTAGCGACTGCCGTGTCATGGATTGTTAAGACCAGGTATTTGATTTAGTGACATTGGTGTATCTTTCAATGCTCGCTTGGAATGTTGCCATTAAAGTGTTTTGAAGTGTAATGTGGTACACTGCTTGAATCTGCTGCGGCAACATGAAAATGGACAAGCCGGAGCCAAATGCAACGATGTAGGTGGGAAAGTGTCACGAAGAAGGTCTAACAAGCCCGAAGACTGCGAGTGCATTCCGACTTCAGGGTTTAGAGCTACACTTGCAATCCCTTGGACTCATATTGCTTTCCTGTAGTTGCGTTGAGAGAAAAGCTCCTCCTTGCCAGCGGTTTGCCGAGTTGGTCAGTCTTCGTGGGGCCTGTAACACCTTATCTACCACAGCATGCCATGTGCTCGAGATTCCGGGATGATTTGCAATGAACTTTGAGAAGTCAAGGCGGAGCGCCGTGCGCTCTGCAAGGTGTTGCGTGCGGAGAAGGACGCTTCTTTGTTAGCTCCGAGCCTCTAAGAAGAGTCAGTCATCACTGGTAAGATCCTAAGGCCATGAGCCTAAACCACGAAGCCAGCGGATGCGCAGTCAAAGCCGTCATATGTAGAGCCGCGTGCCTGTATGTTCCCACGGTCAAATCTGGGAGCATGCTGCTGAGCAGCAGCATTCCTGCGAATTTTCTGCGAAGCCGCGAAGCTTGCAAGGATGGTCCTGGACCCCATGGCCCCTGTGGCGTTGCCGCAGAGCTCCGCCAGCGCGGGACCTTGGGGGAGCAGTTTGTTGCTGTCATTGGGCGGTTATTTGCTGTCCTTTTTTTCATTTTGTCTCTGGGCGTTGCAGTGCCTGTGCTCAAATAGCTCATCACCTAAGGGTTTATCTTGCCCCTTCAGGTTTTCCGGCGTAGTGTCTCCACAAAGCACGATGGCTCACCCGCTGCAGAATCAAACCCGGAAGCACTACAAGTCAATTTCCGCAGAGGAACGAGTATGCAGCAAGGTTGTGGATGGAAGCAGAGCGAGAACATGCAGAGATCCTAGATGCTACACATCACCGCGCGAGACAAGAGTTACAGCAGGTATAGATAGCTAGAGCTCCATCGCCAACCGCGGATGGCCAGCAGAAGTAACGAGCGAAAGTCTGCCTTACAACAGTCACTCTTGCATTAGGTTGTGTCTAGAGGCTAGAGGTAAGGCAGGAAACAAAACCTTTGCCAGCCCAATAGGTTGAGCTTGCAGTTTTTCCCCACGTTCAGCATGTATTTCGTTGGCATCATCTATTCACAGCTCAAACTCCCCGCGAAAAGAAGTGTTGATGTATGATTTATCGGTTTATATTGCCTTTTTCATGGCCGATCTGAAAAGATCAGTCTGTGTTTTTTATTTACATGTAACTGTACATGGACTACTTTAGGATGGCTTTGGTATGCGTTAGAATGCCGTGGGACTTCGGAACATTTTGGGCGCAATGATGCCAAGGACCTTCGGATTCGGGTGTTTACTAAGGGATGCCAAGGGGTCATGTCGCGCTGCTGCGACAAGCTGTCGCTTCCTCGAATTCCCATTTTCGCAACATGCCCTGGTAATTCTTTGGCATCCCTGTCTCAAGGTGCTGGCACGATTTGAAGCCGCGTGCCGGGGCCGCATTTTGGGACTTCAGGAAGAACTTGTGATGGACTACGGTTCGCTAGTTTTGGGACACTGCCAAGCTTATATCAACCGTTTACACAGATTCAGAAATATCGAGAGTGCGCACCGTGGTGCGGCAGTGTGCTTACCCGTGCTTACTTGATGTCCCTCACACAGTGCAGGCCTCGAACTTTTGGCGTCGCGTGCGGAGGTCGAGCGCAAGGAGCTTCGGGTGTTCCAACGAAGGAACTTGCTGCAGGTATGAATGCAACGGCCTTTTTGTATTGGCGTAGAAAGTTTGCTGAACAAAGATATGCCGCTGGGGTTGCCTTCAAAGTGGTTTGCAGAATGCCCTTCAGAGTGCCTTGCAGAAACTAACCCGGTTTGACTCGGTTGTGCTAGCACGTCTTGGTGGGCCAATTCCAGTTCCTTGACGCCAGGCACAGAGAGCGTGAGCCCAAGGTTTATGGATGTGTTGCTGTGCCTGCTGGTCTGTGTAGCCTTTTGGTTGGGGGCAGTTTTTGATGCTTTTCGGTTTAAGTGTTTGCCGCTCCTTTTGCTTACAAGATTGTGCGAAACATGTTCCAAACCTTTGAGGTGCTAACAGCAGAACATGAAGAGCTGCAGCTGGCCTATGTGCGGGCCGTCGGGTAGGGTTGATGGGTTGGAAGTTGAAAGACTGGAGCGTCGCAGCTTCAGGGGTGTGCAGTTCTGCGGGCTTGCAGAAGAGTTTACGTCCCTGCGTCTCGCAAGAGTCGTGCTGCCTAGTTGAAGGTCGGCACTCTTACAGTATTAGAAGAGCTGGTATGATCCAGCAGCACTTCAGACTTCAGCACTGAGCACACTACGCGTCGTTGTTGCGTGCAGGCCCAACAACAAATTTATGTGTTTTTGTCTCTGTCGTGCTTTGAGGCGAAGCTCCTGGCAGGCCCGGGCTGGAAGCCTCGGCTCGGGGCCCTCAGGCGCACGGACAGGGTTGGAGAATTGAGGTTGCCCGGCTATGCCTATTGGCTACTCCATGCTACTCCTGGCTTCCTGGTTCGGGTGTTAGATCGTGGTGATGATTTCAGATGCTACGATGGGAAGGGCGAGCAGAGGATTCGAGGGTGTCAGCAGCAAGATCGGTGGACGGATGGGGCTGGGGTGTGGGGCGCGTGGGGACAAGATGCAGATTGCAGAAATGTTTCTACATGCGACGTACATCGGAGAAAAGGGTTGAAAGGGTGCGAAGCGAGGTTTAGAGTGAGAGGGGTGCCCAATCTTATTAACTTTACGCTTTCCATGCTTTATGCTAAGGCTGGCGAAAATGATCCAGATTCAGATGGCCTTATGAGCCTGGTACGAGCACCCTTTGTGAGGGTAGATTGGTACTTGGACATACATTCGATGTGATGTCGCTATGGACTTGGGAGGCCGCAGTCGACCTCGTATCCTCAAAGTGGCGGAGGCCTGACGCTTCCGAGGCTTTCATGTTGGGGCTTGAAGAGGCCCTGAAATCATCAAAAAAGACATACCGTAGCCAGACCGTAGCTGACCTTCGCTCCATGTCCTGTCCAGAGGCGATGGTCCGACGCCTGAGTCAGATGACGATGTCATCATCGAAGAGGTTGCTTGGGCTTGTGTCCTAGGTTAGCCTGGTTGTGCTCTTGGGGGAGTCGTTTGCCGTATGTTGCCGTGCAAGATGAAACTGTTCACACCCTTACGGGGCAGCCACACTGAGGATGCTCGAACGCCGAAGGAGCTGCCAGAAGTCACCACACAGATGCCAACACAGGTCCAAAAGGGATCGAAAGGGGTCGGAGGTGACGCATGGTCACAGATGTTGAGCTGAAATTTTGGAGGTTCCCAGGTCACTCTCGCCTCGGTTGCCTCGGTTGTGCGCTTTGACCAGGCCCCGCCTGCGCGGCCCTTAAGTGAGGAGCGAGAGGAGGTGGGGACAAGTGGTGCTTTCCGATACTGTGATGGCCGCTATGGCCTCTTCCCCATTTCCCTGCGTGGGTGATTTGTTCTGTTCGTTTGCCAGTAGACTTGGCTCCTGCAGGAGGCGCGTGCAAAGATCTTGGCACGGGCAGTGAACCTGGCATTGTGAAGCTGTGAACAGCATTGAGCAGCATCCTGGCTAATGATGGACGATCCTGTGGATGCACGGTGCTGCCTTCAACACGAAGGTGCATGTAGTGCTCGAGAATGGAACGAAAAGGGTTGGTTGAATGGCTGAAGAGTTGTTGGCTCTGGATGCATTGCCATCATGGTCATGTCTGCTGTGTCAAACACCTCAGGTCCTGGTCGTCAGATCTCTCTGGTGCGTGCAGATTTTTTCGGTTTCAGCGGCCAAGTCGAAGTGAGAAAGCTGCTAGTTCCCAAGCTGTCCTGCCTTGCCCACCCCAATCCACCCAACCTTTTTACTCCGCAAAGCTTCCGCGAAGCTTCTGCAAAGCATCCGCAAAGCATCTGCAAAGATCACAAGCGCAAAGCATCCACAAAACATCCGCAGCCGAGTTTTTTTTCGCCGGTCATCGGCCTGAATCGTTGCAAGTGCCCTTGCGCAATGGACACTATGCAGCGTACCAAGCGTCGCGCGCAGAAAGGACTGCAAGTCATGGCCCTCTGCACGCTGGGCGTGTGGCTTCTGGGATTCTCCCGACTTACAGCAGCTCGGGATTTGTTTAGCAGCCTTGGCTGCCTTGGCTGATCTTAGCTGATCTTAGCTGCCTTAGCTTGTGTCCGATGTGTCAATCTGCCGCAGCCGCAGCAAAGGACTGGCCGGGACTTGTCCGGCCCTTTTCTGATGGCCTTGGAGCTAACGGCTTCCGAAAATTTACTCACTTTGGCCTGGGGTCTGACCAGGCCTGCAGTGCACAATCAGCAGTACAATCAGCAGTACAATCAGCAGGTATCTTAGGAGGACAGGGAGACATGACCTCCTTTGCAGGATGAGCGACATCTGTCGCCAGAGAAGGTTTGGGCATACCAGCTCCGTTACTTGGGCGAAGTTGGAGACGGCATTGACCATGTTGTGAGTTGCAAGGTGGCAACTCGCAACCTGCACGCCGCCTCCTCAATCCTTCTCCAAGTTTGGGTGCCTTTTGCAAGGATCGGCTCTTGGCCACGCTTTGACACATGCCTTCGGCTATCAGTTCCAGGCACGATGCAAAGCTTTGGACTTTGGACATGCTTGGGCTACGTGCCACGCCGGAGAGCCTTAGCAGCGTGCTCCCTGCCCTTGTCGACTGCCCTTTAGGCGCTGCTCCTGGCCCTGGCTGCAGCATTGGTGCTTTTGCGCGGCTGCTTCCTGTTGGTCGAGAGTGCAAAGCCTTGCCAGGAGCGCAGTATTGCAGCTGAGTTGCAGCAGCTGCTTTGATCCGGGCTGCGAGATTTGGCAGGTGATCTCCTGGTTCGTCCTCGGAGCTGCCATAAGCCTTTGTGCCTTGGCTACACGTGTGTCCATGATGCATGCCATCAGGATACGCAAATTGAAGCAATCTTTCCAGAAACAAGACAAAGAATGGACATAGGAAGGAAATGGAATGACATGGACAAAAAGTGGCGAACATGCTCTAACACCTGTTGAAATGCTCGCAGACATTCTGTACCAGATCATCAAAGTCACAGCCGCAGATGCTTTGGCCAAAGGAGATATACACACTCCCGTGAAACATCAAGCTGTTCTTCTAAAACAAACATACAAAGAGTACCCCGTGGAGTTCGATGACCTGCAGGACTTTAAGTCTTTAAGGTTCACGATCAAGATCCAGCAGCTGGCAGCTAGCTAGCAGGGTTGAACCGAGTCGTTTATACTCGGCATGTGACGTCATGTGGGCCAGACATGAAGAAAAAAGTCCCCACCCTGACGTTCCAATTAAAGTGGAGGTCGAAAAGCCGGTTCAACAAAAAGGTGATCAATGCCAAGCCAGTGAGTCGGCAAGATGCATCCTGTGAAATCAGAAGTGCAATATAGTGCAATATAGTGCAATGTCTTTTCTTTCGTCTCTGAGGGGAGTGGAGTCCAGAGTGGAGTGACGAGCAAAGAGAGGCAAGACTGGCCGCCTGCTGGCTGTCCGGTGGCTGTCTGGTTTGTAGAAGTCTGGCAGAGCTTAGGTTGGGTGCTGCACCCCTCGACTGCGCCATCTCTCGGCCTCGGGTGCCTTTGGCTGAAATCATGGACTGCGAGCATAGACATCAAGCAGCACACGCTTGGGGCCCTGACAACACTTACTGTAGCCGATCGCTCTTGTCACTTCTGATTGCAGAGATGCAACGTCTGGCAAAGGATGTAACGGATATCCCTTTTTCCCGAAAGCATCGCGAAGGGTTCTTCCGTGCGGAGCCGCCTGACACAACAACATAGACTGAAGTGCATAGAGTGAAGTGCATAGAGTGAAGTGCATAGAGTGAAGTGCATAGAGTGAAGTGCATAGAGTGAAGTGCATAGAGTGAAGTGCATAGAGTGAAGTGCATAGAGCGAAGTGCATAGAGTGAAGTGCATAGAGCGAAGTGCATAGAGTGAAGCGCATAGAGCAAAGTGCATAGAGTGAAGTGCATAGAGGCAAGTGCACAGAGTGAAGTGCACAGAGTGAAGCGCATAGAGTGAAGTGCATAGAGTGAAGTGCGTAGAGTGAAGTGCATAGAGTGAAGTGCATAGAGTGAAGTGCATAGAGTGAAGTGCATAGAGTGAAGTGCATAGAGTGAAGTGCATAGAGTGAAGTGCATAGAGTGAAGTGCATAGAGTGAAGTGCATAGAGTGAATTGCATAGAGTGAATTGCATAGAGTTTAGTAATCAGTGAATACAAATTTCTAGATTTACGTAGAATTTACTAGACCTTCGTACCCAGTCCTAGATTTCTAAATTAAAATTACTCTTTCTAAGGCGGCGGGCTGGGTTGACATCGCCAATCGGGATTGCAACCCTCTGCGGGTTTCGGCGTGGTCGCGGTGCTAAAACCGTCGTTTTTTTACGTTTCTTGATTTGCGCGGACAACCCTCTGCGGGTTTCGGCGTGGTCGCGGTGCCAAAACCGTCGTTTTTTTACGTTTCTTTGTGGCCGCGGACAACCCTCTTGCGGGTTTCGGCATGGTCGCGGTGCCAAAACCGTCGTTTTTTTTACGTTTCTTTGTGTCCGCGGACAACCCTCTGCGGGTGATCGCCGGGTCGCGGTGCTAAAACCGTCGTTTTTGGTTCTTTTTTTCGTGGCCGCAGACAACCCTCTGCGGGTTTCGGCGTTGGCGCGGTGCCAAAACCGTGGTGTTTTTGCGTTTTTTGACATACAAACGTAACCCCTCTGCGGGTTTCGGCGTTGGCGCGGTGCCAAAACCCTCGTGTTTTTGCATTTCTTGACATGCAAACGTAACCCCTCTGCGGGTTTTCGCGTGGTCGCGGTGCTAAAACCGTAGCGTTTTTTGCGTTTTTTGCGTTTGTTTTTCGACTTGTGTAGTACAGACGTAGTACGCCGGGGACTTCCGTGGCTGGAAAATGGAGTTTTGTAGTACAAATGTAGTACGCAGGGGACGCCCGGAGCTTCCGTGGCTGGAAAGTCGACTTTTGTAGTACAAACGTAGTACGCCGCGGACACGCGGAGCTTCCGTAGCTGGGAAGTCGACTTTTGTAGTACAGACGTATAGTACGCCGGGGACGCCCGGAGCTTCCGTGGCTGGAAAGTCGATTTTTGTAGTACAAACGTAGTACGCGGCGGACACGCGGAGCTTCCGTAGCTGGAAAGTCGACTTTTGTAGTACAGACGTATAGTGTAGTACAAACGTAGTACGCCGCGCACACGCGGAGCTTCCGTGGCTGGAAAGTCGACTTTTGTAGTACAGACGTATAGTACGCCGGGGACGCCCGGAGCTTCCGTGGCTGGAAAGTCGATTTTTGTAGTACAAACGTAGTACGCCGCGGACACGCGGAGCTTCCGTAGCTGGAAAGTCGACTTTTGTAGTACAGACGTATAATGCCGGGGGCGCCCGGTGTTTCCGTGGCTGGAAAGTCGATTTTTGTAGTACAAACGTAGTACGCGGCGGACACGCGGAGCTTCCGTGGCTGGAAAGTCGACTTTGTAGTACAGACGTATAGTACGCCGGGGACGCCCGGAGCTTCCGTGGCTGGAAAGTCGACTTTTTGTAGTACTCACGTAGTACGCCGCGCACACGCGGAGCTTCCGTGGCTGGAAAGTCGACTTTTTGTAGTACAAACGTATAGTACGCCGCGGACGCCCTGGGCGTCTGAAAAACACCGCAAATAGCATGGTAACGGACATCTGGCCGCTTGAAAACACCGCAAATAGCACGGTAACGGACATCTGGCCGCTTGAAACACCGCAAATCGCATGGTAACGGACATCTGGGCGCTTGAAAACACCGCAAATAGCATGGTAACGGACATCTGGGCGCATGAAAACGCCGCAAATAGCATGGCAACGGACATCTGTGCGCTTGAAAACACTGCAAATAGCACGGTAACGGACATCTGGGCGCGTGAAAACGCCGCAAATAGCATGGTAACGGACATCTGGGCGCTTGAAAACACTGCAAATAGCATGGTAACGGACATCTGGGCGCTTGAAAACACCGCAAATAGCATGGAAGCGGAATTCCGGACATACTTGCGCAAATAGCATTCCCGCCGCGGACACCCGGAGCTTGCGTGTCGAAACCATCGCAAATAAACCATCGCAAATATCTCGGGACTCGAATTCCTCGAAACCCTTGCAAATGTCGTGGGACTCGAATTCCGGGGCCTCGAAAACCTCGCAAATATCGTGGGACTCGAATTCCTCGAAAACCTCGCAAATATCATGGGACTCGACTTCCGAGGCATCGAAAACCTCGTAAATATCGTGGTTCCAAAACCATCGCAAATACCCTGGTCCCCGAATTCGCTGGTTCCAAAACCATCGCAAATACCATGGTCCCCGAATTCGCTGGTTCCAAAAACCAGCGCGAAAACCATGGTCCCCGAATTCTCTGCTTCCAAAACCATCGCAAATACCATGGTCCCCGAATTCGCTGGTTCCAAAACCATCGCAAATACCATGGTCCCCGAATTCGCTGGTTCCAAAAGCATCGCAAATACCATGGTCCCCGAAATCGCTGTTTCCAAAACCATCGCAAAAACCATGATCGCGAAAACCATGGTCCCCGAATTCGCTGGTTCCAAAAGCATCGCAAGTATACCATGGTCCCCGAATTCGCTGGTTCCAAAACCATCGCAAATCAGACAAGTGCAGTGTACAAGTGACTATGCAACCATGTAAGTGCATACATTTGTCCAAGCGCATACACTTCGGCTGCAAAGAGTCAACTGCATGGAGTCAACGCACGGCAAATCGATGCTTTCGGGCCATCCCTCTTCTAGTTGTTTGTTGCGGCCCCGAAGTATGCATGGTACACAATGTGTTTGAAGTATGCATTGGGATTGCTAAGGCGCATCAGAGTGCAGAAGTCACTTCAATTTGCCTTGGCCGTCGCCTGCCAGGGTGGCACCTTCTTTGTGGCCTGACCCGCATCTGTACAAACAACCTGAGGAGCTTGCATAAACTATCCCACTATCTCTTCGATGTGATGTGCCAAGTTATCTAAGCACATACCGGAAGGTATAAGAATGCGTGAGAGGTTTTGAGGTTGCCCGCAAAATCGAATCTCAAGGGCTCCAAAGAATTTTGCAGATCCTCGCTCGAGGCACTTTTTCCTGAAGCTGCAGCTTACGTCCTCGGAGCGCTCGCAAGTGACTTGGGTCAAGCATGCTGGCATCTCAGGCTTTGCTCGACATCTGCAGGTCCCGAAGTGCGCGAAAGGTTGTTAAAGCCGTTGCGGCTTTGTGAGTCGGCGCGGGTTGCATATCAGTTTGTACCTCTTCCAGGTTGGAAGTGCAGTATTGAGATATCGTTAGAGTTGGATGAACCTTGATAGGACTTCGGATCTAAGGTATGGGAGCCCAGCACATCGTGCGGCTGGCTACTTTGGATGTGCCCAATGAGGCAGATTCTCTAAGTGGCTCGAGCCACATCGACGCGTGTTGGTGGCAATTATCTGCGACTGGGACGTTTAAGACCTCCACACATAGTATTGAGAGGGGGCATGTATAGAGCACTTCTGCGTGGGAATACTTGCTTTGAAAGTGGTCTCAAGCTCCTGCACCGGCGGCTGTTCTCCCAGGCAGGTCTGCTGGGAGGCTGTCTGTGCCTTCGCTTCCGGAAGCCGGCCCTGCAGGTCCTGGCATCCGTGTCAGGCCCATGATCTACAGAATCTACATAAGCCGCATCGTCTACGTCGTCTACGTCGTCTACATCATCTAATCGTCTGCCACCTCGTCTACATACTCTACATAATATACCCTGTGTACTTATACATCGTCTACATGGCATAAACAAGAGTTGTGAACAAGTTTCGCGGTGTGCCTCTGGGCTCTCAGTGCAAGTTCGTCTGCGGAAAAGTGTCTCCCTCAGGCATGCTTTGAGGATTCTTGATCGAGCGCCAGTTTTTGGAGGGACTTGCTCAATGTACTGACTGCGGAGGGGCGGAATAATTCCGAAGGAATCTGCTCCGCTGACATGGCGCCTTTATGGCATGAAGGCAGAGGGTGTCTGTACTCTGGGCATCTTATGCCGCTCTGAAACCTCTGAGCTCGAAGGAACGCTGAGACCGTGAGACCCATGCATGCGCCTGCAACAGGATGTAGGCCATCAGGATGGCCGAACGGGATTACAATGCCTCATGACGGCCTCGGAAAGAAAGTAGCCGCGCCAGGGCAAGAATTCGTGCAGCTTGAGCACCGTGCGGCAAGAAGGAACCCTTGGATGGTAGAGAACTTGATGAGCTGCAAGCTAGAGGAATACAAGAGTCGATCACAACGTCTGGGGGGGGGAGAGGGAGTGGGTTCTGGGTGTTTGGACGAGAAAACGATTGGACAACAATTTGTCGCTGTTTGGAGCTTTTGGCTTGGCTTGACGCATGTTCCATGTCGTTTCTCCTGTTCTCATTTATCTTCTCTCCTGGCTTCGTTAGAAATTTCGTGAGGCTGCAGACAAGACTTGATCAATAAGCGCTGGTTAATAGTCACTACTCTCAATGGACACAGGCTGGTCCACAAGGGGTCCAGGAGGGAGTCAGGGTGGTCCATACATAACCATTGGGTTGCCCAGTCCAGGCCCAAAAACATTGGCAACAAAAACTGCCCATTTGGAAACATCGAAGTTGTGCTCAGCTTTGCCAGGCAGTGCTGGACTGGCTTTCATGGCTCACTGGTGGCTATGCTTCGCATGGAGGATGCTACAGGGCGAGGCCAAGTACGAGACTCCCATTGAACATGTGGGCCGCATGCTCTCCAGGTGCGAGCTAGAGACTTACAAGAACACATCTCGATTCATTTTCGTTGTCCTTTGGATTTTATTCTTAGTGGCCGGTGTGCGACTCCGGCGTGAGCTCGTGCTGAGCAAAGACGAGCAGCTTTCCCAATGGTTCCAGAACGAGATTCGCAAGATCCCTGCAGACAGCAACTTCGTTCCACAATGGCCGGGTCACACAGGCACGCCTTCTTTGGACCTGGTTGAGAAGTTCCAGAAGGTGAATGAGCCGGCAGCGCCGTCGTTGGATTCCTTGGAGGTGGGTGATTTTCCTGCTGTGGATCAAGGATAAGAGAGAGGAGAGACTTCACGTGACCCGGGCGCGCCCAGTGCCCTGCCGCCTCTCAAGCCGTGCAGCAGAAGAAGAAGAAGAAGAAGAAGAAGAAGAAGAAGAAGAAGAAGAAGAAGAAGAAGAAGAAGAAGAAGAAGAAGAAGAAGAAGAGAGATCAAGCGATAGAGAGATAGACAGAGACAAAGAAAGAGAGAGAGACAGAGAGAGAGTGGGCCCTCTTCGCTGGGTAGAAGGAGAGAGAGACAGAGAGAGAGAGAGAGAGAGAGAGAAATAGAGAGCTAGAGAGATAGAGAGATAGAGAGCTAGAGAGATAGAGAGATAGAGAGATAGAGAGATAGAGAGATAGAGAGATAGAGAGATAGAGAGATAGAGAGGAAGAGAGACAGAGAGACAGAGAGACAGAGAGACAGAGAGACAGAGAGACAGAGAGCGTGTCACCATGCCTACGCTCCACAACGTTGGGGCGCGCGGATCGCGCGGGGGCTCCGGCCCTCAAGCCCCCAAGTGAAGTGAAGTGAAGATGGAGAGATAGAGATAGAGCGAGATTGAGCGAGAGCGCGAGATTGAGCGAGAGAGCGCGAGAGCGAGCGAGAGAGCGAGAGAGCGTGATAGCGCGAGAGCGCGAGAAGAAACGAAAGGCAGGAATAGATGCAATAGAAAGCCAAGCGGTTACGGAGTTGGGTGCTGAGTTTCCCGTCCAAGTAGCGTCAACATGGCACAAAAGAGGAATGTTTTGAAACCGTCTTGCAGGAGGGCCCGCTGTCCGCACGCTCAATCAGTGCGCCCCTGCAGGGGGCCGTGGCACCTCCTCAGGAGGCCAACGCAGTACCACGAAGTAGGGTCATGTTCTAGCGCGCAATGGCTGTTTAGGAGCGCACCGATGTTGGGTTGACTCAGGAGCACGACATCTATGTGCCGGAGGGCATGGAGGCCTCTTTGCTTCATCGTGCAAGGACGACACTTCCTGTTCTGCAGCCGGTACACGAATCCAAGCCTCTGCCACAGTACAACGCAGAGAAGAAGGCTAGGTCCTCGTCCTCATCAGGCTCTCCCAGCCAACGAACGACACCTTCAGCCTCCTCCAATTCAGAACGGTCTCGCCGCTTCTCTTTGGGTGGTCGAGGAGACCGAAATGGTCGTTCCATCAGTGCATCCTCTTTATCATCTTTGGAGGCGGCCGCAATCCTGGGCTTGCCACCCAGGTCTGCATTTCGCAAATCTCCAGTTTAGGTCTCAAGGTCTCAACAGTTCCAAGAGGACTCAGCTGAGGCTGATTCCCGTTGAATAGAGACAGAGAGGCAGCGCGAATTCAATTTGGGGTTTGGTGACAGGGTATGGAGATGCAGTGCGGTCAGAGCCCCGGACCAGCATTTGGAAGATCGGCGACCTCCGCTCAGCAGAGTGCGACGTAGTGCGGAGAAACGGCGCGAGCTGCATGTGTCGTCTCGTATTTGCGAGTCTTGGCCTCGGTCCATGTGCATATTACTGCATATTCATTTCGGGAATGTGTATGGTGAGAGAGAGAAGGATCATGAATGCGTTGGCTTATTCTCTCGATATTTCTTCTGTTTTGAAATTGTTTTGATGTCTTTTGTTCACGCTGGTGTGCCTTCCTCGGCTGCTTAGGCCCCTAGGCTCCGTTGAGGGCCCCATACTCGAACAGCGTCCGTGATAGGATCAGAGTTCAACCGGTAGACCTCTCACGTCTTGTCCAGCTGTTCAAAGCGGTTTGTGCTGCAGAGGGCGCAACTTTTGTGGTGCCGGCGCCGGTTCATCCTTGTCAGTCCACACACCCGATCCGAGGGCACATAAAGACGATCACAAGTTTCGCTCCCCGATTAGGCATACGGCTTGTGGGTTGCGCGCCTCGAATTCACAGAAGTTCTTCAAACCGTGTTGTGCGGCAGCTTTTCAGCTTTATAGCATCAGCCACTCAGAAGACTTAGAAGTCTCTGAAGAACTTGCTGCCGCTTGCGGCTATGGGAGGCCCACTCAATGCCAGCATTTCTTCAGAGGTGGACACATTGTTGGGCACAGCTTGCAGGCCCCTCCGGAAATCCCTACGCCAACAACCGCCACGCGGATGTGTTGAACGAGGAGCTTTGAATGGGAGCTCGGCAAGTTGCAGTGTAGGATGATGCAAAAAAGCTGGTGGTTCTGCATGATGTCATTAACGCCCCCTCCTCGACTCCCCACAGTCGAGAGCGTGTCCGCGATCCACAAGCTAAGATTCATCATATCTCCGCTTCGGAAAAAGGTAAGATATGGCGACTCGCAAACTTCGTAAACTGTCCATCATAAATTCCCAGATCCCAAGCCCGCTAGAATCGGCAGCGGACAATTTCTAGGCATCACACTGTCAAGCCCCGAAAATCGCATGCTCTCGCAGAAACTAAGCAAAGTGCCCAGGAACCAACTGAAGAGGCGGCCAAGATCCGCCTTGTCGAAGAGGCTCATGCCGCGGAACATGCGCGTAGGCTTAGCATGTAGTGGCACCACGGGTCATGTTTTGGTGCGGTGTTCAGGCCCTTTTTTAGGTTTTCATGCGCATGATCCATCCCGGAACGGAATCGGTCAGGTTGCCCTTCCCAGTGTGACCCCGCATCTTGCTCAATTCGAAGCCCCACACTGCCACACAATGACTGTACCGAAGCCTGATGCTGAAAGTTGCGAAAGTCGACATTGAGGCTTCATGTCGTGCTTAAGTCAGAGAGCAGAGATTTTCAGAGTTTTCGTTTCTCATAGCCGCCTCCCGGATCTCGCGGGGGAGTTTGCCGTTTGAGTTTCAGACTCAGCCGTGTCCGGTTTTCCGATATTCTGGCGCTGGTTTCCGATGCGGGCCTGGTTTCCAATTTCTCGCTCCCGGTTTTCGGAGTCATTTCTAGCTTCCGATTGCTCAGAAAATGAGCAAAAACCAGACTTCGATTCAGAAGCTGCGAGGAGGGAAAGGGAGGGAGATGGAGGGAGTAATTACGTGTATTCATAAAGGGAACATGCCCCAAACCCGCGGGATTTACAGTGTTCTTGCGTCTTGGTACACGATATATGCTTTAAGCAAGGCTCGCTGTCGCAAGTGTCCATTCCTGTTTACAGCGTTTCATTCGGTGCTTGAGGTTTTTAGTCGCAAGCATCCGTCCCAAATGCACTCATGCAAGAACACTGACATGTACAGCACATTGGTTTCTGGTGCTGTGCGGAACCGGAACTCGTAGCCCTGTACAAGGGCGCGAAAGCGTGGCAGGCGTGCGTTAAAGAGACGGCGTGCCAACACTGCTACATGCCCCAAACACGACGAACAAAAATTATTCTCAAGCTTCATTCAGGGCGCCCCACTTTGTACTGTGTTTGCCGGATTGGGGGCTCTGGAAGGGAGGGACCGGCAAGTCGCGGCGGTGTCGCAATGGGCAAACTGCACTCGATGTGAAAAGTGGGTGCTTTCAGTGCAGGTCAAGAATCGAGCCAAAGGTGCCTTTGCGCAGAAGGACCGGTGTGCTTGGGGTGGAGGGAGCACCCAGCCATTTAGCGTGCCTTTCGCAGAAGCCAAACTCAAGCATTCAAATGTTGCGATCTTCAGAGCTCCACTCAAGGGGTTTTCGCTGAGGACATGCCGAGTGCGGAGCTTCTTTATGGCAAGGCTGGGCAGGGGAGTGGGTGGGGGCATCGACCTTGGGGCATGTCTGCTTCTTTTGAAAGCCGCGCTTAGCCGCGCTTTAGGAATGGAGCTGACAGTCATTGGTTTGCTCGCGCAGTGCGAATGAGCTTATAGCTCACCTTCTCACCTCCCCAGTTTCGCATTTCACGAGGTCCAAACATGCCCGTACATGCGCCTTTGAGTGAGGCTCCAAACTCAAACTCCAAAGCTGGCTCCCACTCAAACCCCAGAAGAGCCGATGTGTTGCAGCAAGTGTGGCTACAGACATAGCCCTCTGAGCCACAGGAATAGGCAGGAATAGGCGGAATAGGTACAGAGCAGCAGTGGAAGCACGCTTCGGAGGCCATCTCCCTCTTGTCCTCGATGCCTGAGAAGATGGAAGCCACTTTGCGGGGACACCCGGGGGGGGGGGGGGGGAAACTGCAGCTTCGGTGAAGTTCTCAGCTCCTTGACTCCATGACTCCATGACTGTCTGACGTTCAGGGGAGCATGCGACAGCATGTGGCAAGCGTGAGAGATTTCGCAAACATAGCCATGCTCTACCATTGTAGCTATTGCAGCTGGTACAACTGGTCATCCAGCAAAGCTTCCCCCCGACTTGTGGCAGGTACTCCAATAGGTCGATGGTGAGGTTGAACCTCAACAAGGCACAAAAGCACGGAATGGAAGGGAACAGGTGTGCTTTGAGTGTGCTTTGAGTGTGCTTTGAGTGTGCTTTGAGTGTGCTTTGCGTGTGCCTTGCGTGTGCTTTGAGTGTGCTTTTGCTGCAATCTTATGACTGGAGGACTGCTGTGAGACTTAACTTTGACAAGTGCCGAGCTTGAGCCACAAACGACCCAGGTAGAGGGCGCGCTCGAGGATGCCAACAAATGCTGCTGGCTTACAAAACCATTACAAACGCCACATCGCCTCGGCCCGGCCCCTGTTCATGCAAACATGAGTTCTAGGAGTGGGTGGAGGTCGGGGGTGGAGGGGGGGTAGTGGGTGGGGGGGGGGGGGGGGCGTGGGAGGGAGGGGTGATGTGGGTCTCAGTGTTCGCTTCATCCCGGCCCGGGCAACTTGCTTGTGTTACAACTTGGAAAACACTCCCCTGACAAAACGCCAATCGCAATCTCGTCTCCAATGAATATACATTGTTCATGGACCATGTTTGCGGCATATACTTGTTTGAAGACATCCAGTCTTGCACATCCCTGAACCCATGCCCAACACCTCACTCAAAGGGTTTTAAGGTTCCTTTCATGAAGTGGCTGCGTACCGGCATGTTGTAACCCGAAGTCCTTCATGGATCTGAAGATCCTTTTAGGGGCTGATAAGTTCATCAACGACCTGTCGTCTTTGTTTGTGCCAATCCAATGACTCTGCTTCTTTTGCCACACACACACACACACCTCTTCTGGCAGCCCTTGAGCTGTTCAATGCTGAGCGAGAGCATGCACTGAAGGCCTGGAGCTGGACCCAAAAGCCGTGAAGGCCCATCACCGCAAGGCGCAGGCCCACGTTTGTCTTGTAGCCCAATGCCTCCCCACCGAACCGGCAGCACAGGCCCACCTCGCCCTTTTCCTAACCAGTTTAGGGGTTGAAAGTTTAGGGTAGCGTTGCACTGTCTCGTCTGTTTTTTCTGTCTCGTCTGGTTTTTGTTCTAAGCTCGCGAGGGGGTTGCATAGTTATGTTGGAACGTGGCTCAGCCTATTGTAGTTGCTTAAGTTCTTCAAGATAGAAAATTAGCTCCACTAAGTTGCAAAGATTGAAAGGCCAATCGGAGGCCATCAGAGCTTTGGGGCTTTCAGAAAGTTCCTGCGGCGGCCCTCGGAGGCGCTGCTGCGCCTGTCGGAATGGGATGATGCAATCAAGGCAGCAGAGGCCGCGTCGTGTGGGTGCGCAGCTGTGCTGGTGTCCTCATCCTCGTCCTCGTCCTCGTCCTCGTCCTGGTCCTGCTCCTGGTCCTGGTCGCCGTCCTCGTCGTGGTCGTCCTGGTCGGCGTCGTTGTCTTTGTAGTCGTCGGTGTCTTTGTTGTCTGTGTTCCCTTTTTGTCTTTGTTGTCTTCGTTGTCTTCGTTGTCTTCGTTGCCTTCGTTGCCTTCGTTGTCTTCGTTGTCATCGTTGCCTTCGTTGCCTTCGTTGTCTTTGTAGTCTTCGTTGTCTTTGTTGTCTTGGTCTTTGTCTTGGTCTTCGTGTTTGTTTTTGTCGTCGTCTTCGTCGTCCTCGTGGTCGTCGTCGTCGTGGTCGTCGTCTTCGTTGCCTTCGTCGTCTTCGTCGTCTTCTTGGTCACCTGCGTCTTTGCATTCGTCTTTGTCTTCTTGGTGTATTCTTTGTATTATTTGTGTCTTTTGTGTCTTCTTTGTCTTCTTTGTATTCTTTGTCTTTTTCGTATTCTTCGTCTTCTTTGTCTTCTTTGTCTTCTTTGTCTTCTTTGTCTTCTTTGTCTTCTTTGTCTTCTTTGTCTTCTTTGTCTTCTTTGTCTTCTTTGTCTTCTTGGTCTTCTTGGTCTTCTTGGTCTTCTTGGTCTTCTTGGTCTTCCTGTCTTCCTGTCTTCCTGGCTTCTTGTCTTCTTGTCTTCTTGCCTTCTTGTCTTCTTGTCTTCTTGTCTTCTTGTCTTCTTGTCTTCTTGTCTTCTTGTCTTCTTGTCTTCTTGTCTTCTTGTCTTCTTGTCTTCTTGTCTTCTTGTCTTCTTGTCTTCTTGTCTTCTTGTCTTCTTGTCTTCATCGTGGTCGCGGTCGTTGTGCTCTCAATTGTTCCTGCTCGGACAGCGGGTGCACATGATCTATCGCCTTATGTGTGCATCCTGCAGGTGCTCTGAGTGTATAGAAAATCACCTGCATCCACGTGCAGATAATGGTCCATGAAGCCCAAAGAGAATGCCAGATTTGCAGTCAGCAGATCGGATGGGGTGTTTGGAGACAATGCCGTCCGGGTGTTTTGAATCTGAACCATGCATCTTCAAGCCCCGAGACACTTCCCTAACACAATTTCCTCTGGAAAGGAGGGCGCCAAGTTGGATCCTGAGAACAAGGCCTTTCCTGAGCTCATTGAGAAGGCCCTCCCACTCTGATCGGTTTGGGGTGTTGAATTCTTGATCTTATGCCAAGTCTTTCCTTTTCCGAAGCAAATCGGCAAGCATCGATGAGCCATCAGAGTCCCAAGCACCTTCAAGAGGCACAGAAAGACCGGGAAAAGGATGCAGCCGACAAGGCCAGGCTCAAGGCGGACGCCCAGGACCCTGCATTTGGTGATTTCCACGGGTGTGCACGTTGGCTTGGACTAGGCTCCAGGATGGCACCAGGGAGGAGTCGGATCCTGGGATCCTGAAGGGATGGCACGGGATCCACGCACTGCCTCGTGGAGGTTCTTGTTGTTGGAGAGTGGGACATTTCACTGACGTGACTCTGACGTGATGATCAGCCAGAGAACCATTTGCAACAACTTGTTGAGCTTGGAACAAGGACATTGTTGTTGATTTATTTGCTTGCTAAAGCTAAACAGTGCTGTTAGCAATCATATTGCCAGGACACCCGCGTTGAGCTCCACAATGCCTCCACCGCGAGAGCGCCACCGAAGCCCAAGGCAGCTAGTACGGCTAGCTGTGTGCACCTAAGCAACTTGAACTTGGTGGCGTCTGCGGCTCTAGTGAGACAGGTTCACTCTGGCGCTGCATGTTGTCAAATTTGTTTGACTCAGTCACACAAGGGCTTGTTTTCATACTAGTATAGACGAGTGTCGGCGAAAACGCAGCAGGCCAATAGGGACTTGTTGAGGCTTCTCCGATCTTCTCCGAAACACATGTCGGCAGGACAAGGCTGACAAAGAGAATGAGGGCGGCGAGATGCGCGGCTACAAAAAGACGGCAGTGCCTTAGAAGCATAAGCCGGAAATAGCTCGAATCCGGCAAAAGAGTCTAGTGCTTAAGCTTGGGAATATTTTGGAATGTCCCTCAGGACGGTAGGACAACGTCGTACTTCCACACAGAGATCTCGGACGAGGCCCAGCGTTAGAGCACACACGTGTGCAAAAGCCAAAGCACGCCCGGAATCTGGTACCACGTACCACCATGGGAGGCAAAGAAGCTCATCGAGGCTCAGGGATTTGGAAAGCCTCAGAAGCTGGATGCCCCTGCAGAGGCAGGGCCTTCAAAAATCGAGGCACAACTCAAGGCAGGCAGGGTGCAGCCAAATGGCTTTTGGCCCTTGCCCTTTGCAAGGCGGGCGATGTCAAGGGGGGTGGCAGCCAGTGGAACCAGGCACAGAGCTGAATAAAGCCCAGTGGAGCTGGCAGAGGCTTTCGCGCAGTGTCTGAAGCTGCTGCAGTATAGTGTTCAGTCTGGACACACTTCTGTTCGAAAGTATATTTCCCATGCTCCGCTACAGACGCGTTCGTAGTCAGTGCCTGTCGTGCGCAGTCTGTCTGATGCCGGGGAAACACAGCAAGTGTACAGGCAGGCACCTACGAGGAGAAAGGCATGACGAAGTGGCTGGAGGACCGCGACTTGCCTCGAGTACAGATCGGGCAGAGGCAAATCAAGATGCAGCGGGCAGTTGACCACACACCAGGATCCTGCTAAATCAATCCCAATCCCACCTGCGGGCCACGCCAGTAAGGGGAATGGGAATATACGAACCCGACATAAAATGAGCCCACTAAGTCGCGTTCAACGTAATTTGGGACATTCGGCTAAACGGCGCAAGTCTGCGCAACCAGCATGCAGTGCAGTGGGGCGGCGTGCGGCGCAAATCTTCGGTGCTTGTCTGGGAGTTCAGGGTCTTGGAGTTCGAAGCGACGCCATCATTTTGCAATGAATGCAATGCAATTCCTGTGGGTACTGGGTGCTACTGAGGTCTTAAGAGCGGCCTCATCGGGCTCCACTTCAACCTGCCGCAGAGCGACGGCTCTGCTGGCTTGGTCTCGGAGTGGTTTTTAAAGCTTAGCCAGAGACCATTTTTGGGGGCTTAAGTGTCAAGCCCCTTCGCCAACGCAGGTACAAGACCCTGATCTTGAGATTTGAAGTTTTTGATTGTGTGTTTCAAGGTTATGTTGTACACTTTGGGGTCCCGGAAAGGACCAACTGTGCTTTAAGTGCAGGCGTTGGACTCAGAATGAGCCGAGTTGTTTCACATCATTTGAGGTTGCCGAATCGATGTCTTTGTCGAGTTCTATTCATCTGGTACAGTGCGATCTCCTTCTCCGCCAGGCAGCATCTCCACTACGGCAGTGGCCAGGGCCTTGTCTTTTCTCACGAACAGACTCAATCAAGGCTTACTGAGAAGGTCTTCCGAGGCAAGTGCTAAACATTTGAAGGCATGCAAAGAGGTTTCAAGGCTACGTGCCAACGTTAGAACGCTGGCTTACACTTTATGTTTTGCCACACGAGGGGGGAGTATCTCTAGAGAGAAGGGCACCCTCAGCTGCTTTTGCTTTCATGCTGGGGCCGTGCCCAGGCGGACCTGAAGGGCGACTGCTCCATCTCCGTTTCCAGGGGGAAGCGGAGGCCCTGCGATCCACGCCACTCCTGGGCCTCCTGGGTGTAGGGATGTGTAGGGTCAGCGATACCAGGGAGAACAGGCAGAAACTATGGCAACACGTGATGCAGAGGCCGCCCTCCTGCTGAAACCCGGAACTTGCCCAGCACGTTTTTGAGGAAGCACAGCACCCGACGTTGCCCAAAATTGAAATGCCTGGAGGCACCTCATGGACGTTTCATTCAATGTGGAATATGAAGCGAAGGCAGGCGACAGATCTGCTTAGGGCCAGGGCATAAGGTTTCAGAAGTGGCTGATGCAAAGTTTTGCCCTCCCTGGACATACTTCAGTTAAAACCGAGACCATCCCGGCCCCAAACCGTGGAAGCCCTTAAATCTCGAAAACCCTCAACCCCCAAGCAGCCTGACACCCCCTTGCACCGCCTCGCATCACATCCCCATTGCAACCCACTGCGTCCGTGAGCTGTCTCTTTGTCCCCACTGTTCCTAGCCACATGGCCTGGCAAAAAAGCCTTGTTTCTTTCATGTACGGTACGTTCCTTCATGCCCCGCTGCCCCGCCTGACACGCTTTATGCGTTCATCTCGAGATGATGTGGGGAACCGGTGTCCCTAAATGGCGGCCCAGCTTAGCATTGCTTACAGATGCATTCGGCCGTCAGGACGTGAGTCAACACACGGTGATGCTCTGCCAGTATCAGCCTCCCTCCCACACACAAAACTCTGCGCGGGGTTGCGACAGACCGGGTAGGCTGTTCGCAGCGGGTCGGATTGCATCTGTAGCAATAGCCGTGCCCTCGCAGTGCTTGCTGAAGTGCTGAACATTGCAGGGCCCTTCCCTGAAAGGTTGGTGGTTCCTCCGGCACCGGCAAGCTTGCTTTCACCGAGGTGGGGCGGGGGGGAACAAGTGTTTGTTTGTTTGCTTGCTGGTTGTTTAACCGTTTGTGAGGCTCCTCACCTGTAGTAACATCTGGGTGCCTGGGGGGGGGGGGGTTTGGAACGATCAGTGAGAGGCAGTTAAGCATCTCATGTCATGCAGAGTCTGTACATGAGTGTGAGAATGCTGTGCGCATGTGCGTGCGGCTTCGAACCGTTTGACACCGTTAGAGACTCTGGCGCTCCTAGGCTCTGTGTACCTTTGGCAGCACAGGTCACCAGTGATGGGGACGATCCTGAGGCCCAGCCTTTCGGAAGGTAATGTCTGGTCTGGCAATTGTTGCGCCACGCCTGAGAGCATGGCGCATCTTTGTCGCGACACCTCGCTTTGCTGATTGCTGCACGAAAGCTCGCCGACAAGCTTAAATGGGTGGCAAGGTGAAGAACGAGCCTGCAGGGGATGCACCACCGGCCATTCGGGAGGTCCATTGCTGTGTGGTCATTGAGTGTTTTTCGCAGTTTTGTGCCACGATTTTTTGAAGAGCATGACGGCATCCTCATGGCCCGTCACATCGCCACTTTGAATCTGTAGCAGTCCATCGGGTTCGAGGGCAGGGCCTCCCCGTTGGCAGCAAAGACTAACTTCCGCTACAGCCCTCTCGGCATCTTGGACCCGTCAAAGGGCTTCTTATCCCACTCCGAGCGAAGGCAGTGAATAACATTGAGACCCTTCTGTGCCCTGCTATGCTGATCCCTGCTTCCTCAGGTTTTGGATGCTTTCGTAAAGCCTGCTGGCCAGGGACTGCAGCCCCTTGTGATGGCAGCCCCGGCCCCGGTACACACTGCGAGCTTAAAGAGGGCTTTTAATCGGACCTTGTCAGGAGGTTCTGGTATGTGTTGGGACATGCCGGCTTGGCATTGGGGGGGGGCCCAAATTGGCCGAATACAGTGCCTGGGCTACAGCTTTTCAGTGCGGTGCTGGGAGAAGCGTTTGGGAGATGATGTGTGCAGTTTGTGCAGTGAGGAAATCCGAAAAGCGATCGAGGAGTACAAGGGCAAATGAGCCTTCCTTGAGCCTCCTTTGAGTGTTAATGCGCCGATTCTGCCGCCCCTTGACGGGCGGCACTCCAAGTCCCATATAGGCCCCCCCCAAGTTTCACAGAGTTTTGATTCCCTGGCGCTGCTCTGGCGCCCCGCGTGATGTGTGGAGTTGCCTCCTATAAGCCTATGAGCTAGTCCTATTTAAGCGGAGGACGATTCCGCGGTTGTAGGATTGCTGGCATGCTGTCCAGGCGCGGTGCTGTGGCAATTGGCTTGTTGCATGACTCCGATTTGCACTTGAAGTCCTCCAAACTCCTACAGTTGCAGATGTTGCAGCTCTTTTTGCATGTCCTGCCCAAGTAGGACTCTGTGCATCAAAGACCCACCACGAGGCTGGCCGGTACAGGGAAGGCCTCTTGAGGCCTTCGCAGCCTGACTTGCGGAAACAAGAACTCCCTGAAGCCTTAAACGTTGATAGTCGGCTGGGCCACAGCAGGCCTGTCACACCTGACCCCAAGTCGATATACAAAGTCACCCAGAGATCCGTCTGAGAGTTTTACTGGTTGCACATTCTTGTAATTTGCATTCACCACCACTGCGTTCAGCTGCATTCACCTCCGCCATCTGCAGCAGCCAGAAACGATGGGAAGTAAGCGGCCTTTAATAGCCGGTTTGTGCGTTCAGCTTTTTGCCTTCGGCTGTTTCTTTCGGCTTTCTGCTTTGTGCCTTGGTTTTACCTTTTGCCGTTTCGCTTTCCGCTTCTTGCTAGTCGCTTTGTGCTTTACGCCTTTTGCCTTCGGCCGTTTTTGCTGTCTGCAGTTCTTGCTTTGTTGTTCTTGCCTTTTGCTTTGAGGCCTACTAGGCCTGCTTGTAGCTACAGGTTTGTGTTCTTGTTGGTTTTAGGGCGTATCATGTCCGTTTGACCCACTTCACGTGTAGTCACGGGCCAGAAGAAAAGCAGGGCCGATGCGAACACACCACTGCATGGTTCAAGAGTGCGTCACGCTAAACACTCGATATTCCTGGCCAGATTCACATCATTTTTCCGCGTTCTTCGGCATGAATGCAGTGGCCAATGCGTGTGCTGGGTCATGCATGTGCTGATAGCATGGACATTGCCACCCTTCGAGCATGAAGGGGTCTGAACCCCAAAGCTTAAACTCGGGAAGCTGCAAAGCCAGAAGCGCAGGGACCTGGGCGGACCAAACGGGCACGATGCACCCTGGTTGCGTTTGCGACCCCAAACTGCACCAGCCCAGCCACCGCCAACCCGAGCAGATCCCCTGTCCATCGCAAGCAAGCCTTCTGAATCCAATGAACTTTTAATGGTGGGTTCTCCAACCCCGTATAGCAAACCCAAGCCATGTTTGTATATTGTGCCCCAGCCGGCCCAGCAACATTCGATTTTTCCTGAAGAGGTTACCTTTTCTTCCCAAGCGCGGCCTCGAAAGCCAACAAGCGGCAAGGTGGTTGCAAATGGGTGCCTGTGCCTCCCCTCCTCCAACACTGTGCATCAGGCCAGTCATGCATCAGGCCAGTCACGCCGAACCCAATGCGGCCATCAGTTTTTCCCCTTCGCTTCCTTGGCAAGACTTTGGAATCCAATAAAGCACTCGGCAAGCTAACCGCCAATGGGAAGTTTCAAGGTGCGCAGCCAAGCCAAAGTAGCAAAGGCCGGGTTTGCATCAGTCAGCCACGGCCAACCCAACCCGAAAGCATGTTGTTCATGTGTGCCGGTCCACTTCCAGCTTGGAGTGCAACCAACTCGGCCCCGAAACGTGCAGCGGAGCCTCCACAGCCTCTAAAATGTGTTTAAGGCTGTTCTAACATGCCTTTAAAGTCTCTAAAATGCCCAGTGCCCAAACTCAGGCTCGAAACGCGCGGCGGACATAATTTTGGCGCCCTTTGATGTTAGAAGGTATTTGCATCATGTTCCACGTGCAGCCACAGCAGCCACGAATGCGGATGCAGACTTACCGATGACACATCGGAGACAGAACTTAGGACGTAGCACACATTTTGGCTTACTTGCAGCTTCCTTGCATGGGTCCCTGGCCGTACGGGAAGCAGCTGGGCAGCTGGGCAGCTGGGCAGCTGGGCAGCTGGGCAGCTGGGCAGCTGGGCAGCTGGCCTGCATTCTGTGAGCTTTGCTTGATTTGGCCGTGAGTGCTCTCAGGCGCTTGAGTAGGCGGATGTAGTTGTTCGGACATGTGATGCTTACAAGGACACTTTCTGTATTCTGCGATGCTGCCAGGGGTGCAAATCCATTACTCCTACATGCCAGGACTGCGTTTCGCCCATCCCTTCGCAGCTTTGCCGGCTCAAGCGAAAAACATCTCACCCGGTTTGGAGCGTCGACAGTCTGCGCTCCCCCGCTGAGTCAGAGAACGCGTAGGCCGGGACGCTTGCAGTGCTTGCAGCAAACGTTTTGCAATGCTAGGAAAGATCGTGGAGTTTTTGTGAATTTGTGCTGGGTTTGGAGCTTTGCAATTGAACCTGTAGTGAAACACGAGCTGATGTGTCCTGATGGTACTCCTAGCTCTTGCCGCCGTAGTCCTCGGCCTCTTTGCCTCAATCGAAATAAACGAAGCCCCAGGAGATGTTGGGCCTGGCAAGGCCCGGGACTGCTTCTTTCCTTGTTCTGAAGATCTTTTGACCTACGTTTCTGCACATCTTTGCTACTCTGTGGTCCGTGGAAGCTGAGAAGTACTGGGAAGTCCATGTAGGGGGAGTCCGATGTGTCCGAATGTGCTTTGCATTTGCTGCTCCGCTGAGTTTTTTTCGTGTTGCGAGGCGGATGTTGAGCGTGGTCAGCGGTGAGGACTTGACGTGGCTGCTGTACAAATAGTCGTGTGCATGTGCCTTGGTTTGCCAAGGTTTGCCCTAACACATCCCTAACACCGTCCGTTTCATGTTTGGGAATGGCGAGTGAGCCGACTGGAGAGGAGAAGCCAAGCTCTTCATCTGCCGATCAAGCCGAGCAATCTGAGCCGGGCCCTGACTATCGCGCGTGGTGAATCGGTTGCTCATGTAGGGGGTAGCTTTGAGGGATTTTGACGGGACGTGCGGTTGTCCTTTAGATGCATGTCAAGACAGGCTGATGGACATGCGCATACCTTGGCATTCAACACGGGTGTTGGGGTTGAGCTTGGTCAGTGCAAGGCTTTGTGCCCGGGGTCTGCTGCCAAAGCACGTGAGAGTTTATCGCAGCCAGGGCTGGACCAAAGCTGCCAGTGGCCTCTCGGCACCTAAGATTCGCTCCGCCCTCAGCGCCACCACATGCCGCAAGCATCGCCAGTGTACCGGCCTGTACTTGCTTGTCTTGTTGTTCTTTGCAGGAAGCTGGGGCCCAAAGCGCGGAGAACGACAAGGCAGAGAGTTGAGATAAGCCCTCGTCTTCGTAGTTTTCCTTGTCAGTACTACTTATTACTGTGACCATGAAAGTTCATTTTCTTGCTGTTATGGGTACTTCTATTTGTCGTAATCTTGACTACTGCTATGTCTACTGGTACTAGTACTACTAGCATAAAACGTGGTACGACCATTTTCCAGGACGATTACCAACAATGCTACTATCTCCATATTTGTTGAATGCCAGTTGTCTGTTTGTGGTTTTTGACTACCACCACAAGTGCAAGTAGTAGAGCGCAGCCCCCCAACTCCCCTGCTGTTTTAAATTACAATTAAAGCGGTGCAAGCTTGCTTCGAAGCATTTCGCAACTCCCCGCTATTTTTTAAGCAATGCCAAAGCGTCCCCATCATGCGAGCATTGTGGCTGCAAATGGGCTATAGAACCTTTCCAAACCCATCATGCGAGCACAGAGTTTGCAAATGGGGGGGGGGGGGTGGCGGACCTGTGCCTCCCCCAACCCTCCCCTTCTCCACCCTGTCGTGTTTCTGACTCAAAACTAGGCCCATGCCCAGACGCGAGTGCGAGTTAAAACACAGGCCGAGACCCGCGCCTTATGGGGAGCGTGTTATTGATCTGATCGCCCTTACATGTGATTTGCGGTTGGTCCTTGATTACTTTTCTCATCGGCATGTGAGCAAACATAATCGGATTTGCATAGGATCTTTTGCCATGCATAGGTTTTGGATCCTGTTGAACTATTTGGTTCCTCTGGTCTTGAGTTTGACTTTGACCTTTTTCATCTTCCTGTCACGGTCTCGGCCGCTTCTCGGGGTTTTGTGCTGTCACGGTCTCGTCCGCTTCTAGGGTTTCGGGCTGTCACGGTCTCGGCCGCTTCTCGGGGTTTTGTGCTGTCACGGTCTCGTCCGCTTCTAGGGTTTCGGGCTGTCACGGTCTCGGCCGCTTCTCGGGGTTTTGTGCTGTCACGGTCTCGTCCGCTTCTAGGGGTTTTGGGCTGTCACGGTCTCGTCCGCTTCTAGGGGTTTTTGGGCTGTCACGGTCTCGTCCGCTGGAAGGTTTTGGGCTGTCACAGTCTCGTCCGCTTCTAGGGGTTTTTGGGCTGTCACGGTCTCGTCCGCTTCTAGCGGTTTTGGGCTGTCACGGTCTCGTCCGCTTCTAGGGGTTTTGGGCTGTCACGGTCTAGCTCCCCAGTGCACACCCTTCTTTCTTGGTCCTTGACGAGCTAGAAACTCAGCAAGGTCAATCATCAGTCTCCAACAGCTCAGTCTTCAACTAAGTGAAATGATGTGGGGCGAAACCTGTCGAACTTCGCCTGGAGCTTGTTCGACTCGTTCGACGGTTTGCGCAAGTTGCGCATGTGTAAATGCTCGGTCTGATGACTTCTGCCCAGAGACTTCGTCTGGAAAAACCGAAAGTAGCTAAAGCTCGAGTTTCACTCATGACTTCAAGTAGAGCAAAGCTTCTTTTCGAGCGTCCATGCAGTTGTGGGAGGTCTCCGAGCCCCCGGGCCTTGCCTCCCCTACAGCAGCAGGCCTGGCTCGCTAAGGTTTGCGCTCAGGGTTAGGGAGTTTCGCTTTTAGATGCGGGACGGACGATGAGCAAGCTTCCCTGACAACGTCTAAGATCCACATGCCGCTGAGACCCGAAACCTC